GCTGCCATGGATGAAAGAAAGCTAAATGCTAGTGCCTCACCGAAAAGCAAAGGAATGAAGCGTCCGGCAAGCAAGATGGCAAGTAAGACTGAGTCTGATGCAGCGAAACCTGGACTGAAACGTCCAGCTGCGGCCGTGAAATCAAATAAAAAAAGATATCGAAGGCGTTGTGCAAGCGTCCTGCGGGAAAGATTGAGTGCCCAGATATTCTTGATGCGAAAAACCGTGTCTTGGTTTCTGGCAAATATCGGCAGAGCAATTATTTGAACGGTTGCTCCAAATGCAGAAATCGCAAAGGGTGCACACCTTCGTGCTATCGATATCGCAATGAGATGAACAGATTTTGAACGGTACAATAAAATTACTTTGTGGAACTCATGCGAGCATCGCATGTCTGGTGACCCCTCGTGGTCATCAGCATGCGCTCTGCAATGGAACGCATCACATGTCTGGTGGCCCCTCGTGGTCACCAGCATGTGCTCTGCATTGGAATGCATCACATGTCTGGTGGCCCCTCGTGGTCACCAGCATGTGCTCTGCGATTTTGCACAACATGTTTAGTGGCCCTTCGTGGTCATTAGCATGTGCTTTGCCAAGGAATGCGTCACATGTCTAGTGGCCCCTCGTGGTCACTAGCATGTGCTCAGCCAGGGAATATGATACACATGCCTGGTGGCCCCTCGTGGTCGCCAGTGTGTGTTTTCTGTGCTGCCTGCTACTTAGGATATCACAAGCAAAATCAATTTCGTAACGGGAAAATTGAAAAATATCATGTATAAAATAATATAATATTATGTATTGATGTGATCTTTGCACTCTCTATTGTCGATGCATTCTGGTCGCAATAATACTTTTCGTATCGCACACTTTGTACTATGTGATGTATGTGCACTCACATAATGATATTCCATTGGGTCAAATATGTCACATCGACGCTATTTTTCGGCTTAAGTTGGTAGCTGCTGCCACTATGCAGCCATACGACCCGTATTGGCAGTGGCACAACTGGCACTACGGTTCAGCGTGGCCGCAGTGGGGTTACGGTTACCCGCACAGGGAGTATCGTCCTTCGCCACGTGAGGGATCCTCCATGGTGACTAAGCTCTCTGCGCCTGAGCCCGCCGAGATGCCAAAACCGAAGAAGAAACCTTCTTCGAGCAGTGAATCTGCATCATCTAAGGAGAAAGGTGATCGCAGTAGCTCTGAAACTAGTCCGGCGGCAAAGGCAGATGATGGAAAACCTGACAGCCCTGCACACAGCAAAGCTGACTTCAGCCCACCGCCAAGTCCAGCTGATAGTAAGCCTGTTAGCCGTGCTCGAAGCCGTGAAAAGAAACCAGCGCAGAAGGTGGACAAGAAAGCCAAGAAGGAAAAAAAAGAAAAGAGTGAAAAGTCTGACAAGAAGCACAAAGATCGGAAGGAAAAGAAAAGTAAACATGACGACAAGCCAGGAACTTCTCGATCGTCCAAGGCTCCAAGGGAAAAGAACAACCTCGAACTCCGGAACAGAAGCCGAAGTCACACCAGGAGGAGGACGAGACCTTGGACGCAAAGTGGGTGCAATGCCCCACCTGTTGGCGGTGGGTGCACAAGCGTGGCTTCCACCAGCACTACAAGACCAACTTGACTTGCATTGCATATCAGAAGAAAACAAATGCAGAGAAGCCTGTTCTTGAGAATCTGAAGCAAGCCTTCAAGTGCCCCATTTGCCCGAAGTGGTTTGATGCGGATGAAGACTTGCAGCGGCATCTGTCCAGTAAGCACCCTGTAAAGAAGGAGATGGTTGACCGTGATCATGGAGATCAGCGCAGTCGTAGTCCATCTCAAGTGGGTAGCCTGGGTCCTTCGGCTTCCATGGTGTCGGCGGGGCAGCGCCGGAATGAAGATGATCGCAGGAGTCAAATCTCTTTGCGAGAACGACCTCCATCTGGATCTGGAGGATCCATCTATCCGACGCAGGGGGCATCGTCCTCCAGCCGAGGCCAAGGCAGTGAACTGGCAGATCTTTTCCAAGCCACGGCCAATCTACTGAGGAAAGGCAGCGCCAACTAGGACTAGCCTTCCGAAGTGTTTGCTAGCGCGAACAGGGCACTGACAGCAGGATAATTTGAAAAAAAATATAAATATAAATAAATATATATATATATATTATTTTCTTTATGAATTAATTATTCAAATATTATTATAATATATTATTTGTTTTTATCAATATGAATATTTAAAACACCTTTTTTTTAAATATAGAATATATATATATATAAAACATATTTAAATATATGTAAATAAATAATTATGATTGGAGAAACAGAAACATCAAGATATGTCTGCAGTTTTTTGCATCAAGATGGCAAAGCACCACAAACACCCATGGCAACACTCAAGGCTAGCGCATAACCCTGGTGGTGTCCGCTTGAAGTTCAAAGGAAAGGATTTAGGAGTGTTCCACGCTTTGCCGTGCAGCCTCCTGAAGGGCTCGATAGATCGTCAGCTTACCAAGGTTGAAAGAACCATGGACGCACAAGATGATCTCAGAACTGCTATGCAGAACCTGTCCTCTACGCTCAAGAAACAAGAGTTAACTTCAGATGTAATAATCATCTCAAAAGATTTAGATTAGATCAGATTAGATAAAATCTGAAGCAGAAAGAAATGTACAGATCAATTCAACAAACGAAATTAGAGTTCGCAGAAAATGATTCGGTGGTTTTTATATTTCAAATAATAAATTTGAATACAAAAAATTGTTATCCAACACAAATTTAGATAACAAAAAACCACATTGGATAACAAAAAAAATGTTATCCAAAACCTTTCTGGATAAAAAAATATGTTTTTTATTTGTTTAATAAACATATATATGTTTTTAAAGTATTTTCTAATTTTCGAATCAAAAATGCAATTTTTTGTTATCCAAACCGTTCTTGGATAACATTTTTTTTGTTATCCAAAATCTCTTTGGATAACATTTTTAGTAATAAAAATTATTTTTGACAACACAATTCATTCGAATCCGTAGCAATTTTGAGATCCAATTTTCGATAGAGCTGGTAGATCCAACTTAGTCGATCTCATGGCTGAGGCGTTCGTTGCAAAGGTGTCTGAGATGCATGGCGCTGAAACTCAGGAAACGTTGACTGAGTCTCAGGATCCAAACCCCAATGGTGACGATTCCAAGGTTGAACCTTCGATCTCACCAAAAGCATCTCCAAAGAAAGATGATGGTCCACAGGCTGAAGCAGCTGACGACAAAGATCCTCAGGAAGAAAATGAGGTCAAACAGGAACCTCAGGATGATGAGCCTGTCTTCGTCATCTGTCACAAGTGTGATATTTCCAAGGATATCGCAGATTGCTTGCGCAAAGGTAAAAAATGGTTGTGCTCTGCTTGCAACACAGCTACTGCTGCCTTGAGCCGAGCTTTGGAAGGTGGACTTCGAGCCGAGGGGTTCAGGTCCCTGTCTGCTGAAGAGCAGACGCAGTTCTGGCAGCAGGCAGCCGGAGCGTCTCAGAAAAGTTTGGTCACCCTGTACAACTCCAAGTTGAAAGCTGTGGCCACGCAGCATGCAACTCAGGGTTCGAAGGGTTGCTATCAGCCCTTGAGCTGGTACGAGGCGCAAGGGTACGATGCCGAAGCGATTCGTTTGAAGACCCCAGCTGAGGATCGTAGGACGCATCCAATTCTGGGAGAAACTTTTCGTGTTTCTTTGGAGTACACGGATGATTCGCATACTAAGGCTCTCAGTGAAGAGCGCATGGCATCAGGCTCGGTGGAACATGGTGTCGCCGCTGCTGCAAGCAGTGCTCCTGCCAAGCCGCCTGCTGATAAGAAGTTGACGCCAGCCCAACAAGCCAAGTTCGAAGCCAAGTTGGAGAAGAGCAATGGCAAGCTGTGCAGCGCGGCAACCAAAGTGCTGGCAACCTTGCAGCCATGCATGATTCAGTATCGCGAGATCATGGCTGAGGCAGAGAATAAGCACGAAGCTGGTTGGAATGCTGCCAAGGACATGTGGAAGGAACTGAACGAAGCACACAGCTATGCCAATGATACCATCGCAAAGTATAATCGCAACAGCAAGCAAGTGCTGCTGAACTCCATCCACTTGGATGACAAATCGGTCAAGGTGAAAGTGAAGAACTTTCAAGCTATGGTGAAGCAGATGCGACCCAACAAGCGCAAGGCCACCAGCTAAGTCCAACTCTCGAAGAGAATGAGCGGATCCTTTTGGGGTATCCATGGTCAGATCCAAATCACCAAGAGGTGTGTACATCTGAATCTGGAAGCCGAGATCCTAGTTTTGCAGATGCTGCGACCCGGGCATGTGAGCAAAGGTTGCAAGGCCTTGAAAAGATGTATAATTACATTGTACGTATATATTATATATGCAAATACATTCCATGTTCGAAGCTCTATATATATATATATGTATATATATATATATATGTATATATAAACTTTCTTTATCTATGAATGCATACTTTGCTTCATATAGCGAACATTCTATTTTGGCTCACAGGAAAAGCTTAGATGGGAAAAAAAACTTCACAGTTCGAGGTACAAATGCTGGACAAGCAGCCAAGCTGCTAGTGCAGCAAGGATATGAGAAGGACGAACAGAAACTGAAGCACAAAATCAGACATAGCATAGTGGAAGCTACGAATAAATATCAGAGAGAAAAATGTTACACAGTGCAACTTCCATGCGTCGAATCAGATACGACGCATGCGCTGCATTGCGTTGATCTTCACTGCTTATTCCAGAGTATGGCTCAGGCAGCGCCTGATTTTGCCAGCGTATTGGAAGCAGCACTGGAAGATAACATCATTCGATGTATTTTGTATAGCGATGAGATCACTCCAGGAAATCCCTTGGCACCAGACGCTAGTCGCAAAATTTCGATGTTTTACATCATGCCTCTTTGCAGACATGCCAGCCAGAGCGAACAAAGCTTGGGGATCGTGACTGCTATCCGACAAAGAAAGTTACGTGATATTTCTGGTGGAATGCCCGCCGTGCTGAGAGCGATTCTCTTGGAAACACAGAGGAGATGCGGGCCTCATCTTTTGGAACTTCTAGACAAAAAGATTTTGGTTACCTACCAAATCTGCAACATCATTGGAGATGAAAGCGCTTTGCACTCTATGCTGGCCTGCAAAGGCGCCAGCGGTCGCAAACCATGCTATAGGTGTCCAACCATTCTATCCAAGCAATGCAGCAAGCAGCTGGGTGAAGAAATGATGCCTGATGGATTCTTTTCCATCGCGCATCCATCTCTAGCTGGCTTACACCAAAGCACAGATGAAGATATCTGGGAACTACTTTCTTACTTGGAAGAACAACAACCCAATGTGAGTAAGCAACGGTTCGCGGAACTGCAGAGAAGCATTGGATGGACTCTAGCGCCTGGCAACTTGCAGTTGGAACCGAACCTGCGGACATCGCTGCCGCCGAGCTGCTTCTTGTTTGACCCTTTGCATTGTTATTTCTCGCAAGGAATCTTGGGAACCGAAATGACATTGCTCGTAGGAAGATTGAAGCACAACAATTATCCATTGTCAAGTCTGGCAGCTGCAGTCTCCGACTGCTCCAAGTCGTTTACATCGCTGCATCCACCCAATGTAACAGCATTGTCCGATCGATTCTTTTCAGAAGAGACATGGAAAGCGAACGCAAGCACGCAATTGGGCTTATGGCCTTTGATCCATTGGACCCTGCAAACCCGATTGCCTGGCCACATCAAAGAAGCCTTGAGCGCCGAGCTTTCTAGCTTCCACGCACTTTGCGAAGAATTGAAGCATATAAATATATGCAAGCATGCTGGCACAAGCCGTGGATTAGCGACTCTGCAATCCATACAAGAGAAGCACATGCTGGCCTTCGTTGCGGCCTACACCGAAGAATGTTGCAAGCCAAAGCATCATTTTCGTCTCCATGTGATCGAGGATTACTGGAAACGACATCAACTCTTTGATTGCGTGGCGTTGGAAAGAAAGCATCGCTTAGCCAAGGCTGAGATCGAAGCCAGAGGCAACAACCTCTCAGCAGTTGATCGATGCATCACTGCGAGGCTCAATCTCATTCAACTAGACGAGATGAAATCGTATCGCTTTGGCTTCCAGGTGGTATCTCCAGATATCTTGCAGCACGGTTGCTTTCCAGTCCGAGTTCTGACCCCGCTTTGCTTCGTCGAAGCAAGCATGCTACTCGTTCCAGTCAAATGGGTGCAGACCCAGAAGGGACCATGTGCGCTGGGTGATGTGTATTCGATGACTACACAAAAGACAGGCAATGTGATTTTATGGACCTCGTCTCACCAAAACCAATTAGTTGCATTGAATGCGCCTTGGTTCATTCCCACCTATTGGCGTCTGGAAGCATCGTCATCACAATCACGTAAAAACAAAAAGACTCATTGTATCCGGTGCAAGCAGCCTCTGTTTTTTTTCTCCTATCTTATCTTTCTGAAACCTTTACAGGTTCTTTTCTCCGCAGCCATCTTTAGCTTACCATGCTGGCGCAAGTTGCTGGAGCTGTCTTAGAAGATCCAGGCGACCCATGTCTGCCCTGGTGGCGAGACATCTGTGCTTTGGCAAACGCCAGCCGTGCCTTGTTCAACGCCACGAGAATATCTCTGGCATATCGTGCTTGGCGAGGCTATGTCCTCAACAAAGAGCGCAGACGGCAGGAAAATGAAGCTGCTAGAGCGCGAGACCCCAGGCCATTCCTGGGTCTCCGTGAACAAGGCTTGGAAGACAGTTCGGATCCGGAACCGTAAGATACACGAAAAGCTGCTGAAGATAGCTCAGGTATGATCCATCAAATCTGTACAGAAAGGCGAAACGCAAAATTCGAAATTTCGAGCAAAAAAGGTGCCAAATAGCAAGGAAATGTGCTGAGTAAGACAAAAAAACAAGAAAAACTCAAAAAACGTGTTGAATATTAGAAACGCAACGAATAACAACCAAAAAAACTTAGTTTAGGTTATCTTAGGTTACCTTAGGTTATAAAAAACTGTTATCCATTGTTATCCGTGCTCTTTGGCTAACCTAAGATAACCTATTATAAGTTCTTCTAACCTTAACTAACCTAAGATAACAAAAAGAGCTCATCTTAGCAGGAGAGTACCTTAATGACCGATGGCATGAATTCCTTCAAAAGGAAGGGATCCGCTTGAATGTTGCAGCAGGAGAAAGCCATTGGCAAATTGGCCGAGTAGAAGCACACGGCCGTATCATCAAACAAATGCTCACGGCAATGGATGCTGAGGAGCAAATTTCCTCGCAAGAGGATTTCCGTCGATGCCTGCGACATGTCTTTTCTGCCAAGAACTCATTGAGTAATGTGGCTGGATACTCCCCAGAACAGGCCGTACTGGGTAAAGCACGTGCACTCCCAGCATCTTTGGTTTCGGACAGTTCAGCAATAGCACATAGCCTGGCAGAATCTGATTCACCAGAGGGCATCAATTTCCGAGAGAGCCTGCGCAAAAGAGAGCTCGCCCGGAAGGCATTTCTGGCTGCGGACAACAATCAGGCTCTCCGCAGAGCTTTGCTGAGACGTCCCCGTGAAGATCCTGATGGGTATGCTAATGGTGACTGGGTACTGTATTGGCGTCAAAACCGGGGTAACCTTAAGGGGGAACGTGGCCGTTGGCATGGGCCGGGTCAGATTATAACCATTGAGGGCTCTCGAGTTGTTTGGATTAGCCATGGGGGATATCTCGTCATTGCCAGCCCACAGCACTTGCGTCCGGCGTCACTTCGTGAACATTGTCTCCTGCCTCGTGACTCAAGCGGAAAGATTGTCCCCGAAAAGATTCGAAGTGGGTGTAAGAACTATCTCCATCTAGAGGGAATCCCCGAAGAACAAGATTTGGACGGAGAAGGAACAAATGAGCCACCGAGTGCAGGCGTGGTCCAAAGTGACATGCCAAGTCAACCTGACGGAGAGCGTTTTCCTTCCGAGTGCTCACCATCAATCTCCCCATCCCCATCAATTGCCGAGGATGTTGTAGAGGAGGAGAAACCTATAGTCCCCGAGGAAATTCCCATACCTGATGATGATGATGACGGTTTGTTTGGGGATGATTTGGGAGACCCGGCAACCACAGAGGGATTTTGGGAGATAGGATTCCATAATGGCCCAACACATGATGTAGAGGAGATTAGCTTTTGTGAAAGCCCGGAGATTCTTGAATGGGCCAATCTGGCAACAGGTGCCCGAAAACAGCGGGTAGAAGTTCAGTGGAAATCTTTAAGTGAGCCGGAACAAAGACTCTTCCAGGCAGCCAAGGACAAAGAGATCCGGGCATGGGTAGACCATGGGACAGTGAGGCGTGTAGCTAAGGGGACTCTCCATGAAAGCCAGATCATGAGGTGTCGCTGGATTCTAACTTGGAAGCCTCCAGCCCCTGGACTATCAGAGAAGAGGGCTAAAGCCCGTTTGGTGGTATTAGGCTTCGAAGACCCACAATTGTCAACCATAGCAGCCGATGCTCCAACGTTGTCAAAGGATGGAAAGCAGATGATACTCCAGCAGGTGTCTAGCCGGGGTTGGCGACTCATCAATTTTGACATTTCTACTGCATTCCTAAAGGGAGCTGGCGATGGTCGACAGCTTGGCTTGCACGCACCAGCTGAATTGCGTCAGGCCATTGGCATGAAATCCGAAGATCAATGTCAGCTGATCGGAGGAGCATATGGCCGAGCCGATGCACCAATTTTGTGGTATCGAACCCTCCGCAAAACGCTGGAATCCCTGGGTTTTGTAGCTCATCCGCTGGATGGCTGTGTGTTTAGCCTGGTATCAAAAGATCCCCAAGGGAAAGTACGGGTTCACGGATGCTTGGGCATCCACGTGGACGATGGGATCGGTGGGGGAGATCAATACTTTAAGAGGGTCATTGGAAAACTCCGGGAGATCTATAGCTTTGGAGCCTACAATGAGGGTGAATTTGAATTTTGTGGTGTTCACTATTTTCAATGGGATGATGGGTCCATTGAACTTGAACAGAAATCTTATATTCAGAAAATCTCCCCAATCGAAATTCCAAGAAGTCGACGTGTTGATCCCAAGTCGTCGCTGACAGCCGCTGAAGTTCAAATGCTTCGACAGATCTGTGGATCCCTCCAATACTCTGCCGTACACACTCGCCCAGACCTTGCGGCCAAGGTAGGGGAACTTCAGGCAGCAATTCCTCATGGAAGGATCGAACATTTAATTAGCGCCAATCGAGTGCTATACGAAGCAAAAACCAAGGCTGTTTCCCTGATGATTGTGCCGATCAAAGAGTCCGATGTAACATTTTGTGCATTTTCTGATGCTTCTTTTGAGTCAACAAAGGGGAATCCTTCACGTCAAGGGACATTGATTTTTGCTACTGATGGCAAACTGGTTGCAAACTGTCGGACGGTGATATGTCCAATGGCATGGTCATCAAGGAAGATCCCTCGTGTTGTTCGCAGCACTTTAAGTGCTGAAGCTGTAGCTCTTGGTTCTGCACTTGACCGCCTGAGCTGGATCAGAATCTTCTGGGAACTCATGAAAAATCCAGAGACAGACTGGTCCGATCCAAATAAAGTTTTGGCAATGGCTCCACAGGCCGTAGTTGCTACAGACTGTAAGTCGGTATATGACCTTTCAACTAAAACCTCAACACCGTCTTGTGCTGAACATAGGACCACTTTAGAATGTCTCTTGATCAGGGAAAGACTGGAAGAGAATTGCCGGTTACGCTGGGTTAATAGCAAAGCAATGCTTGCAGACTGTCTTACCAAAAGCATGGATGGTGAAGTGCTTCGAAAGGCACTGGAGGTGGGCAGGTATTCGCTTTTTGATGAGGAACAGGTTCTAAAAGAGAGAGCTGACCGGCGATCCAGACTCAAGTGGGTCAGTGACCGAGACAAAACTCCGGAGCAGGGTTCGGTTGGAAATGAGTCTATTCCTGATTGATCTGTGCTGTTGGTGCTTCCGTGTTGATTGTTGTCTGATTTGTGTTGTTTTTGGTTTTCTTTGTTTTTTTTTGTTGTTTTCTTTTGGTTTTAGATGAGTGTTAATATTCCAACCACTTATGAACCACATGTCCATGAGTGATGTCTCTTGTTCCATCTGATGCCACATCAAGCATGGCAACTCGCCGCGCCGCTGTGCCGCTCATCCAGACGGGAGGGCGGGAGGACATCACAGGGTGATCAGGAAGGGAAACGGGGTTTCTCAGGTGTGCACAGTTGATAGGAAAGTCAGGGAACATTCCAACCAATTTTGGGGTAACATTATTCAGTGGATTCACAATATATATATATATGATTATATATATATTATTATATATAAATAATCATATAGCCCTGTTCAACTATGACCTTTCATGGGGATGTCCACAAGGATCCCACCTTCATCGCTCACCAGGAACTCCGAGGGCATCGCCACCACTGCTGTGGTGGCACGGGAAGACTCCCAGGGCTGTTGGCAGAAACGCGCCTCACCCACGACCTGGGGATCAGTGGGGGCAAATGAGTGCTGAATAGTGGTTGATAGCGATTAATAATGTCTATTAATAGTGATTAATTAATAATGGTTAATAGTGATTAATTAATAATAGTAATAGTGGTTAATAGTGGTAAATATATGGAACGATAAAATTCATGTTCCAAACCACCAACCAGTGATTAATAATGGCCATTCATTGTTTACTCAAACACTGTTTCTTAAATTTTCTTAATGGCTAAGAATAAATGAATCTGGTGAAAATATACTGATTCATCATCCTATTTCCATTGTGGGACATACCTCGACCCTCCAGATACCATTAAAAAAAAGGAAAGTACCAAATTTATGGGGTAAAACACCTTTGGCGGGTCTAGGTAAAACATGAACTTGTTGATGCAAATACCTGAAGATCAAACCGGTATAAGACCTGTAAACAGTATGAAGAATGAAGTGTAGGGAAAATAAAACAGCATGGAACAACTGCAAGAAAAATATATGTGTTTCATATATATATAATTATCAATATAATATACATACATAGAGGTATAGTAGCATAGGTCATGGTATAATTTAGCATGACAATTGTACGGTTTATAGGCCATTGGCTAAACATTTGAGCCATGGAAAAAAAACGCCGTGATCCCACCCCAGTATACGGGTTGAACCCCCTAGCCACTGGTAAGTTAATATAGACATGGAAAATCACCATGTGTAATAGGCAAGTGACTGGTGCCGCGCGGGCCACATAGACCACGTAGCTTGTCACTTCCTGAGGACGACTGGAGGACAAATTCGAGATAACCCAAATGATCCAGGGGACAAATCCAATTCTTCACGAGTACATGAGATAAACCCCATTCATGACAAATGGAGATAGTTATGGATCATATCCCCTATAATACATCCAAATGTTCAGGGGTTCCTGGGTCATAATTGTTATATGGATGGATTATAGGTGATATTAAATATATATTAATCATCATATGGATTTATATGGGTTATTATGAACATATGATGGAATATCCCCTTACAGGAAAACATGGAACAACCCCGTGTAATTTGTTATATAGTTATGGTGTAGAGTGCCTATTTAGTTCGACGATTTATGATGACTTACATATCAAACCTAAACCGGTGTTCTTTCGATAGCGTCAAATTACCAGACACAATATTGACACACATTGAAAAAACATATCTACACACATTCAAAAACGCATATAAAAAGTATGCTATAAAATGGATTTACATATGTTATATACGCATATATATAATATACAGACTATGTGTAAATCTCGTCATGTTTGATATGAAAAGTCAAAACAATGGACCAATTGGTGGGGGAGCAATAATATTGAGCTTAAACCGTGCACACAGTTGAGAGTCCCAAAGTAGATCGAATGCAAGCTGGACAATGACAAAACATAATTTCATCTCAGTGTTGATTCTTCGAGAGGTATAGTCGCCTTGTTTAAGATGTTTTGTCCAAGTAACCAATTCTTGAAGCAGCACAGCCCATCACATTTGACAGCATCAAGCCCGATCACATCTGAGAATCTGTGCCAAATCACCCCATAAGATCGCCATTATCTATCCATATCTATAAGGACATTAGCATGTCCCGTACAAAATCCTCATGATCACCCCATAGAATGTATGGCTATTCTAGTTACTGTTGGCCTGTTGATCCATATTTCCCACCAATCACTCGGACATAAATTAGTGATCTGAATCCATAGAACCTATAGATGTTGGACATGATTGTCAAATTCCTCACTATGATTATTGTCAAAAAAAATGTCGTATGTTTATTGTCATAATCCTCATACCTTTGGTAATCAAACATAGCGATGGAAACTGGCCCATTCATAGATGATATACTTATTGAACATGGAGATTTGATGATTTGTTTAATAGCTATGTAAACAAAATAAACATGCCAAAGGGAAATCAGTTTTTCTATGTAAACCAAATCCTCAATCTTGACATCTTTTGATGTTTAGTTTCAGGAGATCGTGGGACATGGCTATGAGTCAAATCAAAAACCTTGACCTGCAAACCGTCTTACGCCTTAAAGTGCGTAATTACCTTCCAAATGGCTATATATGGCTATATTGATAGGGGTAAACAACTGATTCAAATGATTCAGCGAGTTCCAAAACTCTCAATTGAAAACAAAACAAATAAACAAGCTAAATCTTACAAGTGCAACTAATAAAGCTAAAACTCCGAAATCCCCATGATATCCCCTCGACTAAAGTCACTATCTGTCATCTATATGTCGTTATATTCATCGAAAAACCAGCATTTGTTTATCAACAATGTGATACCTTTGCAGAAAACGAAGACCTGGTGCTGTTGCGTGGTTGACTGGTTGAAGTCTGAAAAGCCCTGAGTGTTGATTGCCCATTTGTCCAAGTGTGCCGCTTCTTCCTCCCGTTGCGTTTTTTCTACTGCTGCCTTACGTTGTGCTGCCACTTCTTGAGTCAGTATTCACAAGCGTTCGACCGCGTGGTAAATCCATGTTGCAGCTCTCCTCTCACTTCGTGTGCTCCCTACGAGGCAGGCCTGTTTTCTTTCTGCAGTAGAATGTGCCCGCATCTCGCTTGCAATGACACGCGAGACAATGACCCACTGTCTCAGTGGCACCACTTAAATCGATATGTCATCTATATTTAGTCACTATATTCAGCTTTTTTGTTCATCATTTGGTGGTTTCTGAAAATGGAAAATCCATGAAGATCCCAAAATCACCGCAGGTTTCAATACTAATATATGGCTTAATGTTTGGCATTTCAATCAATGGGTGGTACCCCCAATTGGATAATTATAATGGAATATCCTAAAAAACATCTCATCAAAAATGGATGATTTGACTTTGGACACCTCCTCTGCCAAGGCTCCGCCACATCGCTGCCGTCCCACGAAATGGGACCTCCCAGCTCTCCCAGGTCCAAGTCGTAGTCCAAAAAGCTGACGTTGGAGACCTCGGCGTGGGAGTTTTCCCATAGAAAATGGTGAAGCCATGAGGATTTCACTGGCAAAAATGGAACATGTCCATCAGATTTAACCCATGAATGCAGACTATTTGGTTTCTTCAAAAATGCCAAGTACTCCAACATTGGCACAATGGGAATAGGGGAAATCAGTGTAAACCATGGATTTTGAGGCACCCCATGTTCAAACAAACGCATAGGATAATATGGTGATGGTTGACCTATCAAAATTGACGCAGTCGTTATTTTTGTTGGGAGGGACATACTTCACCCGCAAAACTGGGGTCCTTACAGCGGGTTGCAGGGTTTTTTCCAGTTCTTTGTGGGGTAGTTCACGGACGAAAATGGGGATTTAGAGTCCAAAACTGAGGGTGATTTCAGCAACGAAAAAGTACTGAACAATCAACAATGGGTAAAGGGTTCAGTCGATACCTAACATGATAAAGCCAACAAGAGTAGGACTATAAAGAACCACAAAAGAGTAGGAACAAGAAATGGTAATGGGAAACCAATACCAATGATCAAAAGTGCAACTATAGGCACCTGACCAACCAAGACCCCTGCAATGGAATACGGCTGGCAATGGCATCTGGGCACCCTAATCAGAAGCAGGAGCTGTGATGATATTCAGAGAAATACCATTGTTAAGAACAATTGTGTAACTAATTTCAATTTGAGGGTTGATCCTTGCTGCAACAATAGCGATCCTATATTTTGCAGGTGATGTCGATTATTGGGAAAATATCCATGTTACTTGGTCGAATCATGTTTTAAAACATTCAGGATCTCCATGTCTCCTTGGCTAAATCATGGTTGAAATCATCATAATATACATGGCTATATACATATGTATGCATGTAATATAAATGGTTGCTTGTGAGAAACATCCAGACAACTTGCGCCCCACACATATTTCATCACGCTGCCATGGCCGCGACATCCGACAACGACCGTGCCACCGGTGTGGTCTGCTCTACCAGACTAGACCTGGGCGTACAACGTTGATGTTTGGCATAACCAGGGTCCCAACATAAAAAACATCACGCCCCCCCAAAAAAAAGATAGAATTTGTGTCTATTTATGGGAATTTCATAAGACTAGGGTTTGCTGAAGGTAATACGGTAATGTCCACCGGCACTTCTAAGGTAGAATTTGAACAACAAATCCACCAAAACAGGGAAGTCCCAAATGTCTAGTGGTCCCGAGTTCGGAAAGCCTCAGAAAATCTGCCAGGTACCACAGCCCGACCCAGCTCCACCTGGTATAGACCACCAGGTGGGTGAAGTTCTCCTTCTGTGTGTCGTAGAGAAGGTCCAGGTCGGTGTCATTGGCCTTGGGGGAGGTCGACCCAATCGTGGACTTCATCCTAGGGACCTGCCAAAAAACACGTGTATGTAAATTGTATATAATGTATGCTGTATTATAATGTAATAATTAATAATGTAAATAAAATTAAATAAATATGAATATATCACTGATTTATATAATAGTATGTACTCCCAATAGATTCCCAAGTCCTGGTGACATCAATTTCGGCACAGTCCGAACTGTGTCCCAAGTTCCTTGCGCTTCAACAGATTTGGCCAAGACTAGGGGTTGGTACTCCCCTAGTTGTTAATGCCTTGTCATCATGTTCTTCATCGTAATGTTCCCATGACCATTGCAAATGGGAATTAACCCCATGAACATGGACTAACCCAAATATCCCAAATAAAAGGAATTCATCGTTTACATATTCATGTTTTCAGCTAACTCACAATTGTTGATGGATCTTCATGGCATAAATCCATCATAACTCCCTATAAAACATGATAAAAACCCGAATAAAAACACCATAAAACCACCATTTTTTAACGGTCCATCATAAACGCTTCGCTCCAGCGAGATGCGATGACGCCCTGCTCCACTTGGGAGCGATATCCGCGGCCATCCGCGGAGTCAGCCAGGTAGAGATGGACGCTCTGCACCTGGGAAACTGAAAAGATCAACAAACTCTGGGTGTTCAACTGATGTCAAGAAACTATATAGTAACTATATGCTTGTTAAAAAAAAAACATGTTTAGGACATTCAACATGCATTTCACTATTATCAGATTCTGTTCTTTTTGACTGTCACATTTTGCGAACCATCTTTTTTCGGTGAGTTTCCAATCGCCAGAAGCCGCCAAGGCACCAGCTGCAGCGGTGGAGGGGCCCATGACACCACACCCCCCAGCTCTGCAGGGTCTAGGTCTAAATCCTTGGGATTTGTTCAGCTCTGCTAAGCCCAGGAACTGTGGGCCCAGGGTGAAAAATGTGAAAATCATGTGAGAAGAAAGGAGATTTCAGCAGCTAAGCCCAGGGGATTTCAAGTTGAGAGATGGCTGGGGATTGGAACAGCAAAGGGAGGGATTTCACCCCTGCCCTATAGTGAACCCAACAGCATGTGTCATTTCTATGACTACACCATCGAATTTTGGGCTCAAGAATCTGCCATGGCAATTTGACAACTTGGTGAGGCGAACGGTTCAAGCCAGCTATCAAGGAGCTCATGGAACACTAGGAGATGAATCATAATCCCATGACAATTGCCTAACAGTCAACATCAATCAACCACCATTTGGGTGTGTCCAAAAATGCGATATAACCATCAACATGAACCAGAATTGATTTGACATACTTGATCAGGTTTTCCCATCTTCTCCAAACCCCATCAACCAGTTTTTGTTGGCTAACTCCCAACGGGTCCCACCAACGATCCACCCATTCATTGGATTGGTTTAAGGGAAAATCTACAGAAAATCATATTTTTTTACCAGTAAATGGGGGTTTCCGGTTCCAATTTTCCCGTAAACCAATGACTCATTCCACCGAAACGAGTGGCTGTGAAGAGGACGTTGGAGACGCTGGCGAACTCGTCCACGATGACGTGGCTGCTGGGTGTACTTTGCTCCACCAAGGTGGACCTCTGAGTCGAGGGTCGACGGGAGGATGGAGGGACCAGCATAGGAATGCTTAGGAATACCTAGGATAAACTGGGATTCACTAGGAATACCTACAGGATAATACTTAGGAATACCTAGAGACATGGGATTCACTGGTTCAAGAACAAGTGTGTGATAATGTGGGTTTTGACAGCCACTAAACCATGCAATGTCTCATTGTACGTGTTTGTTTACCTAGCGTTAACTTGCTATGAAAAGTCTTGCTACCAATCTTGGAGGTCCCGAACACAGCAGCATTCCATTTCATAAATTTTGAAGGATTGCTTTCAGAATCTTCTGTTCAAAAACTGTTGACAAATCTGAATTTCAAAGCCTATTCTGAACTCCATCACCCGCAACAAGCACATGTCAAGAACCATGCACAACCGCAGGCTCACATTTCCCCCACAGTATCTTCCCGGGATTTTTTGTTGCCTGGTGTAGACCAGCACATTGGTCAGCAGACCACCCGACACCTGGGCGACGGTTGTTGAACGAAACAGTTTCTGTAAGTCAGCCACCAATTCTTAATTGCTGGCTGGTCATATCAATCACCAGTTTTGACGACTTAAGTTTTGGATAAGTCAAGTGTTGATTATGCCCAAACACGGTTTTATCCCCTTATGGTCGGTTTTGAAGTGGCGCGCGGAATCCAATTTGATAGATGCAAAGGATGTCCACTTCATAGGGGGCTAGCCATGGGGTATATTCCTATAATTGTTCCAAATAAAAATCAAACCACCAAGCTCCACTCCGGTCATCTCCTGGGAAATCAACAGCAGCAACCCAGCTAAGCTCCTGACGTCAAGCGTCAGCGTGGTTTCCGCAGGGATGTCCAAACCTCGGAGTGGTTTTTCCCCAAACAGCGCGTCCACACTGAGGGTTCCTAACATAGGTGTTAAGGCCCGGTGTTCAATCGAGGTGGTATCAGAAGCGTCCGTTACCACCACCATCATCATCATCATCACCATCATCATCACCATCATAACCATCATCACCATCATCAGCATCATCAACATCATCACCATCATCAGCATCATCAGCATCATCAGCATCAGCACCATCAGCACCATCATCATCATCACCATCATCACCATCATCACCATCATCACCATCATCGCCATCATCGCCATCATCATCATCATCATCATCATCATCACCATCGCCACCATCGCCACCATCACCATCATCGCCATCATCATCATCGTCACCATCATCATCATCACCATCACCATCATCGCCACCACCATCATCATCATCATCATCATCATCCCCATCACCATCACCACCATCACCATCATCATCACCATCATCATCATCATCATCATCACCAACATCATCACCATCACCATCACCATCATCACCATCATCGCCACCATCATCATCATCATCATCGTCATGATCACCAGCACCATCACCATCACCACCATCACCGTCATCATCACCATCATCATCATCAACATTATAATACATGATATGTTTACTCCCCTCACAGTGTTTGGGGTCTCTTGCCGGGATATGTTGTGGACAAAATATCCCGGTCGCCTCTGGCGATCAAGAATTCGTTGATATTCCTTGGCTCCAAAGATTCCTTGACTATCAACCATTCTTAGGTTTGGACCGTCTGGCTATCAGATTTATCAACCATGCTTAGTCAAACCTTCCGGAAACTTCAAGGTGACTGAAAGCTCATTCATCCCGGGCTGCGATCACTGGAATCCTTGGATTTTCCAAGGATCGGAGCCTCTAGTAATGAAACTTGAGAGGGGGAACACGAAAGGTAGGTAAGCAAGAAAGGAACCGAAGAAAAAATGAAGGGGAAAGGGCAGGGAAAAAAACATAAAGTGGATTCTGGTAAAAGCGATGCGGCCATTTTCTTTCCAAAAATATGAAGGGGAGTCTGGTAAAAGCCACTGAAAGGCTTCGGCGATGTGGTTAGGGTTGGTGGTGGTTGTGGTGGTTGGTGTTGGTGGTTGGTGCTGCTGATGGTGTTGGTGTTGTTGGTGTTGTTGGTATTGGTGTTGTTGGTGTTGTTGGTGGTGGTAGTGTTTCTGGTGTTGTTAGTGTTGTTGTGTTGTGGTTGGGTTTGTTGGTGGTGTTGGTGTTGTTGGTCGTGTTGTTGGTGTTGGTATTGTTTGTGTTCCTGTTGTTGTCGTTGTTGTTGTTGTTGTTGCTGTTGTTGTTGCTGCTGCTGCTGATGGTGTTGTTGTTGTTGTTGTTGTTGTTGTTGTTGTTGTTGTTGTTGTGTGTTGTTGTGTGTTGTTGTGTGTTGTTGTGTGTTGTTGTGTGTTGTTGTGTGTTGTTGTGTGTTGTTGTGTGTTGTTGTGTGTTGTTGTGTGTTGTTGTGTGTTGTTGTGTGTTGTTGTGTGTTGTTGTGTGTTGTTGTGTGTGTTGTTGTGTGTTGTTGTGTGTTGTTGTGTGTTGTGTGTTGTTGTGTGTTGTTGTGTGTTGTTGTGTGTTGTTGTGTGTTGTTGTGTGTTGTTGTGTGTTGTTGTGTGTTGTTGTGTGTTGTTGTGTTGTGTGTTGTGTGTGTGTTGTGTGTGTGTGTGTTGTGTGTGTGTTTGTGTTGTTGTGTGTGTTGTTGTGTGTGTTGTTGTGTGTTGTTGTGTGTTGTTGTGTGTTGTTATGTGTTGTTGTGTGTTGTTGTTGTGTTGTTGTGTTGTTGTGTGTTGCGTGTGTTGTTGTGTGTTGTTGTGTGTTGTGGTGTGTTGTTGTGTGTTGTGTGTGTTGTGTGTGTTGTGTGTGTTGTGTGTGCGTGTGTGTTGTGTGTGTGTTGTGTGTGTTGTGAGTGTTGTGTGTGTTGCGTGTGTTGCGTGCGTTGTGTGTGTGTGTGTGTGTGTTGTGTGTGTGTTGTTGTGTTGTTGTGTTGTTGTGTTGTTGTGTTGTTGTGTTGTTGTGTTGTTGTGTTGTTGTTGTTGTTGTTGTTGTTGTTGTTGTCATTGTCGTTGTTGTTGTAGTTGTAGTTGTTGTGGTTGTTGTGGTTGTTGTGGTTGTTGTGTGTTGTTGTGTGTTGTGGTGTGTTGTTGTGCGTTGTGGTGTGTTGTTGTGTGTTGTTGTGTGTTGTCTGTGTTGTGTGTGTTGTGTGTGTTGTGTGTGTTGTGTGTGCGTGTGTGTTGTGTGTGTGTGTGTGTTTTGTGTGTTGTGTGTGTTGTGTGTGTTGCGTGTGTTGCGTGTGTTGTGTGTGTTGTGTGTGTTGTGTGTGTTGTATGTGTGTTGTGCGTGTGCGCTGCGTGTGTTGTGTGTGTTGTGTGTGTGTGTGTGTGTTGCGTGTGTTGTGTGTGTTGTGTGTGTGTGTTGTGTGTGTTTTGTGTGTTTTGTGTGTTGTGTGTTGTGCGTTGTGCGTTGTGCGTTGTGCGTTGTGCGTTGTGCGTTGTGTGTTGTGCGTTGTGCGTTGTGCGTTGTGCGTTGTGTGTTGGTGTTGTTGTTGTTGTTGTCGTCGTTGTTGTTGTTGCTGTTGCTGTTGGTGTTGTTGTGGTTGGTGTTGGTGTTACCCCTGCAGCGTTTTTGCTCGGTTCCGTAGTGGCCGAAAATCGTCAAATCGGTGGTGTTTTCGCGTGTTTTTGCAACTCTCGGAGCAAAAAACACCGTAAATACCAATGTTTTTGGCGGGTCGGAAGCCCAAAACCACGGTATTTACGATGTTTTTTGCCTCTGGTAGTAAAAAGCACGGTATTTACAGTGTTTTTTGGCCAGCACCTGGCAAAAACACTGGTATTTACGGAGGTTTCACCATGTAGCAAAATGTGGTTTCTTGATCCGAAAAGAACAAAAATACTGTAAATTACAATGTTTTGAGTCTGCTCTTAGGGTGCGTGGGAGGTGTGGAGGGGGGGGGGTACTAAAATGACTAGCAATCTCCTGAAGAATCAGGTAACGGGGCTGGCCGCCCTCCCCTTTACTTCGTAAAGTAAAACTCAAGGTAGCCCCTCTGGAGCTACCTTTCGTGACATGGGAAATTCCATTGCAATGGAGGTTTGATTGGGACAATCATATAGAAACAGTGGATTGCCATCCGTTTCTAGATGATTCATTGAAAAATACTGAGTTTCCATACCTATGTTAGAGTACCATAGGGTATCATAGTTGGAATCCACGTTAAGTTGCAGGTCTCTACGCTACAGTCTACCTTCCCTCCTTCTGCACAGCTTCAGCAACTCTCTGTACACAACCAGCCGTCTCTAAGCCGCTGCACATTCGTGGGGTCGTGACCCTTTGGTAGCTGATTCTTGACCATCTTTTCTCCAGCCTTTCTTTTATGGTTCACTCCGAACTTTGGATATCCCCCAGATCTGATGCCCTGAGTACTGGTGTCACCCCATTCTGAACCTGGCGGGTTTTCCCATGATTGTTGATAGCGATCCTTTTGTAGCTTATAATGGAACCCAATATACCCTCTGGTAATTTCTTGCATATATAACTATGGGAAATTAACATGTATAATTAAAAGCCAAATCATCTATAAAATGTGACAAATTACCAGAGGTTAAGCCCCTATTGAAAGAATCTACCAATTTCAAACAATTGATATTTTTCACATAAACAACTTCCTTGGCCCATCGTGCCCTCACGACAGGCAGCTTTGCTGCGTCACAGGAATGGTGCTCTGATGCTGTCTGTTCCAGTGGTTGAAGGTCCCATTGGCCTCGCAGGCTCTCTGGAAAGAAAAAAATGGCCGGCTACAATAGCTACCTGGTTGGTGGTTTTAACCATCTTGAAAAATATGAGTTCGTCAATGGGAAGGACAAATGATTAATTATCCATATATTACGAAACATAAAACATGTTTGAAACCACTAAGCAGCTACTTATCGCAAATTTCTGGGAGTCTATGTGGTGAACCCAACAAAAAACACACCATGATGGTGGGATTTTGGGGGCTACATCTCCATGGTATCTCAGTGATGGTTGATCTTTGGGATCTCGAAACAGTGTAAGGCAGGCCAGATGGGAAACCCAGTTGGCCCAATCATAAAGCATCACTGGTTGGTTTGGAACATGAATGTTTATTTTCCATAGTATATGGAATAATTAATCCTTCCCATTGACGAACTCATATTTTTCAAGATTGTTAAAACCACCAACCAGATCACCAAATGGATTGATTCTTGGGCTCATATCATATTTCTCGCCAAAGTCTCTGGGCAAATTACAACCCAAACATGCCCAAACCAACAACTTCTTCATATTTTAGGTTATCCATTTGGAGGTTTCTATAGTCATGGAAGTACCAACTCATCCATTTCAATCATCCATTTCAATCGGATGTTAAACATTTATTAACCAACTGGGGATACCCCCATGACTATGGAAACACCCATTTTCTGTTGCTCAACACCAGCGACGCCAGCGCCATCTTTGGGATGATCCGCCAGTGCCCAGGCGCCAAGTAGACTTCATAGAACTGCACCAGGGAGGCATCAAGAGGTGCCAGCCACTGCCTGAGATGTTTAAAAAAAACAACAGGACTCTGCCAATAAGATATCACTACTAAATCCATCTAAATCCTACTATTTGGGGATGGTGTTTACAATCTATTGGAATCCACTACTGATTTGAAAGGGTGGTTTACTACTTGTTTTATCGCACAAAATTCAAATTGAGACAAGTAAAAATAGTAAAATGATCACGATAGTTTTGAAATAAGTCATTACCCTCTAGTCATTGATAGTATCTGGCTGAACAGAAACAAGTCATCCAAAAAAGGCTATTGGGATAGTTACCCCAATCCTAACCATCATTCCAGTGACATCACGGTGAGATCTTTGTAATTCAGCCATGTGGTCCCAGCAGTAAATCCAAGTTAGCTTTAAGCAGAATTTATGAATGGTCAGTTTGTCACTTTGTAGAGCAAGTAATATGTTGGAACAACTGTTCTGTTTGAAAAAAATATATAATGTATATACACATATCATACATACACATAGATATCCCATGTTTGTTGCAAAATCCCATGTTTGAGAGCTTGCTCAATGCTTCCAAAAAACGGAAAAAACAAGTATAGCAACCCTATCATGGGTAGATCGGTTGTCCAAAGGAAACCATCGTTTTTTTTCACATCTTTTCGTATGTTTGATGCCCTGGAAAACCCCTGTATTTCCCACCAATTCATAGTTTGTCTGAAAAAAGGCTACCCGGATGCCCTAAATCTGAGTATTTATCATAGGTTTCCCCTTTAAAGATGCCATTTGGGGGCATACCACATGTTTATCACGTCGGTTGTTCATGACACTACACCCCATTTATATCCCATTCTTTCCACTTATCATCCTGCAGGGAAATGGGACCTGGCATCAACCCTTAAATCCCACTGATGGTTGGTTAATGTCCCGTTTATCCAACCATATTTATCCATCAGTGGTTAACCATGGGACATTATCCATATTTATCCATATTTAACCCGTGCTTATGTCCTTCATTTATCCATATTTATCCCATTTACGCTTGATGAATGTCCCACTCGAACTCCATTCTCCTTCCCAGGTGAGGTGAGCGAAAACACCAGGCTGCAGCACGCCCCCAATGTCGCCCTCATCCAGGTCGCGGTCGTAGAAGGCAACACCTCGGATGAAGGGAAGCAAGAACCATTTGGGTTTGTCAATGGTCCCCCTAAATCCCCTGGTTGATCATTATACTCTCTAAATAGACATTGTTGTATCCCCATTTTCAGACCCAATTGGATTTTAACCAACACACATGGATCTGATACGAAAAAATGATGAACATCTGGCTGTCCTCAGCCTGAGCACCTTTGACCAAATTTTCCGAGGATACTCACATAGGGGTTGATATACAGCCAAATTATATCCTATGTTTGCCATAACAAATTCCCAGTCATGTTTGCACTCATGGGTTTTTCATCCTCATGTCATGTTTTTTGGGTGGCTAAACTCCCGTTACTTGTTGGTCAAATTCCAATTCTTGTCGCTTAAACTCAATATTTTTGCTGGCTTAAATCTCCGTTGTTCATCGTTTTTAACCGTGTTTGTGGGTCAAATCCTTACTTTTAGTTATCCCTTTGGTTCTTGGCAAAATCCCTCTCTTTGCCGGCCAAGACCACCATTTTTCGAGTTAAATCATTACTCATGTTGGCTGAATCCATATTCCTCTGGAAAAAAAAATCTTCAGTTTTGATCATTTTTTACGTGACATATCCCCAATGGTTGGTCAACTCATGTGAAATCCATCTGGGTAAATTATAATATTTCACTAACCTGAATTAAGGCCATTTGGGGATGATTCCCCTTAACCATGATTTCCAGTGAGGTCGTAGTGAGGTCGTTGTAATTTACCCAGAATCCATGTGAAATCCCCCATTTTTTGTTGCGTTTCACCCCTCCCCGAGCAAGGCACTCGAGGCCGAGGCCGCCTGATCCTCCAACGCCACGGCCGCCGGCGTCGTTTGCTCCGCCAGGGCCGATTTGGCGAAGACCTCCGCGCCGGGGATCTGGGCTGCAGCACTGGGATTATTAATGGCAATATAACCATATGGGTATGGATCAATATTTATTAATACCATTTTTAGGGGGATGAACATCCATTTACCAGCTATTTTGATGTTCACCAGGGGTACAAGGTTTTGACCCATCCCCATATTTAACCAAGGGATGGAATCACCATAGTGGTTTATTGAAAAAAAACGAAATAACATGTTAAATGATTATTATTTCAATAGCATTTTTCTGTGGTTATTGAAAGCAAAACGCTCTAGTGGTTATAAGCGTTCTAATCCCATGCCCGTAAACCATATTCAAGACCCCCTATTCTGTTATATGTGGTTTCATCCCCTACTAGACCGTGGTTTATGGGGGCGTTAAGAACCATAGGATGGAATCACAATAGTCATACCATTGTATTAGTTCTTGAACAAAAAAAACGTAGCTCTTGGGGTATAAAACAAGGATTTTTGGATAATGATATCATGGGATATCCAACAACTCTCTTCCAAGGGTGCCGTGATCATGGTCATCCAGTCATCCGATTTCAGTCCGGAATTCACTGCTGCTGGATTTCCTATTGGGACCATCCACTAACATGGGAACCTACGCCAACGATTGACCATGTTGAAGGTAAATCATCAAACAGCCATGCTCACCAGGTGGGAGATGTATATATATATATAATTAATCATATATCATAATATTGAAACATATTGGATGATCATCTAGTATGCGACTTAATGTTGTGTTCGTGTACGTTTTGTTTGTTATGGTTGCCTATAGTCAAACTATGTCAAAAATATGTTCCTTTCCGGAACTATGAAAAAAATCAACCGATGAGTGCTTTTTGTACATACAGAACTATGTAGAACTATGACGTTTTCATATGGCTATGGATCAATACCTATACATACCATTTTTAGGGGGATGAACATCCATTTACCAGCTATTTTGATGTTCACCAGGGATACAAGGTTTTGACACACTGCCATATTAGTTTGATCAACAAGACATGACCGTTCATTCGTGAAGTGGGGGATGTGCAACCGAGCCTGAGAACTGACGCCAAATCGGGATGTAACATGAATCTTAGCTAAGCTGTAAGAAAGATTCGGTCAGAGGGCTCATGATACAATACCTTCCGATCGATCAGTCACACCCCACAAAAACCATCATTGGCAACTATCCAGTCTTGAACAACCATCATTTGCATATCCCTTTGGACATACACCAGAACACATGAGAAAGCATACGATTTATGGAGTCGCTGAACCATAGAAAATCAACTTGAAATCATTTCCCACAAACAAATCGGAATCATTTATTTCCCACCCAAAAAAATCTTTGCAACATCCCCTGGTGTAAGTTTCTCAGTTCCAGTTACCCATTGGCCAATCCAGCACCAAGGCACCAAGAGATACGAGAAATTCCTCAGTGGCGTCTCGGGTGCCACGTCCAAGGTCTCCACGTTGGAACTCAGCTCACTGAGTTCGAAGCGGCCTGGACGTGGAGGTGTCAGGTCAGGTATATCTACAAATTGCACATGTAAAACATGTAAAAATGTAAAGATAAAATGTCCAAATATTGATATATGCAAATAGATATTGTAGAATATTAAATTGTTACATAATATTATGTATATATGTATATATACACATACATACGCCATGTCAATGTGTGTATAACTCTTAATATTCCATTCTTATCGCGTGTGTAGATGATAATGATGATATTCCCTCCAATAACCTATCAACCAAGGTATCTTAAATAGCTCATCAACCCGAAAAAAAACATCTGCAGCGCCCAGCATGGCGCCTGCCACAGGCATGAACGACTCGGCCTGGGATGCGAATATTCGGTCAAATTACAAGGTAAGGGGCCTCCAAATGACCAACCATAGTGGTTATATACTGGCTATAGAATGCTTGTACAATGGGAGATAAAGTGTTTTTTCCCGCACTCAGCTATGTTGGTTAAAAAAAAATCAACTAGCTTGATGGTATTGCTATTTGTGGTCGAGGGTCTAAGGCCTATGCTATATATATATATATCGAACTGGTCCGAACTAGTTTCAGTAGATTGGTTTATTTATAAACAAAATTGTTTCACTGGGACCCACATTGTATGCATCATGCTGTGGTATCTGTTTAATTCTGTTCACACCGAGAAGGCTGGTATGCTGCATGGTTCATTCATAACTCATCCCAGCTCGTCCAGCAATCTTTTGGTGGTGTCACTGCAAACCACAGCCCCTTGTGGGTCATTCATGGTCATTCACCGGTATTCACCTCTCGCTTTGCCTATCCCTGATCTTGGGACGGTCAACAACGATGGTTGCCTGTGAGACTTTCCCTGAAATCGACCCACTGAATGTCATGAACTTCAACTTTTGTCAAATCCCAACTCTTATTAGCTGCACACCCTTTTGTTTATCATTCCAATTTTTGTTGCTGTAGTTAATGACCCTATTTTTCCTGGTCGTCAAATCCAAGCTGTTGGCTGCTCAAATCCCGATTCAAAGGGAAAACCCCAACTCTTGGTTGCCGAAAACGACCATTTGTCTGGGAAAAATAAAAAAAAAATGATCGAATCAAATCCCAATTTTTTGGTTTAAATCAGGAAACAACAAAAAACATGGATTTTTCCCACATTTTATCCATGTTTTTCAACGTTTTTCTCACATGTTCCTAGGTTTCCCCGGGTTTTGCCCACCCTTTCCCTGTGGACCCCGAAGGCATCACCGAGGCGCCAGGTAGACCACGAAGCTCCGCACGCGCTCCGAGGCCGCAGTGCTCCGGTCCCAGGTCACGCGGCCGCCCAGGTCGTTGGCGTCCAAGTCCTGGGACAAATCTGATGGGGAAAAAAGTTGTTGGGGATAATAGTTTTATCTATAAGGATATAGTTATATGATGTTATATCTATACAAATCTGATATAGTTATTGGTATACTAATACTAATATATAGTGATGTTGATATATGGACCTATATTGTTATATATATATATGTTGACCTATATTGATATATATCCAGATATAGTTGACCTATATATTGGATATATAGTGTTAAGAGTTGGATTTATAATAGTATGAAATCTGGAAATATTGTTGAATATATTGTAAAAGTTGAAACTTATTACTGGAAAATAATTAGTTAACGTAGTTGGAATTTATTAAATAAATATAATATTTATACATATATATGAATTAGTGGAAACTTGAAATTTAGTTGTAATTAATATTACTTGAAAAGTCCGAACTAATTATCTATCTATCTATATATATATATTGATCGAAGGAAGTTTAGAAGTCAAACTTCCGACTCCGACAACATGGACAGATGAAAAGCAGAGATGGGAAGAGTCAGAGAGAAGAGAAGAGTAGAAAGAGAAGATCAGAGAAGAGAAAGAGTCAGAAGAAAGAAGATGCATGTGCGCGAAAAGGTAGGAAAGTCGCGAAACACTGTGTTTTTTTCCAATGATTTGTGGCTCCGGACGTTCGAAAAGTAGGCTCGCTAAAGCGGCGGGTGCGGAGCCATCTGGCCAAATGAGAGATGAAAAATTGCATGCCCTTGTGGTGCGAAGCACATTTCGAAGTCAAAATGTACAAAGCACCTCAGCTCCGGACCACTTTTGGAAGTTGAGATGTCGAAAAAGTGGACGCCGTCGTGGCGCGAAGCACATTTCGAAGTCAAAATGTACAAAACACACCAGCTTCGGACCACTTTTACTAGTTGAGATGTCGAAAAAGTGCACGCCGTTGTGGCACGAAGCACATTTCGAAGTCAAAATGTACAAAACACACCAGCTTCGGACCACTTTTGGAAGTTGAGATGTCGAAAAAGTGCACGCCGTTGTGGCGCGAAGCGCATTTCGAAGTCAAATGTTCAAAACACCGGGGGTTTGGACCACTTATTTGGAGGTTGAGATGTCGTTTCGCCTGGCAGGCGCAAGGGATTGTGCACCTTGTCAAGTGAGCAAAACGTTCAAGGTTTTAGTAGCATTTTCAACTACAACCACCGCTACACTCCAATACGCTACACTACGCTACAACTACAACTACACTAACTACACCTTCACTACATTCCACTACACTACATTCCACTACACTACATTCCACTACACTCCACTACACCCCACTAGCTACAACTACAACTAGCACTACACTACATTACACTACACTACATTACACTACAGTACATTCCACTACACTACACTACATTACACTACACTACACTACCTTCCGCTACACTACACTACACTACACTACACTACACTACACTACACTACACTACCTTCCACTACACTACACTACACTACACTACACTACAACTACAACTACAACTACAACTACAACTACACACCACTACACTCCACTACACTAAATAATTTACACTACACTACACTACATCACTAGGGAGGCCCTTTTGAGCGAAGCCGGTTTTGAGAAGGTTTTCCGGACCCAGAATCGGGTCCGTCGGGGCAAGCTGTTTTGTAGATGAGTTTTTTTTGTGTTGGGTCAAGCGGGTGCATATCGGTTGCTGCTTGAACCCAGTTGAAGGTAGCTTTTTATTATTCTGTTTCGTCTGGTGGCTTGATTGCTTGCTGCTAAAAGAAGGCGCATCAGCCTTTTGCAGCCTTGAAGTGTTTCTTGCTGTTGCGGAGTTTGTGGGTTTTCGCGCAGGTGGTCGGCTTCCATTTGAATGATTGTATTGAATACTTTACTGCCCCTTGTTGGGCCCCCTTGCCCCTCTAGACTCCTACCGAGGTTTTCAGCCCAGAAAGAACATGAATTATGATCTTTTCAGTCAATCCCGTTATTAATTAATAGTATAAATTTAAAACGGGATGGAGTAAGAATCTGCTTAGGGAAAGATGTGGGAAGGTGAAGTATTGAAGGCTTTCTTACTCCGCCATCGTTTCGATATCGTGTCAATTACCTTGGGTAATTGAATTAAAACATAGCACGGAGTAGCGGAGTAGCGCGGAGTAGCGATGGATTGGTGAATGTTGCCTGGGTGGTGCTGCATTGCAATCGCCGCATTGGAGCTAGGGAACGGAGACAGCTGATACCACATGTGCGCTTTCAGGTTCCATTTCTGGGGCCGGAAAGTCAATTGAAATCAGGCTTCGCATGTGCGGGCCTCCTCTGTACACTACACTACACTACATTCCACTAAACTCCACTACACTACATTACACTACACTACACTACATTCCACTACACTACACTACACTACATTCCACTATGCTACACTAACTACAACTACAACTACCACTACGCTACACTACATTACACTACACTGAACTACATTCCACTACACTCCGCTACACCACACTACATTACACTACACTACACTACATTCCACTACACTACACTACATTCCACTACACTCCACTACACCACACTACATTACACTACACTACACTACATTCCACTACACTACACTACATTCCACTACACTGCGCTGCACTACACTCACTACAACTACAGCTACACCTACAACTACAACAACAATACTACATTTACACTTCGCTAGACTACACTACACTAATTACACTACATTACACTAGACTCCACTACACTACACTACACTGAATGACACTGCACAACAGATAGATAGGTAGACAGATAGATAGATAGATAGATAGATAGGTAATTAGATGAAAGAGAGAGAGAGAGAGACAGAGATAGATAGATAGATAGGTAGATAGATAGATAGATAGGTAATTAGATGAAAGAGAGAGAGAGAGACAGAGATAGATAGATAGAAAGATAGAAAGATAGATAGATAGAAAGATAGATAGATAGAAAGATAGATAGATAGATAGGTAGGTAGGTAGGTATGTAGTCAGAGAAAGAGAGAGAAAGAGTCAGAGATCAATCCCCTTTCGGTCCATCAGTGGATTCGCCCTGCCATCCGTGATTCACAACAACCAACCTCTCCTATAGGTTTCCTATTTTTGAAACTTCCGCCACCGCCTTGTGCGGTACTACTGGTATATAGTACTAATTAGTGTTTCTTTTAGTGGTTTTCTACAGTTATGATCCTCATCTATAATTTGTAGTAGATATAGTACATAGCTAGTATTCATGACTATTTAGTATATAAGTGATAATGATCACTAATTAATGGACATAATACTGTATAATAATTAGGGTGTTAGTTGTTAACCACCATAGTAGTGGTTATAAAACTGACATTATAGTTGTGATACAGTTGTGTTTCAAGCACATATATATATATTTACATATAATATAAATATATATATTATAGGTATATTGTTTATGTGTCTTAGTTAAAATGGAGGTACTACACTAATAATAATAACTCATTCATCATTTGTTAATGGCTGATAATAGTAATAATAATCAGGAATGCTTGTCACTAAGAATTACAATCACTATTTGCCATCCATCATTTGTAAGGACTAATTGTAAGGACTTTCATAAGATTAGTATAGCTTGATATGTTCACTTTTCTTTTGACTGACTATATCAACATATTAGCCACGATTATCTGTGAAATGACTATATTGGTACTTACTCTACTATTATAGTACAACTATATAGTAATTACTCTACTATCAAATTCATTGAACTAGGTATTCCCATCTATAGATATACATTAGTTTGATGATTTACCTCCAAAACCATTTAACTACCATCTAGTCATTTGTTACATAGCGAACGCGAAAATCACAGTCAAAATTGTAGCTAAAACGAAATGGTCCAGTTTCCATAGCTATGTGAGTTTACAAGGGGGTACCCCCCTGTAAACATACAAACATGTGTGGAAACCCCATCATTTGTCAACCTGTAGATCATTTTCCGAACGGGTCTCACCATGGGTATTTTCCCATGTGTTCCACCTCTCTGGTAATTTAACGTAGCTATTGAACATGGCCCATAGAAATAGATGATTTACCTATTAAAAATTGTGATCTTCCATCGTTTTTTGATGTTTTTTGTGTGTTTACCAGAGGCGGAAAAAAAAACCACCCATGCCAAGGCACCAGATCCAGGAACGAGACGTTGCTAACGATGGCCAGCGTTTCAACAATCACCACCGAGGCCGGGGTCGTCTGCCTTAACCCAGAAATCATGGGGAGCTCAATGGTTAAATGGTTATCACCATGATTTTTGTAACCATCATTATATAGATTATATATGATAGTATAATGATAGCCCAAAAAAATCCAGGTTAAAGTAATGATAACATATTCTGATGGTTTTAATTTCTAATGCTGGAATTTGTCATTATGAATTTTCCCAATTGAACGATGTAGAGAATGAATATCATGATCCATTTCAATGAGACTACGAAGATAATTCATGACATAATTAATGAATGAAGGGATACCACATATAAAGAACTTAGGATACCAGTAGTACCCGCACGAGGCGGGGCCGAAGTTGCCTTAAAGATGTATATAAGACCTTTCTAATCTATAGAACTTGCCTGCGCTGTGCGCCAGCGAAGCCCGTGCGTGCGTGCACTATGCGAAACTGGTGTCTTGTTTCACATGTCACATTTGAAGCTCCACGTCACACTTCACACTTGACAGTCTTCACACTTCACACTGCACTCTTCACACTGCACCCTTCGCAGTCAACACTTCACTTCACACTGTACTCTTACACACTGCACTCTTCGCACTCGAAACTTCACACTTCACAGTCCACACTTCACGCATCACACTCCACACTTCACGCTTCACACTCCACACTTCGCACTGCACTCTTCACGCCCTTTCTCACTGCACTCTTCACACTTCACACTTCACACTGCACTCTTCACGCCCCACACTTCACACTGCACTCTTCACACCCCACACTTCATCTCAACTAAGCTCTTCTCACCTTGTCCCAGCTCAGCTCTTCTCATCTCATCTCTTCTCATATGTCATCTAAGCTTTCATGAATCACTTCCCAGTACTACTACAAAGGAACTTGCATGCACAGTGCGCCAGCCAGGCCTGTGCGTGCGTGCTTTGTGCGAAGCTGTTGCAATGTTGTTGTCCAAGAACATGACCTGCGCGCGTCCCCGGTGCAATGCAACGTCAAGCAATCACTTTCCTCACACATCACATTGCACCCTTCACACTTCACATCTGAGCTCTTTTCATCTGGTTTCATGTCTTCCCATGTGTCAGCTACGTTCTTCTTGGCTATTTTCATGTCATCTGAGCGCAGCTCAAACTTTCTCATGCGTTGGAGCTACTTTCAACTTATCTCGGCGCTTCTGCACGTCAGCGCAAGGGTGTCGAAAATTGCAGCTTCAAAACCGGATCTCGACGCCAAAGCAGAAAAAAGACGATTTTGAAGCATTTTTTTAAAGGATTTTTAGAAGGAAAATTACTAGCGCCAAAGTTGAGAAAATCTGCTGACAAATCACTATCGCAGCCTGGGTGCAGCCATTCCAATACGATTTACGCTGTTCAACTGTAAAAAGACAATAGTATTACGCATGCAGCCGCGGCACCGAGCAACCTTGACGCAGCCACTACAATGTGATCTGCAGAGACTGAGTTGCAAAACACAATAGAAGTACGCGCAATGGTGTCGCAAATTGTAGCTCCAAAACCGGATCTCGACGCCAAAGCAGAAAAAAGACGATTTTGAAGCATTTTTTAAAGGATTTTTAGAAGGAAAATTACTAGCGCCAAAGTTGAGAAAATCTGCTGACAAATCACTATCGCAGCGTGGATGCAGCCATTCCAATACGATTTACGATGCTCAGCTGCAAAAGACAATAGTATTACGCATGCAGCCGCGGCACCGAGCAACCTTGACGCAGCCATTACAATGCGTTTCGCAGCATCCCGTAGCAAACCTGCACCTATCTACGGACGTGGCAACACCAAATGACAACAATCATGCAGCCATTCCAATGCGATCTGCCACCACAGCTTCAAGAAACGCATAGAACTACGCACACAGGAACAACCACTCGTTGCAAAACACATAGGAGGAACAATTCGCGACAGAAACGACCCCAGCCGCAACCGCCGCACAGACGAGGTACCTTTCATCGCCGGCTGCAGCCACTTTACACGGAAAAACACAAGGTTTCGTGCTCCGGCTTCCTCCCCAAAACATAGCCCATGCAACATTCATGCAGCCATTACATTGCGTTTCGCAGCATCCCGTAGCAAACCTGCACCTATCTACGGACGTGGCAACACCAAATGACAACAATCATGCAGCCATTCCAATGCGATCTGCCACCACAGCTTCAAGAAGCGCATAGAACTACGCACACAGGAACAACCACTCGTTGCAAAACACATAGGAGGAACAATTCGCGACAGAAACGACCCCAGCCGCAACCGCCGCACAGACGAGGTACCTTTCATCGCCGGCTGCAGCCACTTTACACGGAAAAACACAAGGTTTCGTGCTCCGGCTTCCTCCCCAAAACATAGCCCATGCAACATTCATGCAGCCATTACACTGCGTTTCGCAGCATCCCGTAGCAAACCTGCACCTATCTACACACGTGGCAACACCAAATGACAACAATCATGCAGCCATTCCAATGCGATCTGCCACCACAGCTTCAAGAAGCGCATAGAACTACGCACACAGGAACAACCACTCGTTGCAAAACACATAGGAGGAACAATTCGCGACAGAAACGACCCCAGCCGCAACCGCCGCACAGACGAGGTACCTTTCATCGCCGGCTGCAGCCACTTTACACGGAAAAACACAAGGTTTCGTGCTCCGGCTTCCTCCCCAAAACATAGCCCATGCAACATTCATGCAGCCATGACAATGCGGTTCGCAGCATCAACTCGCAAACCTGCACCTATCTACGCACAGAACAAGACCAGAACAGCGTCACCACTTCCCTTCCTCACCACTTCCCTTCGTCACCACCTTGTGTCATAGCCACCACCTCCCACGTCCCCACCTCCCTTCCTCACCACTCCCCTTCATCACCACTTTCCTTCGTCACCACTTCCCTTCCTCACCACTTCCCATTGTCCCCACCTCCCTTCCTCACCACTCCCCTTCATCACCCCTTCCCTTCATCACCACTTCCCTTCATCACCACTTCCCATCGTCACCACCTCCCATCGTCACCACTTCCCATCGTCCCCACCTCCCATCGTCCCCACCTCCCTTCCTCACCACTCCCCTTCATCACCACTTCCCTCCGTCACCACTTCCCTTCATCACCACTTCCCTTCATCACCACTTCCCATCGTCACCACTTCCCTTCAACACCACTTCCCTTCGTCACCACCCTGTCTCATAGCTTCTTATTCTTTTGTTATGTATTGCTATTGTATTGTGATGTGATGTACCACCCTTCATCATAGTCAATTCCATCAAGTAAAAGTCATTCGTAACTCGGAAGTATTGCTTCCCAACTTCCTTTGATCAATGGATATCATATGTGATATGATATGATATATCCCAGTTCTTATATATATATACACACGCACACACACCAATTGTGACCTATATATATATATGAGAAAAATGGGATACCATATAATATGAATCGTGATAGACCACCAATTGGTCTTTAAGGATTTGTTGATGAAATGTAAATATGCAATTATAAATATATAAGTGGTTGGATGTTATTCGTATAAGGGATATGATTAACCAATGTAGATATGAAAGTGGGAATAGAACAGGGATATCATTTATACAAATACAATTGTTTATGCAGCCAACAATGTAATAAGTTTGGCGTGTTTGAAAATGAGGGGAACACCCCATCACATCCACTGGTTAGAAACCTTGTGTTCCCTGCTGAAATAGCCAAAACCTGTTTGTGGACAAACACAAAGGTTTTGCGTAAGTTGTCCCCTAAGCCCTTCCATTGGGATCAACATTTTGCGAACATATCCACAGGTTTTGCTGGATGCGACACTGCAATTGCTACACATCGCTCCCTGGGATTCTCAAAGATACCTCCGAAATCCAATCAACTGAAACTGCAGGTTCCTAGAGTGAAGGGCGACTTTGCACCAACATGATTATACATATGCAAACTGGGTTGCGACCGCTGAGCTGTCACCACCAAATCTGGAGCACTCCAGGTCACGACTGACCCATCAGCCAGGATCGCAGCAAATGCATGGCTCGTTGCTTGAACCTGTTGGACACCTTTCAGCTGATCTTGGACTTCAGAGCTGTCACCACCAGAGTCTGCTTCGCCCCAAGTCACAACTGACCCATCAGCCAGGATCGCAGCAAATGCGCCATTATTTGCTTGAACTTGTTGGACACTTTCCAGCTGTTCTTGGACTTTAGAGCTGTCACCACCATAGCATGGATTGCCCCAAGTCACGACTGACCCATCAGCCACGATTGCAGCAAATGCAAAGTGTGTTGCTTGAACTTGCTGGACAGCCTTCAGCTGATCTTGGACCTTAGAGCTGTCACCGCCTTGGTCTGGGTCGCCCCAAGTCACGACTGACCCATCAGCCAGGATTGCAGCAAATGCAAACTGTGTTGCTTGAACTTGCTGGACAGCCTTCAGCTGATCTTGGACCTTAGAGCTGTCACCGCCAGAGTATGGAGAGCCCCAAGTCACGACTGACTCATCAGCCAGGATCGCAGCAAATGCCAACCTCGTTGCTTGAACTTGCTGGACACCTTTGAGCAGATCTTGGACTTCAGAGCTGTCACCACCATAGCCTGGATCGCCCCAAGTCACGACCGACCCATCTGCCATGATCGCAGCAAATGCATTGTCATTTGCATGAACCTGTTGGACACCTTTCAGCTGATCTTGGACTTCAGAGCTGTCACCACCAGAGTCTGCTTCGCCCCAAGTCACGACTGACCCATCAGCCAGGATCGCGGCAAATGCAAACTGTGTTGCTTGAACCTGCTGGACACCTTTCAGCTGATCTTGGACTTCAGAGCTGTCACCACCAAAGTCTTTAAAGTCTGAGTCTGGTCTGCCCCAAGTCACAACTGACCCATCAGCCAGGATCGCAGCAAATGCATAGCTCGTTGCTTGAACCTGTTGGACACCTTTCAGCTGATCTTGGACTTCAGAGCTGTCACCACCAGAGTCTGCTTCGCCCCAAGTCACAACTAACCCATCAGCCAGGATCGCAGCAAATGCGCCATTATTTGCTTGGATTTGTTGGACACCCTCCAGCTGTTCTTGGACTTCAGAGCTGTCACCACCAAAGTCTGGATAGCCCCATGTGACAACTCGGTCACCTCCAGGGCAAAACCATGCAAAAGCTCCTGCTACCATTGACCTTCGCCCTGTTGCCGCCAGCTTTGCCTCCAGGACAATAGCCGTCAGGTGGTCTCCATCTTCAAGTCCAGCGGCTTGCAGAGACACTGCAGGATCCAAGGCGTGATGGCCTGCAGCCACAAGTCTCAAGAAGCCACGTTGAAAGGACTTCTGTGCCAGAATCCTCAAGTCCCCTACTTTGGAGGACTGCGGAATAGAAAACTCCTCACTGCAACCGCTTGGCAAAGCTACAGTAACTTGAAGCATATCTCAAGAAAGTCTAACGTAATGAACGGAACAGTTTCTCCAATTGAGCCAAACTGCACCACTTTTCGAGCGTTGCGACAAACTCCCAAGACTCGGCGTTCAAAACCCGTTGCTGTGAGTGTACAAACATGTACGAGCCATGTTCAACCAAGCTCATAAATCGCCAATAAAAAATACTTTACTTCGTGTGATCCCCACCATGACATTTATCGATTTGTTACTGGCAAATCTTCTGGCATTCTATCTGACATATCTTCTGGCATTCGATCTGGCATACCTTCTGGCATTCTACCTGGCATATCTTCTGGCCGTGTTCTGGCATATCTTCTGCCATCCTATCTGGCAAATCTTCTGGCATTCTATCTGGCAAACATTCTGGCATACCTTCTGGCATTCTATCTGATATTCTATCTGGCATACCTTCTGGCATTCTATCTGGCATATTTTCTGGCATATGTTCTGGCATATCTTCTGGCATTCTATCTGGCATTCTATCTGGCATATCTTCTGGCATATCTTCTGACATCCTATCTGGCATTCTATCTGGAAAACATTCTGGCACTTTATCTGGCATACCATCTGGCATATCTTCTGGCATACCTTCAGGCATTCTATCTGGCATATCTCATGGCATTTTATCTGGCATATCTTCTGGCATTCTATCTGACATTCCACCTGGCATATCTTCTGGCATTCTATCTGGCCGTTGAGGTCCAGTGGTGCACATTCTTTCTAACTTTCTTCTGCACATTCTTTGTCCCATATCTTCCTACATGAGGTCCGGCAGGGAACACTTGGCGTGGATACTCGCGGTTGAGGTCCGGCAGGGAACACTTGGGCGTGGATATTCGCAGATGAGGTCCGGCAGGGAACACTGGGCGTGGATGGTCGTGGTTGAGGTCCGGCAGGGAACACTGGGCGTGGATGGTCGTGGTTGAGGTCCGGCAGGGAACACTGGGCGGGGATGGTCGTGGTTGAGGTCCGGCAGGGAACACTGGGCGTGGATGGTCGTGGTTGAGGTCCGACAGAGAACACTGTGCGTCGAGGGTCGCGGTTGAGCAGGAGGAGGAGGAGGAGAGGAGAGGAGGAGAGGAGAGGAGGAGAGGAGAGGAGGAGAGGAGCAGGCAACTGACATAAAATCTAACAACCCTCACCTGGCAGGTGGGGAACTCCAACAAAAAACCACGTTGGTCTTAAAATCAAATTCCAACATAAATGGGAATTCTAGCAACGAACATGGACGCGCCATGACCAGTTCTCCACCGGTAAAATGCCATACCAAGTTTCTCTTCCAAGGCCGAACGAGCATAGACCAGCAAATGCGTGTGCCGCAGCAGTGGTGTGTTCTCTGGCACCAAGAAACCTGCCGTGGCGCGATACCAATGGGATCCAATGGGATCCAATGGGACCAATCACCCAGTAGAACTCCCGATTTTCAGAACCAATCAACCACGGGACGTTTAACAGCTCATTTTGGGAAGTCATCTCTGTTTTTTTTGTAATTTGGACCTCCGATTTTTGCTGCTTCAATCATTGGCATGAAGAATTTGTATCCCAATGTGACTCGGTATGAGTAACTGAAGCATCCATTCTCAGTGGCTCAATTTGAACTAGTCTGGTCTGACTCTTGACACAAAGCAACATGGCATGGGTCAAATCTATTCAAAATTATGGTATGCAAAAATGGATGGTCAAAGAATGATCAAACATACAACAATACAACAAACATCTGTTGGTTGGGTGGCTGCAAATGTTGACAGACAACCAAATGGCTATCCCGGTCAAATACCGCTTCAAAAAAGTAGATTCTGAGTAGGATCTTGGCTCCAATACTGGCAAATGATAACGACTTGTTGACCAACCATGTACTAAGGCTCTCTTAAATGGAGGGAAAATGGAATGGACATCTAGACTATACTGGTCTTCACGAGTCAGGGGAACGATCAGTTGGGGTCGCACTTGGGTTCAGCCTTGTCTGCGGGCATGAGAATTTCAGGACTACATACAGTAATGAAGGGTACCCTTCATTTTCTAAGATGACAATCATACATCACCAATCATCACCATTAACACAACATCATTTGCGAATACCATTAATGTATTTATTATGATAGATATCATGTTAATTTGGATATGAATGAGAGATCACGACAAACATCTCATTGCTTTATTCTTTTCCCAGGAACCGCAAAGGTGTGCCTTTGATCAAATTTGGATGGCAAGTGGAATCGAAAAATGCTGGGATAATCCCTAAATTCAAGGCAAAAACGGCATTTGCTGACTTAGTAGAGATGGTTTATGATGGTTTATGGGACCGAAAAAACCATCGCTATGGGCTATAATCTAGTCGCTGGCCTCAGGATGCAGGGCTACGTTCCACTAGGTTCCACAACGCCTCAAACGGCAGTCATCACTCTAAGAGTGCAGCTACCATCAGCTTCTGCAGAGGGGCTATACGTGTCAAAGCTCACGTTGCCCAAGAGGCTTCGGTTGGTGCCAAACCGATCCTCCGCCGAGCGTTGGAGAGGAGCATTGGGGAGGAGTGGAAATGTGCCAACGATGGCCAAATTTCAAATGCTCTTTTGATGGGTAGACTGAGGGGCCCATAAAAGGAGCATGTTTTTTTACTGTTGCATTCATAACAATGATTCTTCTTTATATATATATATATATATCTAGATGGGGATTCAAACTCAAGTGTCACGGTCAGTCTGTCTGCACCTGCAAGCAAGTTACATGGGATGAATCGGGTATGGTGATCCATCCTATAATTGCCTACGAATGGATTGATAACCACCCTGCATGTTTGATCCATTTTGGGGTTACCAGTCCAACTTTTGACCATGACGCATATGCTCCTCAATTGGGGGGTCTAAAGATTCCGTAGGTACAGGGACTTTGGCAGTAGGGACACTGAACAAAATTTGAAACAACGCATAACTAATTATATATCAGTTTTGTTACGTCCACCCCTTTGGTCAGGTAGGGGGCACCATCCTTTTGGGTAACAACACTCAATATTTTTCCTTAGAGGACCCCCCAACTGGTGTTGGTGAATATTGGTGAATATCATCCCCCATATGTCGGATCACAATCTTTGCTGGTAAAGTTACCATGTTTTTGTTGCATCACCATCCTTCCTGGAATAGCAAACGACACATCCCCAGGGCCCAGCTTCCTCGGCCATGTAGATCACATAGTCTAAGACCTGCCCAGGGCCCGACGCAGCCCAGTTCAAGCGCTCCCCTTGGAGGGTTGTACCTGGTGGTTATCTATCTGAACAAAAATAAGAAGTATCATAAGAACCATTCAAGGAGAAATTACTTATGATTGGTGGTCACTTATTTATGAAAATATCTGTATAATCATATAAGTGATAAATCCTGAAGTCATCATGTGTCCTGATGTCTCTAATCATAGCATCCAAATTACACAATCAAAAGAGTCATCAACTGAAGACATGTTCAAGTCATCTCAAATCCCCCATTGAAATGGAACCCCACCCCTACACGAGTGTTTATTGTTTCAGGGTGGAGGGAGCCGTTTGAGGACATTGGAGGACACAACATTTTTTTGTTGAAGCACCAAAGATGCAATGGCAATACAAATAAGCGATCAACAAACTATTCAAGGGTCAGTTGATCTCGTGTTTATCAGTACTTCATTGGCTATATCACACATGTTCTAAATTTAATCTCTTCCTGATCTACCCCCGAAGCGCTTGTGTTTTACACATTTGTTGCATTTTGTTGCCACCAAATTCACACAGATTTACCATGATTTACAAGTTTCACCCCATCACCCGCGCAACTCGTTGTGTTTCAAGGCCGTCCCACCTCACTGTAGTCCTCCGGTTCCACCCACGTCAGGTTGCCACCGATCTCCCCAGGATCCAAGTCCTAAGCTGACGGGGTGGGAACTTGGCCCAAACCTGATCCGTTTGGTGGTTTTAATTGTTCTGATCCATCTAAAGATGCATTATCCTCTGGTTATGACTAACATAGCCATGGAAAATGGCCCATTTATAGATGGTTTACCTATTAATGGTGATTTTCATGGCTATGTTAAATAACCAGATGGTACATTGAATTAGTCATCTGAACTGGTCATCTCAACCGATCATCCCAAGTGCATGGTCTGTTTGAGGGGGCCTTCAATGGCGGGGCCGTACGTTGGCCTCAGGGCGTCCCTCCTGTCTGCACCGTTCGGCGGCCCCTGGCATGAGTGGCACCTTTCCAGTAACGGTGCCTTCCGAGGCCATGATCATTGAGGATATGGCGGCGTCGCGAGTCTTCCCGCCCTGTTAGTCCACAAACACCACCAACGCGGGCGTTGTGAATACCACCCGCAAGGTTAAACCTGGGGATCGCACAGCTATTTATTCTTAAAACAAGGTCAAACCAAGCAACGCCTTTTCTTCTAGCCTCAGAGATGTGGTTCCTTGGCTCCCGAACTTTTTTGGGGAAAAAACTGGATACAACCATAGCTCCTAAACTCTCAATCGCTCCCTCCATCCACCACCAGATACATCCGGGAATCAAACATGGTTTGCTGGAAAATATCAAATCCCCATTTAGTTCAATGAGATTTTCCCAGCTATAAACCTCTATTTACAGGGGATGTCCTTCTTGCCATGTTTGAGAACATTAAAGGGTCATGAATCAATATTCCATATCCCACTCATATTCCATGTCCCCCATTATATATATATATATTTTTTTTATATCCCCATCATAGTCCTTTTATCACATGATTTTCATGCCCAAAAAATACGCTAGGATACCCTTTTCTTCATGGTGAAATCCTCAGATTCTCATGATACCACCAATTTTGCTAGTCAAATCACTAAATCATTGTTTTCATGGTCAAATTGAACCTTTTTTCCTATTTAACATCACCAAATCATCACGAGATCCCAGCTGCATCGTCGGTGAAGGACACATTGTTGGCCCGCGAGGCTTCGTCCGCAATCGCTAGGAAGGCCGGAGTGGTCCTGGGGCCCGATGTTTCCATGGTCACGGGGGTAGCTCAATAGCTGGATACTTTTGTTCATGGAAAATCTCAAAAGCATGAATGATTTGGGGTAATCCCATTTCAGGAAACCTCTATGATAGAAATGATATATATATATATTATATATAGATATATGATTATAGATGACATATTGGGTGATGTTCTATACCAGACTCAGTAACTCTCGATTCTGCCCAAGGAGCTGTTCCACCAGGACGGAACGGGTGTAGACGGTGAAGTGGGTGAAGTTCTCTCTGGCGGTGTTGCTGGGTACGTGCAGCTTCAGCACCTGCAGGCCATATGGATCATGGGATTGGTTGAAGTGAAGATTGACAGGAAGCCCATATATTTCATGGGAAAACCGAAAACCATGATGGTTTCCTGTAGATTTTCCCTTCAAGCAATCCAATGAATGGAGGATTTAGTTGAGATGTGCGCTTAGATACTTAAATGGGCCCTGGAGCTAGTGAACTAGTTGATGAATGGATTGTAATTGGGATGTGGCAAACAAAAAAGCAATGGTCATGTTGGCCCCACAATGGTGGTGAAGCAATAAATAATATGTAGAGCTATGATGAGCTATGTAGTAAACCCAATAATAAACCTTGCAAGTGTGTAAGGTTGATAACTTCCACTAATTGTATTATATATATATATATTCTATATATATATACGGTAACTACATTTAAATATACAAACTTGAACAGGTATTTTAGACTACCTCCGGGAAGGCTTTCCTTGGCCCGTCCAGCCATTTAAACATACTGAATCCAATTCATTTAAACATACTGCAACTACATTCAAATATAGGAACTGGTGTTTCATACTACCTCCGGGGCCTTGCGGTCTGGCCCGCCCTCCACATATTTAGATATCGTTACCGTATATTGTTTATCAGTTTACCTGATTCAAAAATGCCCTTCGCAAGTTGGTCACCAAAAACTTCGCTTCTCAATTCTCGGGGTCCCTTTTTTCAAACGGATACACAAATTAGCCATGGCCACTAAGCATAAGCAGTTTCTTGATGGAAATTCATGGGCCTTTGGACATGATCTACAGGCGCTGGCTTCATATTTCTTCATGTCAGCCCTGGATTAATAAACCCCGTTTACGGCTGGTTAATTGGGTGGGTACCATTTAAGTATTGGCTTATGACTATTGGAGGAGTACCCCTCCTAATCAATAAACCATGGTTTATTAATCCGGGGTTGACATTATTCTTTATTTGTATATGTTATCCCCACTGATGGCCAAAAATATGACCGAGCCTACCCCTCACCGGTGACTGCCTGCGGTGCCAGTGCAGAGCCCAATTGCGATCTGCCCAGACCGGTGGCACCTGCAACCCGCAACACTTTCGAAGGATTTCATCTCCATAGAATATACCATAATATACCATAATATACCCATTTCATGCCATTTCAATCGCGAAAATGAATGAACATGATAAATCACCATCAAAAATGTGGGATATTTAGGGGTAGTGTCGGTACTCCAGTCCCCAGATTATAAGCATTAAAGGGAAAAAAAACTGTCATCCTTCCAATCAGAACTCATGAAAAACATGAACAACTCTAGCCACGCTCCCAACCCCCGCGCCTTCCGCCAGGTACACCAAATAGGCATTCAGCCGCTCCGTGTCGTTGGGCGGCAGCCAGGTTAAGTCACCACCCAAGTCGTAGAAGTCCAGGTCCTGGACCGAAACATCAGCGGTTGGGGCCTAAAGGTCATAGATGTGGAAAACCCCACCATTTTTAGAACATTTTCAGGAGAAACCATGGGAAACACCCACGTCTATGTTAAAGTAGGGGAAGTCATTTGGAGATTATCATCCCTAAATTTTGGGGGGAATCTCTACCAGAACTCTAGCGTAACTATCAAGAAACAGGCTGATATGAATTGAAATCCCCAACATATGGATCCAGAATTCCAGGAAGTGTTGGTCTTGCAAAACATAAGGGATAGCCATCCCTCCTTTCAAACCTTCAATGCAGCAACCATCTCCATCTCGTTGTTTTTTCCAATCAACGAACTAGTTTGAACATCTACAGGAGACCGTTGGAAACTCGCCTGTAAATACGGGGGCTCCCCGCAAATGTTCCTTTAAACTATCAGGGTAGATTAGGGGTTCTCCTGAAACCATGGTCGGTTTTTTGTGGATACATGGGGATAGTCTCCGGCAAACATGTTCCCCAATGGAGTTCGATGATGTTCCAAGTAAAACCATTCCCAGCCATGACTAATTGCCAAAGCGAAAGCCAGTAATTAGGATTGTCCACTGTCAACCATTGCTAGCCACTGTCAAAACCAGTCTTGCCCACATAGAAAACACATATTTTTGGTTGGTGGTTTTAATCATCTTGAAAAATATTAGTCAATGGGAAGGATTACCCCATATATTCTGGAATAAAACATGTTTCAAACCACCAACCAGTAATCATATTCAACTCCTAAATTTGTGGAAGGCAGACTTGGTGGAAACACTTCCCCCTTGAGTCGGCCAACATTGTGTTCGGAAACCCATGAGAACTGATTATCTTCGGAAACTTATCTTTGGAAACTGAACAACGACATTCGGAAACTAAACCTCACAGAAACTTTTGCAACCGATTATGGGGCTCTGGACCTGGATTATGGGTCTTCCACATGTGGTTTCATGGACCTTTTTCTTTACATAAATCAACCTAAATCAACCCTTCCTTTGAAAGGTTTTGATGTTAATACAGGTAGCCTGCTAAGATTGTTAAGATATGACCATGCCGACAACTAAGATTCCTTCGACCAATGAGATCATTGGCCCGCAATTCTTATTTAACCAATTGGGACCCTTTAGCCCTTTAGCCGCTAATTGGAAACCATGTTCTTTCAAACCCTTTTCCAATTCTATTGACGCAAAAGGATGTCCAGTCCAAATTTCGAAATAACATCATTCCTAAATCGAAATTCTGTTCAATGGGATCCCAGGTCAAACAACTTTAAAGTGATTGCATTTTACATATTCAGGATCTAATTGGGATTAACTGGGTATATGGAGGCAGCAGCGACCGAAAATAGCCAAGACACATGCCTTTTGAACTATAGTAAAGGTGCATAGAGCCAACAAATCAAGATAGTAACAATCCCCAAAAAACTCAAATCTGTCAAAGGTTCAATTTTGTTAGGATCTAAACCTTAAATTTTTCAGCAACTTATTTTACAGACTTTGTGGACCTTTTTTCCGTTGCGGACGATTATGGGGCATGAGACGTCCTGAGATCTGCTGAAAAAAAATTAAATTCGGCGGAACTTTTGGGGGCCTGTGCCCCTTGATCGGTTGCATTTGTTTTTTTACGGACTTTGTCCGTCGGCGGAACTCCACTACACAAATTGTGTACCTGACTTCTGCTGAAAAAAAAAAAATTCGGCGGAACTTTTGGAGGCCTCTGCCCCTTGATCGCTTGCAATTTTTTTTTACGGACTATGGTTTTTTTTGTTTTTCGGCGGAACTCCACTACACAAATTATGCACCTGACATCTGCTGAAAAAGTTTTTTTTCAGCGGAACTTAGTATTCAGACCTATGGTTCGGCGGAACTCAACATCACAAAATGTGTAGTGGACTTCTGCTGATTCAATGGTTTTCCCTAGGATTTCTGCTGATTTTTTTTTTTCGGCGGAACTCAACATCACAAAATGTGCGCCTGAGTTCTGCTGATTTGTATGGATTTTCGGCGGAAGTTCATAAGTTTAGTAACAGAGCGTCCCTGCAGCATTTTCTCTCATTGGCTTGTTACTGACCCAGCTGCAATGGATGCAATGGAAGAGGATTGGAGTGAGCCTGAATTTCAGGACACTGAATTCAAAGTATGCCCCGTTTAATTGATGGACTCTAGGTCCTCTAACATATATTCTCAAGTTTTTTGGGAATTAAATCTTGTATGGGAAATATCACCCTGCCACATATATATATATATAATATAAACATCATACATATATACATATATGTGTTTCTATCCAGGTATGTACACACCGACACATAAAAGACATATGTGTATATGTAAATATATATATATATATATGTTTGTAGGTCTGACATACGTACATATATATATATGTATGTGAATATATACTTATGAGTATACATATTTCATCGGATTCAATATGAATTCGACACACACATATATATATATACAACTGTCTATATCTATCTATCACCCTGAACCACCTCTTGGTGTGTGTGTGTCTGCGGAGATGGGAATGCTGTGTTATTCTCTATTATCTTAAATATATTTTAATCAGTTATATTTAGTATGAAGGAAGTATATGTTGGTATTATATCACATGACATATATATATATCACATGATCTAAATACAAATACACAAACACATATATATTATATAGTTATATAATCATATACGTGTACCTATATACATATATATAAATATATTTATACATAGCTATAATTTCGTATGGGTATAATATGGTGCTCAAAGGATCCAAATTGATGTCCCCAAATCAAAATCCCAAGCCCCATAATTGACTGCAAAAGTTTACAGGCGTATTCGGAAACCAATATCTTCCGAGCTTTTCTTCGGAAACTTGTTGTTGGCAAACTCTGCAGTGGCCATGTGCCTGTGAATCAAAAAACATGGCCCTCCCTCAGCTGCCTGCCTCACTACGTGTGTGTTAGCGAAACAAAATCACCTGATTCTGAAGTGTAGGAAGTGATTTTGGAACTGTGTCTGCACTTTGCTCACGTGTTCACATGTTTTTTTGGCTCATGTTTCTTGCCTCGACCTTCAACCTTTTCGACTCTCCAAGCTGCCAGAAGTTTCTCTGTGAATGATCTCACGGGGGAAGAGGCGGTTCCACATCATTGTGCAAGCTATCTACGACATGAACCACCTTGTGCTTGTAAGCCATCGCTCCATCGCTTGCGGGCTCAAGCCAAGACATTTTCGCTGCGATCCAATTTAGGACTGTCAAAGCCTGGCCCCAACTGCAGTGGACGGCTTAAAAACCCAATGGAAAAGCTGAAGGATGATGAAAGGCACGGGCAAGACGGTTTAGGACATGGTAGCAAGCCATAGCAACAACATGCTTTAACCATGTGGGAATGGATGAAGTTTAATGCCTCATTCAGTCGCTGGCATCTGCCAGGTCAGACGGAACCCGAATGTACACAGGTGAGCGCAGCTTAATGTTCACTATGTTCATGAAATATAAGACAAAAGCAGAGAAAAGAGGGCAACAGCTAGTCCCCTTGGTTTCTGAATCCGAAAAAATCTTCCCAATCCCATATGCTCCATGGTGCTGAAATATTTACCAACATTTACCCCATAAATCACCCAGTTTTGTAGGTAAATATTACTATACATGGAATTACATGGAGCATATGGGAATGAGTAGTCTCTCGGCTCCTGCCCATGGAAGCGAATGGAAGAGACACTGGCGTCGCTGTCATCGATCAGCAGCGCCAGGGGGTAGCTTTGCTCTGCCAGGGAGGACGCGGCGTAGATCAGGTAGTGGCTGTAGTTGCCCAAAGCCTCGATTCAACGGCCATGACGAACTGGATCCGATTGAGGACGGAGGTACCGATTCCATAGATTTTTGGCCTATTTTTGAGGCCTAAATTTCAGGGAATATCACCACAATTCATATGGCCAGAAATATGGTACTAACATGTACTAACGTACCTCCATTTTAGGATCCTGGAATTCCCATTGATATTTCTGCTAAGAAACGTAGGAGATCCACCAGTTTAGCTAGCATGGCAATGGACAATTCACTATAAATGGCAGTTATAGCTGGGGAATATCATCTGCAAATTGGGTGATTTTCCAGCAAGCTATGTTTGATTACCGGCAGGTATGGCTTTTGTATGGGGGAATGGAGGCCCTACATGAGACCATGCGATTCCTGCTCCTCCAAAGAACTAGTGATGCCATTATATAAGTGCCTTGCCAACCGCTGAGAATCTGGTTATCAGGTAGAAGTAGAAGTGTGGATCTTCAAAAAATAAAGGCCAGTCACTGTGGTTCTAAGTCCACTTCTGTCCACTTACTGGCGGAATTGGATGTGAAAAAAAAGTAGTAAGTGGTACTCTTCAATACTGGCAGTAGATCAAGCCAATCAATATTACTAGCTTAAATATGGATTTGATGATCATTGATGATACCCTCTGGTAAACTAACAGTTTGCTATTGAAAATGGCCCAGTCGAAATAGTGGCCATTTTTCCGGTTAAAAAAACATGATTGTTCATCGCTATGTTAAATTACCAGAGGCTATTTGATGTGTGCCTTCACGGAATGACGGGGTTACATTCGCTTGGCCGCCCCAGGTGCCAAAACTTGACCTTCGGAAAGAAGACATCCCATGATCTGAACTCCACAGACCTTTGGATGCTTACTGGACCCCAAAGTAAAATAACTATAAGCTGATTTACGGCCCCATCTATCTTTAGTTATATCATGTTGTATCTACATGTATCTACCACAAAAGCATTGTAAATCTATAGTGAACTAAACCAACTTAGCTATCCAACGGGGGCCCCTTTCCGACGGAACAAGGCACCGTCTCCGGCGGAACCGTCATGCTGTTGCTGCCCAGCGGAGCAGTTCCTGCCAAACGCCGGCACCAGCTGAGACTCACCTGGCAGGGTGACAATGGAGATGCCATGGGATGCAAAGTGGGGATTCAGAAGGAATTTCTGCATCAATAATTGGGGTTCAATGGATTCAATCATCAACAAATAAGATTTAAAGATGCACCAGTTTTGAATCTGTTCTTCAAATAGGAGTGGAAATGGTAGGCAGAACCATCAAGAATCAAAGGCAGTGATTCCTTCGGAGATTTACCTAATGAAAAATGCAGGGAAATTATGAGTGACAAGTGGTAAGAAATGGGGATTGAAATGTCAAACATCTCCAACATCCTGAAATCCGGAGTTCACCAACACAGCGATTCCACCAGCGAAAAAAGACAAAAAACCCACAGAAATGGATTAAACTAAACAACATGGTGATACAATCTATACTGATACTGGGTAAAAATGGTTGACAACCATTTACACTCTACTTGTGTATATGAGACAAACCACATTCGCTCAACGTCGTCAAACATTGACCCTGGAGGTCAGTGAGCGGATGATGAAGATCATTTAGTGGTGCCTAAATGCCAAATGTTTTTTGCATAACAAGTTTAAACTCATAGAAACAACAAGTAAAAACCCTAGAGTGTTTGTGTGTGTGACAGTGTGCTCATGATACTCATGTTTGACTAGCCAGTGTGCGTCTCTGTAATTGCAACCGTATACATTCTACGGGCGGGTGATGCCAAGTCGCCGAGAAAATGGAGCCCACATAGTCCAAGCGACGACCTTCGGCAATCCTGGACCGGAAGCCACATGGGCTCAGGGTACGGATCATGACCCATCTGTGGTGGTGACTTTTATCGAAGTGGCTAAATCGCTACCGTTGGTGCATTGAATTGTTACATAAATTTTACATATCCAAGTTCGTTGACTCTCTTCAATGTTAATGGGTTTTCACGGGAGAACCTCAACAGGAAACCATGGATTTTCCCGATTTTCTCATGAACTATGAGGCTTTCCTAGAAAAAAAAGCATCCTTAAACCAATCCAGAATTCAGTCCCATGCGTTCCCCGTGTATACCATTCATTAACCACTTTTGTTATCCCATCAATGACCATGATTATCCCAGGATTAAAACACCTTAAGCCAAGCGTCAGCCGTCTGGAGGAGTTGCCAACACCATCGCTGTACTCCTGAAGCTGCTACCACAGCTACCGTTTTTATGGGATGAATGGGGGTAGGCTTATCCATCCCATAATGGGAATTCACATAATTTAAACATTATATGATGGACGTATAATTTGTATTATAATCCATATATCATCACATAGCATAAATCCATATATGAATATTGACAGTAAATTCCTGTTGTATAATGGATAACCATCCCCCAATGTTGGCATATCATATGAATATGTCGTTTTTGCCCATAGCACATATGGTACTATGATCAGGGATCACACGAAATGGGGTCATCCTTCTCTTGTTAAGTCTACCGGAAGTTTGGCCAGGCAATGGGCCATCCGTGTCAATCTGATCTTTAAGATATGGCGGGGGGTCCTAAAATGGGGGGGTACCCCTAAATCATCCATTTTAATGGGATTTTCCAGTATGAACCATCCATTGTGGGTACCCCCATGTATGGAAACCCCTATATAGTGAAATAATGAAGACATGTGGATATTGATGGTAGATTATCCAGCCAAAAACATGTGTGCCAGAGAGTACATGGACTAAGATCACTGTGGTTCACAAGTGAACTAAGACACAAAACAGCTGCTAGTTCAGCAACATTCACAAGTCATCTGATTTGTGAGAGGAAAACATGTTTGAAATCACAGTCTTCATCCGATACTCTTGAATCATGTGTCTGTGGGTCAAAATCCCAGAAACATCTAGTTTCCTCTACTTCAGAAACACACAAAAGTAAAACATGTTTCGATGTTCACATTCCCTTGTTGGCTTTTGATTTTCTTTACCAAATCCTCATTAAAACATCAAAGGCTATCAGAAGGGCATTATCATGCAGAAGCAAACCTTATGAAAACCTTAAGGTAACCCGCACAGGTACCCCCCCAACATCTCGTAGTTCCATGTTTGCTGTCCGCCTCTTTTCGTAAAGGTTGATGGTGGTTGACGATCAAACAACAACAATCAAATTGGCAACTGTTCAGCAACTGGAGCTCAATGATTTTGATTGCCTTGGATGAAACTTCAACAGTGTTTATCTAAGACCTAAGACAAATCATCAAACAAGAGATGCGGGTTGTGCAGTAACCCCGATAATACACATTTACCAACTTTATCACTTAAGGGGGGCATTTATAACTGTACCCCAAGACGGTTTACCCAATTTTTCATGGTCAAATATCTCCCTATCTATTCATTAGATCCTCATTTCCATTGTTTGTCAAAGCATGTTAAAGCCTCATTTCCAGGTTGATTTAAGTTGAATCCAACTCTTTTTCAGTTGGGTGCTTCGGCCATCCCCCTGCTCTTCCGAGATTTCTGATGGCCTCATCGTCTGAGGTGTCGCTTTGATTCGCCTGAGATTCATGGGACCAGTTTTTGGGCGCTGGACCGCTAGACCCCCATTTTTTTGGACACATTAAAATATTGAAATATCTCGCAAAATTTGAGAAGGGGATTGAAACTTCATAGTTTGAAATATCGAGTGAACATGTCTCCATATGTCATATGTTGTACTTGAGTGCTCCATTACAACTGCCAAGGAACAGCAGCCATCAGATCTGCAAAGTGTGCTGCCAGGTATGTGCTGTCAACGATGTCCATGGCAAGGCGCGAAAACCTGAAGCGCTTGGATGGCCCGTGCTGGCCTTGTCTCAGATAAGACAAGATGGCAATGGAGATCACCAGTGTGGAAAGGGAACAAATTGTCACAACATCTTTTGAGTTGTAGTAATAAAGTAATTATAGTCACTTATAGTCTAGCAAATTGCAATCACGATTTGGATTCTAGAAACATCATCAAAACATCATCTGTGAATAGAGGTGATCATAGATTCATTCATGGTTTCTCTCAAAACGGAAACCAGTTCACCAGTCCTCGATTGCACAAGGATAGAATGATCGCATTTGCTGCGGGGTCATTGTCAGCAGGAAGGTGAACTTACCATGATTCAATGATTACTTCATGGAACAAACTGTGGTTGCTGCCGACCCATTCTTTTAGTGAGGGATAATCATGAGCAAATACCCTAAGAAATCCTATCGAGATGCATGGTATTGCATAGGCAGTGAGTCCTTTAGCCTAACACATCAGGGAACATGGCCTAGTGATCCATAGTATACCAATGATTATCATCATCATCATCATCATCATCAGCAGCAGCAGCAGCAGCATCACCCTCGCCAAGTAGCGACATCACGCTAAAGCCACTGTCCAGCACCTCGGATTTGGATTTCGCGATTCCAACAAAAACACGGCCAGACATGGCCAGACTTTTTCTGAAGAAAACAGGTCCAAAACAAATTCCAGAACAGTTGAGAAATCATATCAGATGTTGTCTTTTTACATACAAATCTGGAAAAATCAATCAGTTGCACTTGCGATCACCGACTCCCAGATCTCCGACCAAGGTACTGCGCTGGGAACGCCCACCGCCAGCAGTTCCGGCTTCAAGAGCTCAGCAAAGGACGCCACGTCTTCGCTGAAGGCATTCGCAGTGCCTCGTTTTCGACCAAAAAAACGTCAACGTTGAGGCCACCTCAATGGGTATCTCACCCGAGGTCTAACAAGAACTGGTTGGTGGTTTTAAACCATCTTGAAAAATATGAAAGTCAGTTGGGATGATGAAATTCCCAATAGATGGGAAAAAAAAACTAATGTTCCAAACCACCAACCAGTAATTGTATGGATATAGAGTAAAAACACGTGATGGATCATATGGATCGTAATGAGATCATTTTGGTTGACACAAAAAAAACACATACAATACATTTTCCGATGCCAATGAACACCATATCTAAAGCATCGCACTTCTTCAAACATTGTGGCTCATGACGTCTAGGACACTGGATCTAGACATTCCACCTGACTTGAACGCTGAGACACCCATGCCAAAACACTGAGCTGACCATGATGCTCACAACCCCTGGCTGAATGGGGGGGATAACCCAAGAACGTCAAAACAAACTAGAACAAGTACAAACACATGCCATTGGAAACGGTACCCAAAAACATATATGAACCCTCTTTCGATCACCATTGAATCCCTTTAAATCACAATGTTTTATCACTAAATCATCACAAATTCATTTTGATGGTTGAATCACCATTAAAATCACCATTTGTGATGTTTAAATCACCATTGAATCACCAAATCAGCCGGAACTTTGGGGCAACCTCGTAACATCCAAGCGGCTGGTGGCAGCAACCACATTCACCAAGGGCAGGGTGGCCTGTTTTTTGGCAGGACCAGCTGTTGGAAGGGAAAAGGATGGTAAGATCCTGGCAAGGTCCTGGTAAGATAGCTAAATTTATACAATGTGAGACCCCCAAGATAGCTAAGTTGGCTTATAACTCCAATAACTATGGTTTATGGTACTTATAACTATAGTTACTGGGGCTTATAAACCAACTTATAACTGGGGGGCCTCACATTGATAGGTGTTGATGTGTTTTTGGTCTTCTTTTCAGGTTGTATAAATTATCTTTCTGCGAAAAAAAAAATCGGGTGCCCAACTGTTCTACTATGTGTCTGGGGGTTGCTATAAATTCCTTTTGACCTCAAATGTTTCCATCATGCGGATCTGGGTTCATGTTTGACCCTGAACCGAGAAATTACATAGATATCATAGATGTTGATCTGTACATTCATGAGGCATTCACGAGAGATTCAAGATGTTATCAAAGATGGAAACATGATCAACCATCCATCCAAACGGCCATCACTGCCAACACCCAAACATAATTCTATGTCAACAGAGCCACCAATATCATAGAACAATCAATGGGACATGCCATACTACTATTGCTGGTTGTCGGCTAACATTATAGTGAAGGCGGAATCCATCCCATTTCAATCCCATTAAATCACCAGGTTTTCATGGTTGAATCACCATTACATCACCATGAAAATTGCTGGTTATTTAACAGTTCGCCATGGAAATCCCCATTTTTTAGCTAGGTAAACCATCTATAAATGGGCCATCTATACCATGGCGAACTGTTAAATAACCAGAGGGTAATTTCTGGTTTTGACAAAAAATTCAAAACAAACGAAGCCTTTAAGCTCCAACACTTCCCTGTTGAGAACTTCCCAAAATCACTGAGAGCAGCACTGTGGTTTTACAAAATGCCAACTGCCATCCCCAAATATAGGTTTTATTGATTATATACCCCCATATGAAACCCCCAAAATAAGGGGTTACAGTTGTTAACTATAGTAGCCATGAAATGGATTATGATAATACCAGATGGATCGTCATGCATCACATTAGATTGCTGGATGACAATGAACTAATATTAGATTACTAGTTTATACTGACTACATGTTGATTATTAGTGAATAATATAGCTACTGAAGACGGCCAAGGCTGGCCCACCGGGGGAAACCATGGGAAACCGCAGGAAACCAGTTGATGATGTACACCGACAAAACCTCAATGGTGGTTTTCCATGGCAAACATGGAATAATACAGTCACTAATAGCAGTTTGTAATTTAAAATAGTGAACAATAATGTATATAATACAACAGTTACTAGCTAATTAATAATAATAGCACACTATGGTTTAAACTGATCACAGTGTTCATGGTCTATAATAATCTATGTACACACTTATCATGAAAGATCTATAGTTGTGATACCCCCAATACTTGTTGACTATAATTCGTTATCATATGCCCCAATAGTTGTTGGCTATATCCCAAATTATCATTTAAACAATGGCTAAATTCCCATGGTTGTTGATTCTACCCCAAATCATGATACCTGATTAACATTCAACCCATTATACCCAAATTATGTACATATATTGTTGTAATTCCCATTATACACATTATGAACCTTGTTGTTATGAGATTACAGGGAATTAATGGGAGACCATTGAAAATAATCTGTGGGTTACATATGGCAAATGTGATATATATATATATATAGGTAGATATATATATATATATATATGGGAAAAATAATATGAGTATAGTATTGATTAAAATGAAATAAGCTGATGTGAACATTTATTGTTAACATACACTATACATATATATATATATGTATACATATATTAAGACATGTTCTTGTTATACCTTCCATTACCTTCCTAAGAACCCCATCTCACCTGATAGGACACATCCCACAAGCTCGACAAGCGACGGCCTCGCGTTGTGCGCAACCGGGTTGATCGTGGGTTGTGGGATGCCCCAAAACCATGGCTTTCAATACTAAAATTTATCTACAGTAATCTTGGATGATTTGGGGGGACCCCCATTTTAGGAAACGTCCATTGAGTTTCTGTCAGTGTATCTTCAGCTACAGTAGACTGGATTCACTTGGCTGCAGTTGCTGTTCTCAACATCTTCCATGTTGCCTCACACAAATCCAACCCAGGAACGAGTAGGTTCAAACAACCCAAACCTCAATGCCGACATCAACAAAGATGCAGCCCAGTGATAGCCGACTATAGCCATGATGTGGTCTACGAGTCTACATGGGTATGGGCGAAGGAAGGTGTGGACCGAACTGAAGATAAGGACCAACATCTGTGGCCCAACATGGTTTTCAATGTTTAATTCATGGCCATGAAATGCAGCAAAAACTCATTATATCATGAACGAAAACATAAATCACATATAATGACATGAACCAAGAAAAAACTGTCCGGTGGTTGCGAACTCGCAGTAGCTCCATGGCTACCCATTTAGGCAAGATGGATGCAGTCGCAAAGCTCCAAAGACACCCCCCCCACTCGCCACTGGATATCACATCGTTATTTTTATGTCCTATTAGCCCCCATTACTGATAGATATGACCCGTATTTGTTTTGTAGATCATACCGTATGTCCCATGATATATTCCCATGATTTAATGGTTGATCATCAAACGTCAGATATCACTGGTTACAGCTAGATATCATCCATTAAATCATAATTCAGACACATTACATGATCGTTCAATGCTGATTTTTCAAAAGTCCATATAAAAATAAATATATATATATATATAATATATGTATAAATCATTATTGATATCCCAGTTATCCCATATTATCCCGTATTATTGATCAACCATATTGTCAATTAACCACATCACCTTCCCGACCTTCCACAGCTTCAAGACGACGGCGACCCGTCACCAGGACCACGCTGATCAGCAGGGCATCTGAGTTCAGACCTGGCGAGGTCGTCGCTTCAATCTACTCCAGGAGGATTATAATGATTATGTTATTATCAATCTACTCAGATGCCCCATTGGCATATACTATGCAAAATATAGTAAATTAACATAGACCCTCTGGTAAATTAATCATATCTACTGATTAATGGTACCCTCTGGTAAATTAACATAGACCCTGGCAGTCATCGGGGTTGGAAGACTAGTTTCCATTAAAAATTGGTGATTTTCAGGGTCTATGTTTATTTACCAGAGGGTACATCAAATAATGGTACATCAAATCATGGTAGGATTATATGCCAATTACAGACTATTTGATGTACCTACAAATAAATATGCGTTGGCATAGAGTGCAAATATGGTACGTCAAATAGTCTGTATCTATTTATCATATATTTTGTATATATATATAATATATAATTATATAATATATCATATTTCTATATGTCATGCATGTGTGTATACAGAATTATGTGTATCACAACTTCTGTTGTAGCCTTCAGGGCCAATTCAATGTCTCCCAGTTGGTGGTTGTGCCATCTACCCATCGGGGAAATCTTGTGGGGACCCCCTATCCAGATTGGTTGATTTTCCCATGGTGCGTTTGCGCCATGGGTAAAAACCCAACAGGTTGGCTTCACGCAAAGATAAAGGTTGGTTCATGTTTCCTATCCGCTAGATAATTCACATAAAAAATATTAAGACATATGAATACCGAAATCCCATTAGCAGAATCATCATTTAGCCCAAAAACACTTCCGGGTATACTTCCCCACGTTTGAGACAACCCCATCCCCACTAATTACATTGGTAAAGCACCGTGTTTTGATAGTCACATCCCAGTTCCGTACGGTAAAACTGCCAACACCTATTCAACCCCTCAATATCAAAATCCAATCAATGTATGACATACTAATAGCATGGTTTGCCATCAATTTACCCCCCACCAATAACAACATGGAGGTTTTCAAAAATGGGGGTATACTCCCACTTATCATCCATTTTCATTTGGATATTGCATGAAAATACCTTTACGTCCATGTTTTGGTTGGATTTTCCATGAAAAAACTATCCAGCGTGGCTATGGAAACCTCCACCAGCTCCGGCCACGCCTGGAAATGCCGCCAGCAATGTGGCGCGCACGGCAGTTTCCACCTGCGTTGGTGGTGGGGCGATAACTCCAAAGACATTCCCATATATTCCCATCAGATAAAGTGAATAGAATATATGATATGGATATAATATGATATGATTATATATAGGGATCTGTATATAACAGTGTATAGGAACAGTGTGTAGGAACAATGTATAGGAACAGTGTATATGTTTTATGCTAATAATAGGGACATGATAAGGGATTGGTATATAACAGTGTACAGGAATACACGTAGTCTAATGGGATATTCTAGCAAATAATCACCACAGGGTAGTACCCTGTCGTGAAATTTACTATAGTCCAATATCTGGCTATAGCTGAATATATGGTCAATATAGGCCATGTCATACTATCTAGTATCTATATATGGGGAATTATGTGCTCTAGTTGAACATTCTTTTAGGCGCTACAGTAAGAATTCAACCAAAATGCATCAAAACATTCAAGACAATGGATCAGCATGGGAATCGTGTCATCTTTATACGATACTATTGCTTCCCGGAGTTCTGGAATATGATTTGTGTGTCATGTAAGCACAGAGTCGTGGCCAACCTTGACTCAACTATGATAGGGGGATATGATCGGGATGCACACATAATCTTGGCCAAGAATCATAAGTTGCGGTTGATTCCCAGCATTGAGGTTTTTTAGCTTCAGGGTTGAACATTAACAGGAATCCAATCGAATTGCTGGTCAAACCCATGGGTTGTCAGCATGTTATTTTTCCAACAAGACCAGGCCAGTGGTGACTTAGACCTTGCTGCAAATTGATGTGTTTCTTTAATCTGTGGATCTGTTGGGTATGCGGCCCAAGAAAAGGATAGGCAAGTAACAAAACACTGTTGTGTTTGGCCGTTCTATCTATCTTTCTGGGGGTTACTATACATCATTCAAATATTGGTAAACATAGGAATAGGTAAATCACCAGTGTATCAAGGTACTGCAAATCCCAATGTTCTATCGTTTAATAATTCCTAAATATATCTTCGGATAGTCGAATAATGACTCATCTATAGATTATCCATAGATGATTTACCAATTAAAAACGCTGATTTACTTCATGAAATTGGCAAAACCCCTACGAGATTTCCCCATTCTTTGATGCTTACCATCTGGTTATGACTAACAGTTCGCCATGGAACATCACCATTTTTCATAGGAAAATCATCTATAAATGGGCCATTTTCCATGGCTATGTGAAATAACCAGAGGGTAAATCCCATGGTCTTCCATGTTTTTCCGTGGGTTCCGTCCCCGCCTGGCTCTCCTCCACCCCTGGCAGCTGCAGGGTCACGGAACCACTGATGGAGGCCGCCAGATTCACAGCCTGAGATCTGCCAGGATCATTGGGGATGATTATGGGGAAAAAAAAATCAGTTGTACGTTGTCATTACCCTCTGGTTATGCCAAAATAGCTATTGAAAATTGCCATTTATAGTGGATTTTCCCATTAAAAATGGTGATTTTCCATAGTTATGTTAGTTTACCAGAGGGTATGGGGTAAGAAACAAATCATGGAAAATCGGTTATCATAAAAAGGTTATCCATAATGTGAACAGATACTGGAGATATGATGGGTATAGTTACAATCTTACTGGTGCGTTTTACGTAGGGAATGGATGGGAATGGGGGTTGCTGGGATGATTATGAATAGTGATTATGGATCATTCCCTCATTCCCTGCTAAGCACCAGTAAGTTATGGGATACAGAAGTTTTAAAACTATGGGAAAATACAAAAACAACATATGCACAACGACGTATGTATATGTATGTGCATTAGTATTTGCACAACTATAGACACAATATACAAGTGTATACAATTATATATATATATACATATGCTATATATATATAATATAATGTTTCCTACTAAAGTGATGCACCAACTTGTGTTCTCTTCACACTCCACAATATGGATATGGTTGCACCTTGCGACCCCAAAATATGATCTGTGATTCCCTTGGATCAAAATTAGTGATCCTCATATCTCAGCGTCATGTTGGCTGCGTGAACTATGCTAACTATGCTTTGATTTTTGTCTAAGAGGAACTACCCTCTGGTAAACAAACATAGCTATTGAAAATTGCCATTTATAGTGGATTTTCCCATTAAAACATGTAATTTTCCATAGTTATGTTAGTTTGCCAGAGGGTACCAAAATGGCACTCCCTGGACATCTGGGCGATTTCCTTTCCCATTCAGTTTCCACATGAACGTGGCAGATCATCCGAGCAACAGTTCCATCGTCGCACGAACCGGTGCCGTTCTCAAAGTACCTGCAGCAGTTGCAGCAGCTCCACTGAAATCTCAGCTGTTGAGGTGATTAGCTCGCCATCATTAGGAAACAATTGCAGGATTTCCAGTGGGGGTCACAAACCGTGGTTCCCTTCGACAATTTCCTCAAATAAATCCACTAAGATGCATAGATGCCCTACAAAAATCGTTTGCTTGACCTATTCATTCCATTCCTAAGTGTTAAATCCATCTTTTGAGCATAGCACTATGACACCTACATGATAGACTTAACCATTCGTGTTAAATCCATGGTTAAATCATCCGTAGTGTTAAAATGGCCATAGACCAAACCATGGCGCCATGGTGCGTCCCCAGTGCCCGGGCCTCGCCATGTAGATCATGTAATGCGAAACCTTGGACCTAGGCCATTGGGCCATGGAAGATCTCCCTCTTCAAATCGCCATGGAAATTGGAACATCTGGAACTTAGTAGAGCTAGACAGAAAAAAAAGATAATACAACACCGATAATATGATAGAATATGTCATCTAACACAAGTCTAACAGTCTAACACAACTCAAAAAGTAACACTGGTTTGACAAAAGGCTTTGACACTGACCTAAACATGAGTTTAAAACCCCATGGTCTGTGGGAACTTGGACCCTGTGCACTTCCAACCAGCGACTCCAACTATCTCTTTGAAGGCGCATGCAAAAAAAACACATGGGATTGTGTCAAAAGACCGAAAGCATTATCTGAAAATTGCCATTTATAGTGGGTTTACCCATTAAACATGGTGATTTTCCATACTTATGTTAGTTTACCAGAGGGTATCATTATCACCAAAAGAATGAAAAACTGACCAGCACCAAATTGGCTGGTTATCCCGCGCCGGGTGTGGATCATGGTGGATCACAACTTGCTGTGTCCCTTGAAGGCGACTTTGAGGCCCTATGGGTTGTTAGATGTTTCTGTTCATCACGATTTGTTGCCCAGAATCATGTTGTTGCTGAACATCTGAATCTGTGTTTTTTGAAAAAAACATTGTGGTATCTTACCCCCTAAAGTGCATCAAATTGCCCTGCAATGACGGTAGATCCTCCATTTTTAGAGACGAACCCAGATCAATCAAAGCCTCATTTTCCCATGGTTTTAACATTTGACATTGTCATGGCAAAACCACCATGTCTATTCATTTTGGATGGTAATGGTAAATCTTTAGTAAATACCATGTTTCACCCTTATTTTTGCCCTGTAATTCCCCATGAGACATACCCTTCAATTGAGCTTGTTTGGCAATAAGGCCACCCCAGAATTGTTAATCAGATTTCATCACAAGTTTCCGTAGTGAAATGGCCATCAGCTGGTGGGTACAATCACGTAAATCCAAGAATCAACCGTCCCATTAACCAGCCAAGACGTACCCAAATTCATAAACCTCAAGCTTGAGGATGGTCTATGACATTTGGAAGAAACCGCATCCAAATATCCAATATCAAATTCCACCGTTTTTGATTGTTCTCCTCTGGTAAACTAACATAGCTATGGAAAATCACCATATGATATAGGTAAACCAACTACAAATCACCCATGTTCCATAGCTATGTTAGTTTGGTGGTTTCAACCCCTCTGAAAAATATGAGTTCGTCAGTTGGGATGGTTATTCCATTCCGAAAGTCATTCAAAATTCCATGGTTCCAGTCACCACCAACCAGCTATATATGGTTATTCCAATGATTAACCATAGATTAACCATCTATATTAACCATAGATTACCTATAGATTACCTATAGATTAACCATAGATTAACCATAGATTTAACCATAGATTATCTATCTATCTATATATATATGTTACTGTTAGTTTTACCAGAGGCTAAATCCCGAAAAAAAACTCGTCAGAACCGAGCCGCACGTCCCGGTTGGGCGGCTCCCATTGGAGCGTTCCTCCCAGGTCCGTGGCGTCCAAATCGAAGTCCGGGAAGGTGGCGTTGCCGATGACCTTGGGACCACCACGTCATGGACCCAGGGGGGAGTTGTTGGATGGGAAAATCATCTATAAATGGATGATTTAATGGGATTTATAGTGATTTAATGGGATTTTATGGTGATTTCATGGGATTTATAGTGATTTAATGGGATTTTATGGTGATTTAATGGGATTTATAGTGATTTAATGGGATTTTATGGTGATTCCATTGGATATTAATGGGATATACCCTCTGGTAAACATACAAAAAGCTATTGAACATGGCCATGTATAGTTGATTTATCCATTAAAAATGGTGGTTTTCCATAGCTATGTTAGTTTACCAGAGGGTAAATGGATCTTAAATGGATATAACATGGACATAGGATGAATGTAAAATGGATGTAACATGGATATCACATGATTCACATGGAGATATATGAAGATAAACATGTGTATTCCCAAACTTTGGGCTAAAAAATGCGGGAAAATGTGGGAATAAATGGGGGAAAATATGGTGAACATAGGGGGATATATATATATATATATATAATTATATGTATTCTATATATATGGATATGTTAGATAAAAGGAAAGTGGGTCCTCCCAATTCAACAAGATGATGAAAAACAACTGGAAATCTTGCGATTCAAAAGGATCCCAGGACCAGAAGTTCAACGTTCAGCCTGGACATGGCTACATTTCGGAGTCCAAGTCTGGGGTTGCCTTGATGGCTCCAAATTTCACCATAAAACACAGATAAAAAACACATCGAAATTTGCGGGTCTGCTGCAAGTCTTCAATTTTAGATGGCGCACGCACACACACAATTTGCAGGTTTCTCTATTGACGAAGACGAATTTTGTGATCTTTTGGGTTCCCCAACTTGGAGCCCAATCTCCACCCGTGCCACCCATTTGACCATCAAAATTGGATGTCAAAGTTGGTTGTATCCCCTGAAAGATCTCCTATGAGACATTCCAAAAAATTAAGAATCCCCGGTAAAGTATCACAAAATGATACACCCAATATTAATCAAACAACATTACCAATTGTTCGCTAATGTTGTTTATATCCCCTGAATTTTTCCCTATGGTATACCATATATTCATGATTCATATATTCCAGAACAAATAACTCACAAAATAGTATCTATTTTTATTGACCCACCTCAATATTGTTGGTCATATCATGCCTATATCCCTCATTTTTTCCCTGAAATATCTTATTAAGTTCATCATATCCCTCAAACATTCCCCTGAAATATCTTATATAAATGGTTCATCAATATCACCAAAGTTTTACACTCTGGTAAACTAACAGTTTGCTATTGAAAATGGCCATTCATAGTTGAGTTTTCCCATTAAACATGGTGATGTTCCATAGTTTTTTGGAAAGGTTTACCAGGCCGGGTATCCCCACCACCTGTCCCCACCACTGGGTCCCCCGGGCTGCCAGCGTATCCGATAGCTCCGCCGTAGTTGGGGTACTTTGTTCCACCAGGCTGGAGGCTGTGTAGATCAGGATCTCGCCTTCGCAAATCCCAGCGGGGTAAAGATAGGATACATGGTGCTGTTATATATGGTGCTCCATGGATCCCATCAATATACCCCATGATCCATTATCCATTTGGGTTAGCATATACATACCAGCACCATGGATCCTATATATGAATATTGGATTAGTTGAATGGATCCAACAAACGTCTAATGGAGTGCCTATGAATGGATGAGTTGAACTAGTTGAATGGATTAGTTACATACATCTCATTCGGATGTTGAGTTGAATGAAGTAGTTCCTAATACTCCTGGATGTACTAGATCAATTCATGATCAACGTTTTCTTGGCATATGATACACCTGCGAGACAGCACAGCCAGCAGGATCCGTCCAGCTGATTCGATCCTATGGATCCACCTTCTCAGTGCGGTAGATCCAATAAGCTCCAATCCACTTGAATCAATCGTGATGACATATCCATTCTACATGATTCCCCATGAATGTGGTAGATCCAATTTTTAAAAAATATCCCATATTATCCCCAGTATTACAAAATTCGTTGGTTCCAAATTCATTCCCACAGGCTAGTTTCGGTGTTTTATAGCATTGGATCTACTACATGAGAATCCCAATATTGGGATATTGAATTCATATCAACATCCCAAAAATGCCTCATTGATCATCATTGATCCATGTTCATCAATAGTTCACAAAATGTAGATCTGATGTTGAGTTTACCCAGTTAGGAACCATGATCAGGCTAGAACCAACCAGAAAGGGATCATAAACAACATAATTATATAATAATTATAACACATTCCCAGTAGATTCTACATTCATGGTGATTTGTTCTACATATGTTTCTATATCATGAATGTAAGTCCCATCTCCAGTGAAACAGCCCAACCATATCCCCAGCATTTGTTGGCCATATACCCATAAATCCCTGGCATGTGGGCAAGCCTGCTTGCCATATAAACAACTACCAAATTCGGGGGATGGTTTCAATCTGAAATCACGGTAGTCTAGTGATTAACATGTCTATCACTATGTAATACTTGGAAACACCAGCCATACATCAGCCCTCTTTAACGATCATGGCCTATGGCCTCCTGGGTAGTCGGACACCTTCGGGGCTGCGATCGGGTTCCCCGCCTCCTTCATAGCCCATCTCCGCCGGCAGCGCGAAGCTGCTGCTGCCAGGAGAGGCACTGCCGATGGCCAGACGGCCTGGCCATGGGAATTGAATGAAGCATATTTCATGATTGAAATCGGCATTGTAATAGGGATTGATATACCAACAAAAATCTACCAGTACTGAAAGAAAGTCGATGTTGCGATACTTTTAAGTGATTTGTTTTTTGAGTTTTGGAATGCTATAGAAGAATAGTATGACTATGTAAGACTACAATAACACACTACAATTATATTGCTGGTATGACCTAGCGATGACAGTTAGATGATCACATCATAATCAAATTGAAACTATAAACATGCGTCAGCCTTCAGGGGTAAATATTTGGACATATCATATCTCAGTTTTTGGAAGGCTTATCATTATCTATTATGTCTATTGAACATTGATCTCAACTTCAGTAGGTTTTTTTAGTCAAGTCGTGTCAAGGAAAGTCTTCGGGTACTTCCAATTTTTTGTTCCAAATGACCCTCTGGTTATGTCAAAATAGCTATTGACAATTGCCATCTATAGTGGATTTGCCCATTGAAAATGGTGATTTTCCATAGTTCTATGTGGCTGTTTACCAGAGGGTCAACAAAATCGTAGAAAAATCACCATTCCATCCAGGTCGTTCCCTTAGGGGTTGAGCGTCCCAGGTCGCCTGCCGAGTTGTTGAAGTAGAGCCGATAGATTTGCACCGCTGCCAGATCAGAAGGTTCGGACCAGGAGATGGTACCTGCACGTGTACCCTCAGGCATGCTTCCAACCAGCCCAACAAAATCTGGTTGGTGGTTGACCTACCCCTCTGAAAAAATATTAGTCAATGGGAAGGATGGATTATCCCATATATGAAATGGAAAATAATCCAGCCATATTCCAAACCATCAACCAGAAATTGGATGAAACATGATCACAGAAAACATGGATATCCTGCGAAGCAAACTTCAGATGGCAAACTTTCACTCACATTTCAGATTTCATCAGCAAATCCAGGGATCCAATGGGATCCATGGATCCATGGGCTGTTTTAAGCTGGGGATGGCCGTCAAGCTGCCGCCGTATTGATCCAAGTCCAAGTCCAGATCCAGGAACTGAATCTGAGAGACGCTCGCCTGGGCTGCATCGATGAAACACGTCCTGAAACCCACAAGGAGGTGTTCTTTCAAAACAAATGGAAGTTATTGAAACTTATATATATATAATATATATATATATATATTATATTTGGTTTTGTCCAACAAATGGCAAAGGAGACAATTAAGGTCAATTATGATCAAAGTCCAGGCCAATCAGCCTGAGGTATGGCTGAAATAGGAATTTCATGACGCCCCAAAGGGTCACAAAAGCCTACGTGTGACAAAGGAAGGAAATAATTGCTAGATTCATATCTATTTATCATACATTCCGAATAACCTAATAGAGGTAAAGCGGCCTAGAAACTATAAAGTTCAGGACCTCCAGTTCTAGCACTCCTTCCCCTTTGCGGAAGTTGTTCACGCCCGGATATCATACTGTGGATTACCCAAAAATAAGGCCTCCCCCGAAATTGATGCTTTACAACCACATTTTCCCGTAAAGACATCCAAAGCCATTGGGTTTCCCCACAAAGACATCCACAATGACATGCGCGAAGGGTGTGGTCTGTTCCACCAAACTCGATTGCCTCAGAGACTTGGAGACTCAAATTGGTACATGACCAAATGAAGATCTACAGTACCCAGACTAGCTTTGACATTGTGGATTCTTTTGGTATGTTCCAGCTTTCTGAAGCTCAGCAGTTTTGTCCTAGCAATAATAGCAATATATGTCAAGATATCTTCTGCAACTTGTTGACAAAGCTATGCAAGAAATGGCTTTAAATAGCTTCTCCAGCCAAATCTGGTCATCACTGTTTGTGTCCTGTGATGTGAGGGAACCCGCTAGCAACCATGGACGATGTCTTGTCAAGACAGTCACAGAAACTTCTGGCACACAGCACTTGGCGTTTATTGCAACCAGCATTTCAATACTACAGTAGTATGTGTATGTATGTTTTAACCTCCAACAATCAACCACAGTGCCACCACATGAACATCTGAAAGAGGATAGAAGGTATCTTGGCCGCCACTCCTGGCTGCTTCTTGGAGAATGAATTTTCAGACTATTTTATGAAACCGTTCACAGTGGATATGTCTCAAACTGGTGAACACTCCAGACCTGAGAGCATCTTCCAAATCTTCCAAATATAAAGGTCAAAATTAGGTACAACAATCATTGGATGGTTACCCTCCAGTAAATTAGCATAGACCCTGGCAGTCATCGGGGTTGGAAGATGAGTTTCTACTCCAAAATTGGTGATTTTCAGGGTCTATGTTAATTTACCACAAGGTAGTAATATCCATTAACCATCATTAACCACCATTAACCATCCAATTTACCAGAGGGTAATTCCAAAACTAGACTTAATCTGTGGTCCCCCAGGTCTGAAAAAAAATGACCCATTCCCATTCGGACGCGGATCTCAAGTCTCACATAGTCTTTCACTTTGTTTTCAACACATTTTTAAGATATATCAATATATATAAATATACACAATATATATATATATATTATATGTTATTATAATATATGTATATTTGCATATATATATATATATATGACCATATATATATATATACACATCCCAATTACATCCCAGTATATCCCAACAAATATTGTATCCCAAGACACACATACACACACATGTTTCAACACTCCAGGCCATTCCAGGCCAAAATGCAAATAGACCAACAAGTGTGTGTAGTTCTCCAACGGCGTCTCCGGTGCTAGGTCGAACTGGCTGGCAGGAACCGGCACCTGGGCTCAAAACCATAATCTGGGAGGGATAGAACGGGATAGAATGTGGATATCAACGGGATACCAATGTAAATTTTAATGTATATACTGGTTGGTGGTTTCAACCCCTCTGAAAAATATGAAAGTCAGTTGGGATGATGATTCCCAATGTATGGAAAATAAAACATGTTCCAAACCACCAACCAGATATATATATATATTATATATATACATATTGGGAGGATGAACATCCATAAATCCCATTTTGGTGTTCACCACTTCACCGGCGACCCATGCCCAGCAAATTCACCTGAAATTCTGTGCAGTCACCCCAGTGACCTGTCCGCAGAAGCTTTCCATAAAATTATGCCGCCAGAAGTAATGTCAACCCTGGATTAATAAACCCCAAACGGCTGTTATTTTTGGGAGGGTACCATTTAAGTATTAGATGAAATGACTATTGGAGGAGTACCCCCCTAATTAATAAACCATGGTTTAGTCTCATCCGGGGTTGACATTACCAAGTGAGATCAAAGTGGTGCATTCCACCATGATTCTTCACTGATCTTGTCATGGAGGATGTGCATAACCAGGAACGTCCGAAAAAAAAGCAAATTCGATCGAGCCTGAAATCCCAATCCGAGATATCCGAGGAATTTGATGATTCCAAGGTCTGACTCGCCGCTGTTCCGGTTCATAAGTGCGTGTAAAGCTGTAGCTACAGGATTTTGTATCCCTGCTATGGTAGTGACCAGTGAACTCATTTCTAGATCATTGTCAATTTTCCGAACAGGTTTCCCCATGGGTATTTTCCACATCTTATTGTTTGTTTGCACCTAATATAAAATGGAACCTCAAAACACCAATGATCAGGAGGGAAATCATCTTCCAAAGTGCATTTTTGGGCTTCCACGTGAATTTTAGGAGGCGTTTGTCCTGAAAATGGATCTCCGCCAAACAATAGATCTTAACATATCTTAACTGGGTTGGTAGACTATTTGTAGATTTCATAGGAAATTCCATGGGTTTTCCACATCTTTTTGTATAGGTTTACCCCACCCCAAATGGACGCCCCAAGGCACCGTCTTCAGCATAGATCGGCACAGCGCCGCGCCGCCTTCCTGCGACGCCGTCAAGCGACGCTCCGACGAAGCGGGACTGTCCCACCTCAACGTGCGACCAGCCGCTATTTGCCATCCAAAGAATGGAACAATTTTTCATTTTAACCATGGGGAATATGAAAATGGGATATTGATGGTTAATGATCTTAATCTGGCATTTTAGATTGGGATTTTCCATTATAAACCATCCAGCTATTGGGGTATCCCCATTTTGATAATTAACCATATTAACTTAACCATATTCATGTATATATATATACATATTAATCTGGCTGGTGGTTGGTTGGGTTGGGCTACCCTGTGAAAAATATGAAAGTCAGTTGGGATGATTATTCCCATATATTATGGAAAATAAGAAACGTTCCAAACCACCAACCAGATAAGATTTTCCATTATAAACCATCCAGCTATTGGGGTACGGTATCCCCATTTTGAACCATGTCAGAAAAAATTAGGATGCCAACTTGGAAGAGATGTTCTGAAACATGTGGGATGTAACATGGCAACCATCAAAAAACAATGTGTACCCTCAAACATGGTTGTGTTCAGGCCAGGAGCAGGTCCGTAAAGCAGGTACCTATTCACTTTTGTTGCGATGATCCTTACTGCTAAAGTGTAATGGAACAATGACATAAATCAACATGAATAAGAAAACATAACCAACAAAAACCAAACCATCTATGTGGTCATATGGTCTCAAGTGTTTTGTTTAGACCCATCGCCATACAGACAGGCCTCAACATCTTTACTTGGATCATAAAGCCAACTAGCAACTATAATTCATGATTAACTGGGGTAACAAACACTTTATTCACAGAATGGCCAATACCTATACTTTCCTATACTAACCGTTTGTCAATGGTCTACTCGTCATGAATCATGCTCAACATGACCGCTTTCGCTTCTATTAAACAGAGAAACAACAAAACAAATCAACAACATAGCAGACATAGCATAACCGCAGACCCAGCACAATTCCGTTTAGTTTGTGTTGTTGCAATCAGCCTGATACCATTTATGGAAAATTATTGTTGAGCGAAGCTAGCCATAATGCATGACACAGGCCACGTTTCGACAAAATTTGATGATTCAACATATCCATGGGTCAATGGATAAACATCTCCAAATCAAAACTAACAATTTTTCTTGGTGCAACCCCCCCAAAACCGCATCCACTCACCAAGCTTTACGGGTCTAGCAGCTTCAACATCTCTCGTGCGGTATCAACTGCTACCTGGCGTGGATTTACCAGCAAACATTGGGAGAACGGAGATGTTTGCCAACCACAGGGGTTGTAATGGGGCGTCAACTGGAATACAATGGGGGTGTAATTAGCGAGAATATATCTGGTATATATCTGGTTGGTGGTTTTAACCATGAAAAAAAATAGTCAGTTGGGAAAGGTTATCCCATATATTCTAGAAAAATAACAAATGTTCCAAACCACCAATCATATATATATATATATATATTGGGAGGATTTCTAGATGGAAAATGGTCCATTTATAGATGGTTTACCTGTTAACAATGGTGATTTTCCATGGCTATGTTAAATCACCTACTTTTGTTCGTGCCATCCAGTGATATTGATAATGCTTGCCCGGCAAGGGAAATACTTAAGCTAGCTTCAATATGGTCCATGTCATTTGACTTATCGTGCCATGATATATGAGTTTGTTGGACAGTTAAATACACTTCATAAGAAATTATATACTGTACATTCAAATCACAACTCATATACTAACTACATTTTAGAATGATACTAAAGGCTGTAGCATCATTGCTGATTTTTGATGGATGTTTCATCAATTTGCTACATAGTCACAAATGCCCTAACAAACCGGAGTATGATGTTCACAACAATCAACATGGGACGCTACATTCCTTTTTACTGGTGGCTACAACAGTCCAACTTCATCACATGTCAAATCATGTTACTCTCCGGTAATTTAACATAGCTATTGAAAATGACCATTTATAGTGGATTTTCCCATTAATCATGGTGATTTTCCATAGTTATGTTAGTTTACCAGAGGGTACATGTTTCATCCCAATTCTTACTGGCCCCAGACCCCAGCAAGTCCATCCGGGAACCACCAAAAAAACAAAACGACATTTTACGTGTCGATCAGCAAAATCCTGATTCTGGTGCCAAGCTTCCCACCATTCCCATTCCCGTTCCCGTTCCCATTCACTCCGGATTCAGAGTATCACCATAGTTGATGATACCATGATATGATATATCTATATAATTATAATATATATCTATATATAGTTGATATACCAGTTATTATACCAGTTATTATAGATACCATGGCGAACCTCAATTTGGCTTGGTGCCATGCTGAATCCCCGTGAACCCCCCTGGTGAATCCCCAATCGCGCCTGCTGGACGCGCTCAGTGGTCAGAAGGAGATCTTTCGCCGAAGCCAGCAGCGGGTGCTCCTGGCGATGTGAGACGATTGAGGCGCCCAAACAGATCGCGGGATCTCTAAAAATTACCCTCTGGTTATGTCAAAATAGCTATTGAAAATGGCTATTTATAGTGGATTTTCCCATTAAGAATTGTGTTTTTCCATAGCTATGTTAAATTACCAGAGGGTATTAAGACGCCATCAATGATATAAGTATCATCACTTCAGTCGTGATCATGAGGATCATTTTTTGCGATTCCCAGCTTTCAGACAAACTCACATTGCAGGGCATAAACGATACGATACTATGTTTCGATATCACATGGGAGGAAAAACACATTGAACATGGATGAACATGGGCCTTCAGGTGAAAAAATATTGACAAATGGCACATTCATAGCAACAGCATGCAACAACCAACGAACCAGCATAGACTATTGCTAACAAAATTAGAAACAGAATCAACAAAGGAAGTTGTCTAATATTGGATACATATCCCCATTTCATGCTGGCAAAACCATGTGAAATTCCTAATTTTGATGGTTACCCTCTGGTAATTGAACAGTTTGCTATTGAACATGGCCCATAGAAATAGTTGATTTACCCTCCAGTAAATTAACATAGACCCTGGCAGATAGGGGTTGGAAGACTAGTTTCCATTAAAAATTGGTGATTTTCAGGGTCTATGTTAATTTACTACTCATGTTAACCTTTAAACCAACAATAAGATGAGGGTACCTGTGAAAGATGGTGGATCTTTCCATAGCAAACTGTGACAGTTTACCAGATGGCGATCCATCAAATCCTATCATTTTTCGTAGCACGCCGCCAGGCCTTGCTCTGCAATTTCTTCACCACATCGCCATCCAGTTCTGTCCAGGGAGGCAGAAGCACCTGCAAAAAAAAAACGGTGAGAAGAGATGAAGGGATTTACATGAATTGGAGATATATCCATAATGGATGTGTATACATATATATATATATATAATATGAGATATCAAAGGGATTCAAGGGAATGCAAAGGATATGTAATGAGATATTCTGAAATGGAACACTCCTTGGTTTTCGGGATTTGCTGGGATAATAAGAGAGATTTATTGGAATCAGCTAGTACATGGAATATATAACCCACCAATTTGATATGACTAGTTGGGTGTAGCTAAAAAAAGTGGTACCCCCAAAAATCAGCAAAAATGAAGTGGGGACAGTGGTGATTTTTACCTGGGGATTCATCTGTTGGATTTTTACACTGGGACTCAGTTCAACATTCCGAATGGTTTATATGTTGCATGCCAACTCTACTTCCAAAAACTGGTTGGTGGTATACCTACCCCTCTGACAAATGATGGAGTTCGTCAGTTGGGATGATGACATTCCCAATATATGGAAAGTCATCAAATTCCATGGTTCCACCAACCAGTATATAGATCTATTAAGTCCATATTAAGATATATTAAGTCCCATTAACCCATATGAACAGTCCCTATTGTTGATGGGATAATTCCATGGTTCCAGTCACCAGCAACCAGAAAATGTTCCAACTCGTAATGTAGAAAAAGACAGGGATGATTGGGGTCGCGCAGTCGGAAGTTCACCAGTTAGGATCCATGCTTTGTAACACTGGGGATATCGGGATATCCCATATTTTGTATACAAAAATAGGGGTTTAATCTAGTATAATGTGGTATACCCAATTAGACATGGAATATGTCTGATTGCACTACATTGAACTATATACATACATGTTGTTGCATATTGTATTCTACAGACTGTACCCACTTCTAAATGGAACGGCACTCCCAAGTTGCTCAAGCATTCATGTTTCTGGCCACACCCCCTGTAGGCGCCTGGAATTCCAAGTGCCAAACAGGCAGCAAGCGAGATTCATAGAGTCGCCGCGAGGTATCCCTGGTGAGGCAACATGGCTGGGGACAACTATGGTTTATCGAGTCCCATCCCCAATTTACTCCGCTTTGCCCAATTTTTTTGCCTAAACCTGAAACACAAACATCAACATGCAAAGCTAACCATTTCTGTTTGTTGAGCTCTTGCGTGTGGGTCAAAACTCTGGCGACTGTCTGTTCAACTCCAAATGGTCTCAGAGTCTCACAGCAATCCATGTCGACATATGACACCAATTGCTGTCCCCATTTGATGGTTATGAAGCATGCTAAATCTCCATGATTGGTCCTTTGTCTGAATCCATATGGGTTTGTCCATGCTAGTCACCCAATGGTGTGTGATCATGAGCTTCCCCCATCTAATTGGTCATAAATTGCGAGGAATTCCCAATTTTGGGCCAAACCAAAATGATGGACATCACAATTCTTCCTCCTTCGAAACCCATTTTTGGATGGTTCTAGTTATAGCTGTATGTAGCCCATATATATATATATCCTTATATATATATATATATCCACACAGCAGTGTTTCTTTCCAGTGGGGACGCCCCCAAACCATAGATTCCTCGCCCCAATTTGCTTATTTTGGTCGTTCATTTTAGGAGCCCCTATATCATCTATATCCCCTATATCCGCCGACCCCAGCCATCAGCAGGGGGAGCGCGCCCGAGAAAAAGTGGCTTCGCGGCACCTTTTCTTCTGGTTTCAGAAAGCGACGTTAGGTAGTAGGCTGCCGTTAAACGCTTCCCGGCGCCCTCGGCCGCCCTTAAACCTTGCCCTTATACCCTGCCCTTTAACCCTTCCCGGCGTCTTTGGCGGCCCAGCAGCATGTCCTTTGGCCACCTGCTGGGCGCTTTTCTGGAGATTCTCTTCTCGTTTCAGAAAGCAACGTTAGGCAGTAGGCTGCCCTTAAACCCTCCCCGGCGCCCTGAGCTGCCTTTAAACCCTTCATGGCGCCCTTGGCAGCCAAGCAGCATGTCCTTTCGCCACCTGCCGGGCGCTTTCCTGGAGATTTTCTTCTCGTTTCAGAAAGCAACGTTAGGCAGTAGGCTGCCCTTAAACCCTCCCCGGCGCCCTGAGCTGCCTTTAAACCCTTCATGGCGCCCTTGGCGGCCTAGCAGCATGTCCTTTGGCCACCTGCCGGGCGCTTTCCTGGAGATTTTCTTCTGGTTTCAGAAAGCAACGTTAGGCAGTAGGCTGCCCTTAAACCCTCCCCGGCGCCCTGAGCTGCCTTTAACCCTTCATGGCGCCCTTGGCAAAGCAGCATGTCTTTGGCCACCTGCCGCAGAAAGCAACGTTAGGCAGTAGGCTGCCCTTAAACCCTCCCCGGCGCCCTGAGCTGCCTTTAAACCCTTCATGGCGCCCTTGGCGGCCTAGCAGCATGTCCTTTGGCCACCTGCCGGGCGCTTTCCTGGAGATTTTCTTCTGGTTTCAGAAAGCAACGTTAGGCAGTAGGCTGCCCTTAAACCCTCCCCGGCGCCCTGAGCTGCCTTTAAACCCTTCATGGCGCCCTTGGCGGCCTAGCAGCATGTCCTTTGGCCACCTGCCGGGCGCTTTCCTGGAGATTTTCTTCTGGTTTCAGAAAGCAACGTTAGGCAGTAGGCTGCCCTTAAACCCTCCCCGGCGCCCTGAGCTGCCTTTAAACCCTTCATGGCGCCCTTGGCGGCCTAGCAGCATGTCCTTTGGCCACCTGCCGGGCGCTTTCCTGGAGATTTTCTTCTGGTTTCAGAAAGCAACGTTAGGCAGTAGGCTGCCTTAAACCCTCCCCGGCGCCCTGAGCTGCCCTTAAACTCTTTATGGCGCCTTTGGCGGCCTAGCAGCATGTCCTTTGGCCACCTGCCGGGCGCTTTCCTGGAGATTTTCTTCTGGTTTCAGAAAGCAACGTTAGGCAGTAGGCTGCCCTTAAACCTCCCCGGCGCCCTGAGCTGCCTTTAAACCCTTCATGGCGCCCTTGGCAGCCAAGCAGCATGTCCTTTGGCCACCTGCCGGGCGCTTTCCTGGAGATTTTCTTCTAGTTTCAGAAAGCAACGTTGGGCGGTAGGCTGCCCTTAAACCCTCCCCGGCGCCCTGAGCTGCCTTTAAACCCTTCATGGCGCCCTTGGCGGCCTAGCAGCATGTCCTTTGGCCACCTGCCGGGCGCTTTCCTGGAGATTTTCTTCTGTTTCAGAAAGCAACGTTAGGCAGTAGGCTGCCCTTAAACCCTCCCCGGCGCCCTGAGCTGCCTTTAAACCCTTCATGGCGCCCTTGGCGCCAAGCAGCATGTCCTTTGGCCACCTGCCGGGCGCTTTCCTGGAGATTTTCTTCTCGTTTCAGAAAGCAACGTTAGGCAGTAGGCTGCCCTTAAACCCTCCCCGGCGCCCGGAGCTGCCTTTAAACCCTTCATGGCGCCCTTGGCTAGCAGCATGTCCTTTGGCCACCTGCCGGGCGCTTTCCTGGAGATTTTCTTCTCGTTTCAGAAAGCAACGTTAGGCAGTAGGCTGCCCTTAAACCCTCCCCGGCGCCCTGAGCTGCCTTTAAACCCTTCATGGCGCCCTTGGCAGCCTAGCAGCATGTCCTTGCAGATTTCTTCTGGTTTCAGAAAGCAACGTTAGGCAGTAGCTGCCTTAAACCCTCCCCGGCGCCCTGAGCTGGTTGGCCCTAGCAGCATGTCCTTTGGCCACCTGCCGGGCGCTTTCCTGGAGATTTTCTTCTGGTTTCAGAAAGCAACGTTAGGCAGTAGGCTGCCCTTAAACCCTCCCCACCGCCCTGAGCTGCCTTTAAACCCTTCATGGCGTCTTGGCGGCCTAGCAGCATGTCCTTTGGCCTTCTCCGTCCTTCACTGCCATGGTGTTTCCCCGTCCGGGGGCTGTGGTTTTGCGCGGTCTTTCCTCGCCCAAGAACCGCGTTTTGGAGCGGGACAAGTAGCTCAGAAATCTCCTCATTTTCTATGGGTTTCAGAAGTTACGTTAGGCACTTTTTCGCCGCCTTTTTTGCGCCTTCTCCGTCCTTCACTGCCAAACTAATTGTTTCAACCGAAGATCTTGTCAAGGTTTTCAAACATTAATGTGGGTAGTTTCTTTAGAGTTTCATGTAGGATTTCATTCATGAAGGGTCAAAAAAACACGGAAAACAAGGTGGAGGATCCAAAAAAACAAGGTCCCCGTATACTTTGATAAACTATCATGCACCTGTGCGGCGCAACCATGCACCTGTGCGGCGCAACACTAGCTGCATAATAATAGGGCCAAAACTATCGTATAGATATATATATATATTATCTAACTATTGTACAGTTACTTAGATCCGTGAACCCATAAAACCATAGGATCATAATATCAACATGCACCCAAATGAAAAACCCATTTACAAATGAAAATTCAAACCTATCAAATATAGTTCACAACAATATACATAGGAAAAAGGTCGAAAGCCTCAGAATTTAGTTTGCTTCCTTGCCGATTCTTCCGGGGTCGGCGGCAGGGGTGGCAGCCCTTAAATATTCCCAAGTTGTTTCTCTTCTTTGTTCATCTTCATTCTCATCTTGAAACCCCATTTCCGGTGCTAAAACACATATGTTTCCAGATATCCCATGATATTCAATAAATATTCCCGTAACTTTTGCTCTTTATAGTCTTTATATAATATTTATATAGTTTATATTGAACTATATCCACCATCTTTGTTGGCTGAAGCCCATCAAGAACTCCCAAACGGCCGCCTCAGCCGCACCGCCAATTGCTCTGGTGCCACCTTCAGGGCCGCTGCCAAGGCGGCCCTCGTTGCGCTGTCCACCTCCAAAGTCGACATTTGGTGCGTTACGGTGGTGCCCCAACAGCTGTAATTTGGCTTATAAACCACCGTAACTAACACCTCTATCCAACTTAGGTAACATAATGTAACATAATATGGGACGACCTGGATTTGCTTTCTCACCATACCACATGGTGGTAAAAATGTGAGGATATGCCCAAATTCGATGATTGATTGCTGATTGCTGTACATCATTGCTGGCAAACTTCTTGAATATATCTGAGCATTTCCGAGCAATGATTTTAACGGAATCTTACTTGCTTATAGGTCTTGCAGTACAGGTTTTATTGACTCAATTGAAGAGTCTCCAATTGATTCGACCATCTGAATTCATTCGGAACCCTGAAGGTATCAGACCTATGCAACGTCGTGTGTGAGTTAACTTTGACACCTGCAGGTTGGGTTCAGATGCCAACCCCAAAATCCATCATAACTAAGTGAAAACCCAAAACGATATTCGCCATCAAAGTGATGTCTGGCCAGGAAAACAGCTGCGCACGATGTCTGCTGCGAAGCTCTGCACATGTTGTTCTGCGAGGTGTATGAACGAGTTGTATCTAATAAAATCAAATTCTAGTTATCCATATGTATCCCTCATTCTAAATAAAATATGTATATAATATATATATATATTATATTATATGTATATATATATATAGATGTTTGTGTTTAAACAACCGAAGTGATTTTTCAACGTCTTCGTTTTCCTCGTTTTATCGCGTTCAAACTCGATTCCTTGCCTGCCATGCTTCCCCCTCGAGTGCAAAGCTCAGGCTGCCGAAGACCACCTCGAGAGGCAGTCATGGTCCGATGGTCCTCATGAAGCCATGATTCACCATGGTTTTTGCAGGCTACAGTAATAATAGGTATATATTGGATCCAATAGGATCTATATAGGCTAGTGGTATGAACAATATGATTCACCAATTGTTTATATATACCTATATATATATAGGATATATACATAAGTGTTTTCTTTTTATACCAGGATCCAATAGGTATATACTGTGAACATTCCACTTCCTTGTTTTTCTATGATCACATTGCCGTTTTGGGTGGTAAAATCCCAATGTGGCGTTTGGTTGTCAAAACAATGCGGGTTTTTATCCCACTATGTCGATGCGTGGAACCAACCCTTAGACCCCAAACATACATAACATATACATTGCATACATCACATGTGTCTACGTATATAAATATAAATATATATATATATTATTATATATATATATATGATCATATATATATATATATACGTGATTATATATATATGACCATATGTATATATATATATACGTGATTCTATGTGTATATATATATGAATATATATATATAATATGATTATATATATATGATTATATATATATATATGTGATTATATAGTTATATATATGTATATGATTATATATATGTATGATTATATATATGATTATATATATATATATGTATGATTATGATTCTATGTGTATATATATATGAATATATATATATATATATAATATGATTATATATATATGATTATATATATATGTGATTATATAGTTATATATATGTATATGATTATATATATATGAATATATGATTATATATAAATATATGTATGATTATATATATATATATATATGAATATGTGTAAATGGTGTATACAACATATTTTTTATATATATATTATATATACACTGTAACATGTATATATATATGATACACTATGTATAATTAACCCAAAAGTTCATATGACTCCCATCTACACGTTCATCTCAAATCCCAATCATCGGCTCAGGCACCGCCACAGTCGCCACCTCCGACACATCGCTGCAGCTGGTGGTTCCAGGGGAAGCAAAGTAGAAGACCTCGAGTTTCAGCCGCGTGACATGCGTGGATTTTACCCAACAGGGGGATGTTTACCAAAGAATTGGTGGGAGAAATAATGGTGAGTGTAACATATACCCTCTGGTAAACTAACATAACTGTGGAAAATCACAATTTTTAATGGGTAAATCCACTATAAATGGCCATTTTCAATAGCTATGTTAGTTTACCAGAGGGTAATGTGACCAATTTTGAAAAACAATGACAATTTTGATAGATTTTGGGCTGTCAGATTGAGGGGAGATTTCACAAATATGGGGGTTCAATCAACTAATGGAAAGGGATATAGCAGGATAGACTGGGGTATATTGCTATGAGTCAAACTCCCCAAAAACCCTATAGGCACCCCAAGTCATAGGCTGGTGGATGGTTGTTCCCCCAGTCATATGGCACATGGCTAACTTGACCAATCCCCAGTCATTGCTAAAAGCCGTTGTGTTTTCCGGTGGACACGTTACCGAACCCTACGGCTGTGCCAGGTCACATAGTTCTGCACCAGGCGATCATCACTGGTCTGCCAGGAGACTCGACCACCAAGGTCGGTTTCATCTAAGTCCTGGGAGGCTGAGAACAAAGGGTGGTGCCCCCCATAGAAAAACCATGTTTTTCTATGGTTAGACTAGGTTTTTAATGGTTTAACCATGGAGAATATATGAACATGGGATAGTTAATGATCTTAATATCTGGTTGGTGGTGCAATAACCATCTTGAAAAATGATGGAGTTTGTCAATGGGAAGGATTACATCCCATGTATTATGGAAAATAAACAATGTTTGAAACCACCAACCAGAAAATCTTAGGTGGTTTATAATCCCTACCTTTAGATACCTGAAATGAACCGATATAAACCGACTTAGCTAACTATAGGGCACCACCCTTGAGGAAAAGAATGCTGGTTGACCCCCAAAAAAAACTGAAGATTTGGGAGGAACAACTGGCAAGTGATTTCCTTATACAAATGATTCCAACATCTGAAGATGTGAGATGACCATGGCAATTTTATGGCAAATTTCGAGATATACCAAAGGGCAAGGTCAACACCGCCTAAAAAATGTGGATTTAAGGTTCCAAAATAATATGGGATAGTGATTGTTTCTCGGTTCGGTGGGATACAACTTTCTGAGGCCACTTCCTCAAAACTTAAGAGATGGTTTGACTTTTGACAAATGTCCCTGGGATAAACAGAGGGAAGTTCACTTTCCGAGACAGGTTGATGTCACTCTGCAACAGCTTGAACGAAAACATGAGACACTTGATGACTTTAAATATCTTTGGCGGTAGAACCTCATATGAAGTTCTCCGTTCAAAAATCAGGACATACACTAACATGGAGTAAGCAGTAAACAGTGCAAATATTGGGATTCAAGAGCCACAATCATATGTTCAGCAAAAAACACATGATATCGCCCAACATGCGCGTTTAAGAATCACATAATGTGGATTCAAGCCATAACAGCAAGGTTTGCAAATGGGGTCCGACAAAAAAACATCAAAAATGGTAGCGGAAGGCGGAAGGAACCAATTTTTGAGCCTTCATCAAGTTGAAACCCTGCAACAGGTCTATATTAGGGGAATGCGGCAGCAAAAAAAAAGGAAAATCCACTCCAATAAGATATATTTGCACTTATTGATGATGAACTATATTACACTACGGGGTCATCTCTCCCTTGTACTCGCCCGCCATTCTTGATCAATTTCCTCCCTGCGCAATCATTATCTCCACATTTTTCTGGACCCAATCTTTGTTCAATTTCAGATAATTCTCCACCTCCAGATTCTTGTTCCACATCTTTAATATTTCACCTTTGCGTGCATTATGATAGACATGAACTTCGAACCATATTTCAACAGAAAGACGTTGGTCTCTCCATCCCCATCCCCATCCCCAACCCCGTCACTGGTGCTAAACGTAGGAAATGGGGGAATGGGATGAGTGTAACAATGGATCATTCCCCCATTTCCATCCATTTCCTACTAATTCAGCACCAGTAAACCATACCCATCATATCCCATCATGGTGAAATTTAGATACCTGGCCAAAAAAAAAACGCTGTCATTTTTAGCTGGTTAGTATATTTTACCACAACAAAAGATTCTTAAGTACATCAGTATCTAACCAGTCGACTTTTCGCCATCAGCAAATCCTTCGGCTCAACTCCCAGGCGCCAAGTCGTCCAGGCTGATGTTGAAGACCACCGGCGCCTCGTCCACGAGTCCCAGGAAGCTGGGCGTGCTTTGCTCCACCAGCGCCGAGCGCGTGGCGATCAGCCTGGCTGGGAACGTGGCGTAAGCCCGGGGGGGGAAAAGGCGCTTCGGGAAGGAAGTTGAAAAAGGTGAAAGCAGAAATGTTGAATCCAAAATAAGCTATATATATATAATCTATACATATCATTATATCTATACGAATTTAGATACATTTACCCATGTGGGGAAGTTTTTTAAGACTCTAAATTTAGCTTTGTGTTTGAGTGTTATGCAAGATGTTGCTTTAAACTTTAAATCTTGCTATGTTGAGGCTTATCATTGGCCGTAAATCTAAATAAATGCTTAGCAAATTGTTTATTTACCACTTAGAGGGGTTCACTCACATGGCCTTGGATGAAGCGGGAAAATGGACCTGCTCGCGTTGGATAGATAGTTCTGAGAGATGGATCTCTGATGACAACGGAGGAAATACAGAACGCTGATAAAAACATCGCAAGCTCAAACCTGATTCAACCCAGCAAAAAACACATGCTGGTTCACAAATAATCGCAACTGGCGCAAGAATTGTTCGGTCTGAGGGTTCAGTGGAATTTCATTCTGCAGTCACAGCAAGTGTCCCAAGAAAGGCTCCATCCAGTCCACGACGCCAAGTGACAGGAAGGTGAAATTCTGCAGGGATGTTTCCTGGTTGGTGCTACCCCAGAAACCAACCAGGAATTCTCCTCTTGGACATACGATTGGAGGAAGACAAACAGCACTGAGCCATTATACCATGAACAAAGAAGAGGATTATTTTCATAAAGATCAACATCATTCAGAATCATTACAATCATTCAACATCATATAAACATCAAACATATTCAACATCAAAATCATAGATTATGATTATATATGGTAGATTATGATTATGATATTGATTATGATAGTATTTTTCCACATATCATATCAAACATATTCAACATCAAAAAAGTGAGTAGAATCATATATACTATCAAAAATCATATTATATATATATACTATACTATCATGATACACTATCATAAAATATGGGTAAGTATAGTATAGTATATATCATATAGTATCATATACTATCATATCATACTATACTATCATATATAAGGAAACAAACAGATCAGAAAATCCCATGGGAAGTGCATTTTAGCCTAGCGTCTGGAGGCATGGCCACAGCGGTGCTTCCCTGAGTTGTTCGATCCACCAACGACCTGCCGAAAGCCCAACATTTGGGGATGGTAGAGGTGGGTCCTGAGTGATTCATGGTGCCAGAAAGACAAGCAAAATCAACATGTTTTGGTTGAGTAGTTGAGTAGTACAAGATAGTACAAGTACACATTTTATCATATGTTCATTTATGGCAATCAAACATCAGCAAGACAGTCATTAGTCCATTTACCTACAAAACAAAGGCTGCGGCCCGGAATTCTCTTTATCTGCCAGAGAGTCCAACAAGAAAAAACGGACATGGATGCAGGTTCCAGAGGTATTTTGGGTGTGATCATCCGATTTGAGGATGAGCGCCGCAAGCATCGGCGCTGGCAAAGACATTTTCCAGCCTTTGCCTTTGAAGACCCATAGTGTCTTCTGCCAAGTAGATCAAATACTCTTCCACCTGGCCACTCAATAGGGGTTTCTCAAAAACTCGGGATTCCTCCACAATATCATTGGGTTGGTTTTGTTGGGAAAATCTTAACCGGAAAACCATGGTTTTTACCATCAAATATAGGGCTTTAACCGGTTCCAATTTTCCCATCATCCAATTCTTTGACAATGGCCATTCAATAGGAGACTAATAAACCACGAAACCATGGATTCTGGGGAAATTTTCATGTGGTACCTGCTAAATCAAATACCTGGAGATATCCCCAACAAGCCATCAATAATATGACCCACAACCAATCTGCCTATGTATACTCTCTAATCCTTGTCCTTGTTGATGGTTGTCCTATTCCTCTTGGCTGTACACCTGTTTGATGCGACCCCCATCTTGCTGGCTGAACCCATGTTGAAACTGATATAATGTTTTGCAACATATTTACATACATCGAACCTGATGTTCATTGATGTTTCATATTGTATACCCAATGTGCCCTTGAAAATAACGCTTGGAACTGACCATTCCCAGCCATGTTTGTTTTACCTTTGCTATCCCCCAATGATTCAACTTTCTCCGACTCAAGAAACCTCTATAAATCAGCTATACATCCCATGCAATCACCATTTTCCATGGTTAAATCACCATCTTCCTACGGTTTTTCTATGGCACCACCTTGTTTTCAAAAATTTGATCTCAGGCACTCGACGGGTCAGCGAAGGTTCCAGCCAGGAGATGTTTCCGCCCAACCTTTTTGCTGGCTCGAGTCATGAAGAATCAAAGGGATATATGATATATATATATATATATCATAGATTATGATAGTATATACACATTATCATATAGCATATATGTGTATATAATGTATACATACACATATGACAGTATATTTGTATATATACATTATTTACACATATATCATAGATTATGATAGTATATACATGTATATACCCTATAGATCCTATATTTTGTATGGCACCATGGTACCTTTGGTACTTGAAAACGATGTGAAAAGACCTGCAATTCTTCGAAGATTCAACTGGAAGTTAGAGATGACCAATTTCTATCACGCCTCCCATAGACTTAGTCATATTTATATAATTCATATATATTCATGTGATCCATGAAAAATGCGATCCATGAAAAACATTCCATGATTCATAGAACCAATGTCCACGTGAATTCATATGAATTCATTACTGATATAATACTGATATCATGGGAAAGGTACAGGAACCTGCTAGAACTGATTGGTTCCAGTTGCAGGTCCCCTACCATTAAATACCCTACTACTACTACTACTACTACTACTACTACTACTATTAAACACCCTATATGACAATCCCTGATTTATGAAGTGAACAGCCGCAGCAGTCTCCGAATCTGCAAAAACAAGGCGTCCATAGTCGATGGGGTGGGCCGTCATCGGGTCGAACGAAGACACTGCGAAGCCAACTCGTGACATGGCGGCAATTACCGCGTGCAGGACTTCTCTGAACCTGCGCATGTGGCCACAACGATCAGTGATGATCACCTCAGCCATCTGGTGCTGCTTGGGTGGGAGCTATCTCCAAGGTCTCGTGTGGGTCGGATGATGTATGACCTGCCGCCAGACACTGGGAATGTCACCGCTAGGTCGACGGCAGCACTGGTGGTGGAGCGCTGTAGTGCCACCCCCCAAGGGCAACTGTGGGACTTCATCAATCCATTTGGGAAAACACGCCTTGCCAACATGAACATTCCCAAATCGATAAAACCAAGAGGTGGGGATGAATCATTATCTCAAATATGGTCGAAAGGGAAAAAGCAACAAAATGGGACACCACCATGTTTTATGATGAACAAACAAAAAGGGAAAACCATTGAAAATCATCCAAAAATCAGACAAAATACATGCACATCCTATCCAATTCCCATCCAATTCCCATCACCAACCTGAAGAGTTTGGCTTGGGACAACTCCCCGAAACTGAACCACAAAAAAAACCAGACACATCCCATTTTTCTTGGATGATGTGGTTCTGGGTCAAAACTAGGAAACCTAATAAGTTATATATAGCTGGTTACTGGATGTTTTTTGTTGCCAAATATGGTTACACAGCCGTAGCTTAATGACCCATTCCAGAAAGCCCCATTTCCTTCATCCCAGTCCCAGGGACTGCTGGAGATCCAAATCCAAATCGACGAAGCTGATGTTGGACACCTAAACGTCCAAAATGATCCCCATGATGGGGATGAAATCAAGCAGTTGATGGGATTATCATGGGATAACATGGGAATATCAACGGAATCAGCCTCTAAGACAATGGGATATCATGCAATAAATATAAGCAATATATAATAATATATAAATATATAATTATATGATATTTGGCATCCCATCATTTCCACATACTATATTCCCATGATACTTAGTTTGTGAATCCGCCATGAAGAATCCCAATGTTTCAAAGATAAATCCCAAATGGTGGATACCCCAAGTTATCGCCATCGGGGGTACGCCATTTTCGAACAATTCCGTGCAAGGGTTACTGGCAGTTAAAAAAAAAACTGTATGTTTGTTACAGCGTTTGAATAATATATCTGGTTTAAAAACAAAACCTTCCCTATGCCCTACATCAGGATTCAATGTGTGATCCACATAATCATTGAGATCCATTGAAAATCCTTGAGAACCTGTAGCTCGCAGATATTTGGGTTTGTTTAAAAAAAAAAACAGCACCCCAAGAATCCCATCATTTGCCCATGAAAGTTGCAGTTTTAGTGTATCCATAATTTTAGGGGAAATGCAGCAACGGTTGTGTCAATCATTAAATCCCAATGGTTGATTCTAAAAACCCCAAAATTGTCATAGTTTTTACCATCGAAAGAAACGTCCCGTTGTTCCCCACATTGAATGTACTGGACGTAAAGACATGAATAAATAAATAAAAACATAAATAAATATACATATACATATACACAGACTATATCCCCATGCTGCTGTATGAATCCCTCAGCCACGTTTTAAAAGGCAGGGCACACTGGCGAATTCATCGAAGATCTCCAGGGCCACGGGAGTGGTTTGCTCCACCAAGCTGGAAGCCGTGTAGACCAAGAAGTGGGTGTAGTTGCCTCGCTAAGTCGCTGCACGTCATGAAGGATTTAATGAATATAAATTGTGATTTAATGGGATTTGATTGGGATTTTCCATGAAATAGACTATCCAGCGATAAATGGGTACCCCCATGACTATGGAAACCCCCACATGTCGTTTTCTGATGGTCATCACTCCAATTTCACCCTGGTTTTATGGCGGATATATCGAACTAGTTGGGATTGTAAGTCAACAAACAAAACCTGTGGGTGAAATATATAGAGTGATTTTCCGAATATCCATTATATCTATTTACGGGTCAAAAATTGTATGAACATGTATGAACTATGGTGGATGCATCCATATATAGATTTTATAGGGCGAAATATCAATTGTCTCCATTTTAAAAGTGGGAAGTGGGCACTTTCAACGGGTTGGTTCAAGAGGTCTCAGGAGCCCAATCCCATCCAAAAAGGTAACGTAAGGTCACCGTTGGATATATTAATTGTGCCAGCAACCTCAAAGATGTTAAGACCAAACAGCAAACAGGGGAGAGGGAAATTAGAATTCAACCTTGGAGTTGCAAGCAGCAAGAATGGGAAGCCTTCAAAAGTCAGAGCAACTGGGTACGAAATTGACTCATTACCTCAAAGCCATCCAATGCCACACCAATAACTAACATCATTCAACATACGAGTTCTGCCAGAAGAAACATCTATGCCTCAACGACAGGGACAACCAAGCAAGAACAACTAAACACACCAATAGAAAAAAAAAAACATAATCCCTCAAATGTTGAAACACCATTGAAACACCATGTAAGAGAAACCAATAGACCATTTCCAACCATCCACATAAACGATGTCTACCACCACAACAACAAGAGAAATTTTGGGTGAAACTTGAATCCAAGACCATGCCATTTCGTAGTGAAACGGCATTGGCCAAACATTTAGGCCAGACATTACCAATATAACTATATAGTTGTCACCATAGTCGCACCAACCTTTTGCCATATGTCACATGCTATATATATATATATATATATGTATGGATCACCAGCTACTTGAGTAAATGTGTTTTTGCCGATTTAACTCTTGGCAAGCTGAATTGTCAACAAGAACAAACATCTCAAAGTGAGTTCCACGGTTGTATTTCAAACACATATGACTATAGAGGTACAGCAATGACTCAAGTATGCAAATATTGATATATATATATATATAATATATACACCATATATATATACTTATATATATGATATATATATATGATATATGCCTGTCAATTGCTAAACAACTTATTGTTGCAATATTGTTGTCAACATGAATCCTGGTGCCTCTTGGAGCTATGCCAAGCAACCAATGGCCGTGTCAGGTACCACCGTCACCTGGCAATCACAGCCAGCACACATCAACCAATGGCCGTGTAACACAAAGTAAAACGGATGATATCCCACGCTTAAGTGCTGGGATTTAATAGGATTTAATAGGATGTACCCGGCCTGGTTAATGGTGATTAAATGGAGATTTAATGGGATTTAATGGAATTTATTAGGATATATGATGGCATACCCTCTGGTTATGACTAACATAGCCATGGTATAGATGGCCCATAGAAATAGATGGTTTACCTGTTAAAAATGGGGATTTTCCATGCCTATGTTAAATAACCAGTATAATAGTTGGAGCAATATAAAATCAATAGATCGAGCTCGGCGACCCACACCCGTAAGGGTTCCAGATTACAATTTTGTTGGAATGCCTTGCATGACGGACCAGTCCAGACGAGATTGAAACCCAACAAAATCTGCTGTGTTCCCAACCAACATCACCCAAATCAATCAATCAAAAAAAAGCAGAACATCTTTTCAACCAACAACCAACATCATATCAAATCAACATCACCCAACCAACCAACATCACCCAAATCATTTTTTTTGTGTTTAACACCATTCCTCAACAACGACAAGGCACGTTGTCCTCACCAGGTGGGTTGCGGATGATGAACTGCCGGCACCAGCCCTTGGAGATGGAGAGACTGCCCGGCACCTAGGAAGTTGGACGGATGCATTGATAGATTGGATAGATTGGATAGATAGGATAGATAGGATAAAACAGGATAGAAAGGACAGATAGGATAGAAAGGATAGATAGGATAGAAAGGATAGATAGGATAAAACAGGATAGAAAGGACAGATAGGATAGAAAGGATAGATAGGATAGAAAGGATAGATAGGATAAAACAGGATAGAAAGGACAGATAGGATAGAAAGGATAGATAGGATAGAAAGGATAGATAGGATAAAACAGGATAGAAAGGACAGATAGGATAGAAAGGATAGATAGGATAGAAAGGATAGATAGGATAAAACAGGATAGAAAGGACAGATAGGATAGAAAGGATAGATAGGATAGAAAGGATAGATAGGATAAAACAGGATAGAAAGGACAGATAGGATAGAAAGGATAGATAGGATAGAAAGGATAGATAGGATAAAACAGGATAGAAAGGACAGATAGGATAGAAAGGATAGATAGGATAGAAAGGATAGATAGGATAAAACAGGATAGAAAGGACAGATAGGATAGAAAGGATAGATAGGATAGAAAGGATAGATAGGATAAAACAGGATAGAAAGGACAGATAGGATAGAAAGGATAGATAGGATAGAAAGGATAGATAGGATAAAACAGGATAGAAAGGACAGATAGGATAGAAAGGATAGATAGGATAGAAAGGATAGATAATATAAAACAGGATAGAAAGGACAGATAGGATAGAGGATAGATAGGATAGAAAGGATAGATAGGATAAAACAGGATAGAAAGGATAGAAATAGGATAGAAAGGATAGATAGGATAGATAGGATAGAAAGGATAGAACGGATAGATAGGATAAAACAGGATAGAAAGGATAGATAGGATAGAAAGGATAGATAGGATAAAACAGGATAGAAAGGATAGAAAGGATAGATAGGATAGATAGGATAGAAAGGATAGAAAGGATAGATAGGATAAAACAGGATAGAAAGGATAGATAGGACAGATAGGATAGATAGGATAGATAGGATAGATAGGACAGAAAGGATAGATAGGATAAAACAGGATAGAAAGGATAGATAGGATAGATAGGATAGAAAGGATAGAAAGGATAGATAGGATAAAACAGGATAGAAAGGATAGATAGGACAGATAGGATAGAAAGGATAGATAGGATAGAAAGGATAGATAGGATAAAACAGGATATAAAGGATAGAAAGGATAGATAGGATAGATAGGATAGAAAGGAAAGAAAGGATAGATAGGATAAAACAGGATAGAAAGGATAGATAGGACAGATAGGATAGAAAGGATAGATAGGATAGAAAGGATAGATAGGATAAAACAGGATAAAACAGGATAGATAGGATAGATTGGTTAGATAGGATAAAATCGGATATATAGGATAGATAGGATAGATAGGATAAACAGATAAGTTTACCATAAAATTGCTGGTGCCCAAACTGTAATAACATCCCCAAATGGTAGGTAGATGTGGGTAATTTCTTGGCTTTCCCATACACCTTTTCGACCTCGGAAAAAAAGAAAAAAAAACAGGAATTCACTGAACCTTTTGGACCAGGGTTTGAGTCTTCCCAAGAGTGGCCTCTTCCAACATTAAATCAATAGTTGGATCTAGGCGCCAAGTTTCCATAATATGCTGGTACATGGTATGACTAATAGAAATAATATTATGGTAACATAAGTTTCCATATTATGGCAATATATGGCAATATTATTGTGATATTATGCTGATATTATGGTGACAAGATAATCACCACAAAAAAAACACGAAGTAAAACCGGTGATGACCACGGGTCCTGGTATCAGGGCACATCAGACGCAGCCACCATGGAGACCAAGGATGAGAGTCTGCGAACAGTTGGCCTTAGGGATGTGGCTGGCTGGAGGTTTCAGCTGGGAGAACCGTCTGGAAATGGTATGGGATTTGCTATCTGGATTGGCCATGGATGACCGGAGGGGTTTTTGTGGTATGAGATATGTTTAAACCACGTCCAAGTGCAGATCTATCCACTTAGCACCCCAGTTTGCCTAGCTTTTCACCAACTTGCTTACCTGGGTCCCCACTTTCTAGGGATGTCCCTAGTGTTTTTGGCAAAAAACTTGTATGTCTGATTGTGGGAGGCTCCCCTTGAAAATAACTAACATTCTTGTCTGAACATGATTGAAACCCAAGAATCAGTTGTGATTCAGGGATTGAGTTCCTACACGTATCAACCGATGCAACATAACAAAACAACAAAACATCAAATCAGTTGGAAACAACGCGCCGAAATATGCAAAGACACAAAGGTGAAATACTCACATGGAATGTGAAATACCCAGGTCTAGGGTCCTGTTCCTTCATCAAACTCATGGTTGGGTGATTGAAAAGAACTCCTGGGAAATCCATTCCGAATACACTGCTCTGCTCTGCCCAAATCCTTACACTATACCTCACCCGTATACAGTATGCCCAGAAACATTGGGTGAAATTCATCCTTAAAACATGCAAAAAGACGTGTATCACTCATTACTCTGGGCATCAGGTCACCATGTCCCATAATGTCAACCATAGATTCTGCCCCAGATTAATCAACCATGACCATGATACCATGACTATTAACTGGATCTTTGGGAGGGTTACCCTAAAAGACTAGTGATCATTTCCTATCAATATACAAATGGGTACCACCCACTTATTGATAACTGGGGATTTCGCAAAATCCTGGGTTGACCTTTTCAGAAGCAGCTGCCTCCCGCCGAGAGACATGTCATCCTCATCCGCATCGGAATCGTCCTTGGTGACCGAAGGATTTTTTTGCGTGACGAAACCTCCGTTTCCATCGGAATCGTCCGTGACCTCTCCGTCACAAAAAACACCTATAGATGGAGGCTAGTTTGAATTGCGTCCCATCTTTGGGGATTCACCAATGGAGAGGAGCCTTTCTTTCGGTAGTCTTGATCTGCTACACCGAGATGTTCCATGCACCATGTGATCTGCAGATTTGGCGAAAGTCCAAAAGAAAAGTACCCCAAATCCAGTGGATTAACATCATCATTCTTGAAATTGACTTTGAAAATAGTGTCCATTCCAATGGTCCAGTCATTTACCATCATTTACCCAAAATCCATTTCCAACCTCTTCAATCTTCCAGTCATTTACCCAAAATCCATGTCCAATCACTTTTCCTTGGAACCTATCTGTCTTTCACAAGAGCTTCCAGAGCACACCTTCGCCCAAGGTTCCGAGGTGTTGGAATTGTTGGCTGTGGTGGTCGTGGCTGTCGACACCAAACCTGGGCGGACCCATCTCCCTACGCACAAAACATACGAGTACCACAAAAAACAAAATAAGGTGCCCCCTACTTTGGCTGGAGTTGGTTTAAACCTGGATTCAGTGGGGGGAATGGACGATATATCAAAATCCATCAAAATCACTATATCTATACTGTGGCTTTATAAACCAACTCATAACTTGGGAGGGCACCACTTTGCAGTAATCCAATCTGCAGACCATAAATACCTTTAAAATCATTTAAATAACAAGCGATATGTGGGACTCAAAAAAAAACAAGATCCAATATCCTGTATCTGGATGAACTATAAGAAATCCCTCACCTGAACTAAGACAATTTGGTGATATAGTTACCACTTACTTACCATCATCCCAGTGCCGTCGCAGTGAGGTCGTTATCATTTATCATCAGTCATCCTATCTATATATATATATATTCTGAACCAGCCTTTCGCAATTGGGTGATTCCAAACAAAAATTGGGGGCAGCAAAAATTCTGAACATTTCTCAGTTGTGCTTGTAGTCTCACTCCCTCCAGCGTCAGAGCCAAGAGGCCCAGGGCCAGATCTGCATTGATGACCTGCTGGTGGGTGTTCCATTGCCATTTGGGTATGAGTCAAAACCCTTGGTACCCCTGGTGAACCCTATAAAATAGCTGGGATTTATGGATGTTCATCCCATTAGAATTGATAAATTTATAGGTTTTGACCCACCCCCATTTGGTTCAAAGAGGAGATTTTTTATGGAAAATTTCAACTCCTCTCTTTGGGGACTCTTGAGGTGATCATGACCAAGCCATGCAATGGGATGGTTTCACGCCAAAACTCATCAGTTGGCTCCCGAAAAAATGTTTGGCCGGGTTCAATGGGGTCTGACACATTTTTTGACACCCAAAAACATCAGGATACATCAGGTACCCTCTGGTTATGTCCAAATAGCTATTGAAAAAATGACCATAGAAATAGTGGATTTTCCCATTAAACATGGTGATTTTCCATAGTTATGTTAGTTTACCAGAGGGTACATCAACAACTAGCCTATTCTCATCACATTGGAAGGGTCAGTACCCTAAACCCTTAAATGCTGTTGATCTCCACTGATGGTGAAATCTTGAATCCAAGTCCTCCAAAGTGATCCCAAGGTGTCCTTTGCTGCTGAAAAACTCCATTGCCTCCAGTTAAAATCCCAATTCTGGATATCTCCAGTTGAAAACGCGATAGTTACCCTCTGGTAAACTAAGATAACTATAGAAAATCACCATCTTTAATGGGTAAATCCACTATACATGGACATTTTCAATAGCTATTTTGACATAACCAGGAGGGTAACATCCAATTTCCCCAGGGACTCCACCAACTTTCGCTGTTGTTTTGGGGCCTTGAAACCTGCCACGCCGGTGCCCGGTGGATGGCCTGCACCGACACCTCCGCGAACTGCAGAAGCTGCAGCGTCGCCACGCTACTGGATGCCACTCCTGTGGCGCAGGGGCCGAGTTTTAGAGGTTTCCGAAGTCATGGTTTTTCCCCGAATCATTCAATTTAAAAATTGTTTAAAAATTGGATGTTCCACTAAACAAAAACTTCCAAATTTATTGTGATACCCCCATGACTGTGGAAACCCGCATGCTTGGACAATTATGATGTGTTTCTCAGGTTTCTTGTTCGCTTCAGTTGTTGGACATCTAGTGGTTGATGATTGGGTTGACCCATGTTTGATTCCCATTTTGATCCATTTTTCGTGGTGAAAATCCTCGAACTTCGGGGGCCCATCATTGCCCTCTGGGCTCGCCTGCTGCGATCAGCTCTGGCGCCAACAGGTTGGCAAAGGCACTGGGACTGGCACCTTGGCTCCGTTCCCCATCAAAATGGGCTAAGGGCTACTCAGCTCAGGTAAAAACGGAGGGTCTGGGTACACCGATTTCTGGCATTTTTCAACAGCTTCATGGGGACTGCTATTTCCGCTTCGTCCATTTCGTTCATTTCGCCTCAGTTTTCGTTGCTGCACGAAGCCCTCAAGGTGCCGAAGTCCTGTTGTCAGCATCGTATGCCTGGCCCTGGTGTGGGTCGCGTCAGCAGCCAGCGTCCGCTACTTTCGTGTCGGCGCTCCAGCAGGGTGATCGAGTTATGACAATGCCTGTAGCGAAAACACAATGAGGGAAAATGTCTTTCGATACGTATTCAACTACAGTTCTTCTTCAGACCCATATCAATTTGTTTCAATTTTAAAGAGAAAACAACATATGGCACTCTTAGTGGTGCCGATGATTGAAGAATTTGATTTGATCATTGCCTTTTTGGTCATTATCCCAAACTTAAAAATGAAAAATGATGACAAACCGTCAAATTTGGGACTGTCCTATTTTCAGACAAACCCAAACGACCTGCTGGGAACAAAAATAACCTGTCATTTTGAACATTGCAATCACATCTTGACCTGTCTTCTCGTCGCAACTTGACGCATCACTCTTTTGTCATTTTTACCACTGTTCGCAGATTAAACATATATAAACAATTTATCCTTTTAATCCTTAACTTCGCTATGTAGTTTGAAGGTTTCAATACCTGGCCCTGTCAAAAGGGAGGCACCTGACTGGAGTTTCTTTCACTGGGAACCTGCCTGCAAAGACAATGATCTCATCCAGCTCTGTAAGGAAATAAGGAGGTTGGTTGGTACCCTTTACCCAGAACGAGTGTGAAAATGGGTGATGAAGTGGTACGCTTCAATTCATCAATCAAAAAGTCCAGAAAGGACTTGCATGCTGATCTTCAGGTTCTCATAGTTTGATGGTGGAACCGGTGAAGCTCTATACCTATCGCCTTATTGTTTATTGTTGGTTGATTGTCCCATGTGTCGCTGGTAAATCCCAAAAAACAGTGCGTACTAATCCCCTATTGATGAATGGACATGTCCTCATGTTCGATATGGTAAACATTCTTTTTACATTGTTCAGAGGATCAATGATCCCATTTTTCTGCCTTGAAAAAAGGTGCATCCTCAATGATCAAATGATCAGGTACCATCCCACCAGCCTAGACCATGCCACCCCTAGGGGGTTGGAAGACCACCACGTCCTTTGAAAAATGGCGATGTCGAGCTGCTGGTCGAGCTGCTGCTTCGGTGGTTTGGTAAAGCCCCACTGATCGTTCAACGTTTTTCTCCCTGCTGTTTGATGATTCAATCACCATGCTTGTGAAGTCAAAGTTCCCATCTTTGCGGGTCAATTTGCATGGTGAAGTTCGTGAAATATCCTCGTTGAATGCGCCATGGTGATATGTCCATAAAATTCCACATAGAAGTTATTATATTGTGTTGTTCAAATTTTGGTACTTCAAAAATTCAATTGAATCCATCAATTTCCGCTTCATTTTTTTGTTGAACATGTGGGTACCTCTGACGTTAGATATGGTTCATACGAGAAAATGACGGACAACATCAAGATGGCCGTTCTGAGCTGCAATGAACAATGGTGTTGCACCTTGATTATGTGCTTGATCTTTGTCAGCACCAACTTCCACCAAATGACGGACAACATCAAGATGGCCTTGCTCAGCTGCAATGAACAATGGTGTTGCACCGGTATCCATGGCCTTATCTTTGTCAGCACCAACTTCCACCAAATGACGGACAACATCAAGATGGCCGTTATGAGCTGCAATGAACAATGGTGTTGCACCTTGATTCTGTGCTTGATCTTTGTCAGCACCAACTTCCACCAAATGACGGACAACATCAAGATGGCCTTCGCAGCTGCAATGAACAATGGTGTTGCACCTCGATTCTGTGCTTGATCTTGTCAGCACCAACTTCCACCAAATGCGGACAACATCAAGATGGCCGGTCTCAGCTGCAATGTACAATGGTGTTGCACCGGTATCCCTGGCCTTATCTTTGTCGCACAAACTTCCACCAAATGACGGACAATGATGGCGTTATGAGCTGCAATGAACAATGGTGTTGCACCGGTATCCCTGGGCCTTATCTTTGTCAGCACCAACTTCCACCAAATGACGGACAACATCAAGATGGCCGTTCTGAGCTGCAATGAACAATGGTGTTGCACCTTGATTCTGTGCTTGATCTTTGTCAGCACCAACTTCCACCAAATGACGGACAACATCAAGATGGCCGTTCTGAGCTGCAATGAACAATGGTGTTGCACCTTGATTATGTGCTTGATCTTTGTCAGCACCAACTTCCACCAAATGACGGACAACATCAAGATGGCCTTGCTCAGCTGCAATGAACAATGGTGTTGCACCGGTATCCATGGCCTTATCCTTGTCAGCACCAACTTCCACCAAATGACGGACAACATCAAGATGGCCGTTATGAGCTGCAATGAACAATGGTGTTGCACCTTGATTCTGTGCTTGATCTTTGTCAGCACCAACTTCCACCAAATGACGGACAACATCAAGATGGCCTTGCGCAGCTGCAATGTACAATGGTGTTGCACCTCGATTCTGTGCTTGATCTTTGTCAGCAGCTGCCTCAAGCAAAAGCAGCATGCTTTCAACATGTCCTTCTCTGGCAGCATGGTGCAATGGCGTGTTGCCATGTTCGTCTGTGACATTGGGATTGGAAGGGCTATTAAGGAACTTTTCCAGGGCGATCAAATCATTTTCCATAGATGCAGAGATCACTTGTTGGCTTCGTTGAGCATCAGCTGGATAAAAATCCAATACCACCATCTGAAGCTTCACTGGAGCGGAGCTAAAAACCTCATCATCCGGGATCTCAGAACCATCTTCGGAGAAGAGTCGTTGTTTGAATCTGCTGACACCAATCTGAACTGCCAAGGCTTGTTTCACAGCCTTTGCAGTCTTTCCTTCGAATTCATCCGGGGCAAGGGCTGCAAGAGTCGCACCTGACAGAAAACACACCTCCATTGCGGCAGTGGCGGACATGCAAACAACCTGTAGTTAGACAAGTTCAAATGTGTAAAGATATCTCAAGAAAGTTTTGACGAAGCAATGTGCAATGTATATAGATTTATGTTTGTGGAATGTATTACCATCAACGCACGTACCGTCGACAAGAAACATCAATGGCGTGGGCATTGTCCTTTCCCTGCAGCCAACATCAAATAGACATGACTCACGATTGTCTACGCAAATAGCCTGCACCAAAAAACGTGATCATGAACATGTGCAAAGTTGTGCTACCAAATTTGCCAAGCATTATCCCACCCCATGTTAGCTACCAAATCTACTTTCTACACAGAACTATCTATATTTTGATAAATTGGGATCGATATAAGCCCATGATACCACAATGGCAAGGATGAACACCCATGAGCAAGCAACTATTTCAATGTGAACACAAGGGTACCTGGGTTCTGACCCATACTCAAATCACCGTTCAGTTGTCTGCCCCCTGTCTCGTATCTGGCTGCGTGTCTCTGGAGGACTGAGAAATATACCTGCCACACTCTAGTACTTTTAAATTTTGACGATTTACCCTCCGGTAAACTAACATAGCTATGGAAAATCACTATTTTTAATGGAAACAACCATTATAAATGGCAATTTTCAATAGCTATGTTACAAATTACCAGAGGGTAACTTGGTCCCCTAGTCCATCTGCAGTCCCCTGGGTCTTAAATTGTCCCCAAATGTAGTTGGTCCATTGATACCCCCCACTGATACAACCAGTAAATCTAGGTAAGTCACCCTTAAATCACCATATGTGTAATGCTCAACCCCCCCTGTTATTCCAATGGATCCGGGTTGGTTAATAGGAAATTTCTGTTCATGGACTATGGTAAACTCAGATATATAGAACATATTAAAACATGGTAGCATGACCCCAAGAAAACCAATCGACATCATCAATCACCCATCAGTTCTGGACTCTATCCCCATCCGTTTAATGACTAAAACCCCATGGAAACGGGAACTAATCATCAACCAATAGAGGCTTTGCAACCACTTTTCTATCCTCATATGCTTCATCATCAAAAGCCAATAAGACACCCTATAAATTCTGGGTGAATTCCAATAAATCCCCGTTTCAAATCGCCCAAAATCATTTTAACAACTCTTAAATTCATTTAACATATCCATTAAAAACTTTAAAATCATCAAAACTCATTAAACAAGTGTTTAAATCATCTAAAATCAATTAACCAACCCTCTGAGGAAATCATCTGTGTCCATCCCAACCTCCCTAAGCTTCGAGCTATGTCCATTGGCTGCGCTGATGACACTGCTGGCCGCATCAACGGGCACCACCAGGGTAAAGCTCACCGTCCAGCTTTGCGCCAACCTTGTGTGAAATCTGCTATTTTTAGCCGACCGCAAGATGGTTGTTGTTTTGGGCGAGCGATTTGGGATCGGTTTGGAAACTCGTTGCGAATGGAACTGCGATTCCAAGCAATCCAACCAAAACCAGTTACAACAAAACAAAGACCAGTTGCAACAAAGCCACTGGTCACGAAAGACAACTGAAATCCCTGGCCACTGGCCAACGTATTTTCAACACTCGTTTGTTCTGCAGGACACTGCTCCAGCTTTGCTGGGGTTCCAGCTTCAAAATAAAAAGTCCTGTCTGCACTTTGCAATGTCCGAGCCTTCACCCGGTGTCATCCAAAGTGCAGGACGGATGAACTTGCAGTCAAAATGTCACCGGCTTTGCCGGAGCACGGAGCTTCACTCCGTGGCATTCGGAGAGGCTTCGGACTGATCGAGGAACTTGCCAAACCTAACCTGACCCGCAGTGTGCCATCATCTACGGCATAACTCTTCCGCGACGCCGAAAGGTCAATTTGATCCTTGAGTCTCTGTTTATCCTCTGCACCTGGAGGAGCATATTTACCAAGACTCCACCAAAGTTCAATCACTTTCCAGCTATTTTGCAGAAGGCCCACGCTCATGATGATGAAGACTGCAATGCCATAGGTTGATCCCATCCACAATGTGATAGCCAAAGCGAAAAGAACGTAGGCTTCCACCAAGTAAATGGCCGTCTTACCCACGTAATAGCATCCATTCCCCGTCGTCATGTAGTGCATGACGTCAACCTCTGTCAGGGCATTGAGGTAAAAATGACTCACCACTGCATACAGGACACAAACGACGCTCGCGCGGATACACAGCAAATTCACGGTGACAAAGGTCAATCTCAGGTGCATGATGAAGCGTGGATCAGGGCAGTGATATGCTGGGCTAATTTCATGGCCTTCTATCAGCAAACCCACGACCGTGGTCATCACCAAAGATGTTGTGATGCCGATGTTCTCGTAAGCCTTGCAAACGGTCTCTTTGAGCTTGTCAGCTGTGCAGTGCTCAAGGATATCAGCACCCAGTTTCCGAGCAAAGCCTTTCACCACAATGAGATGAAGCATCCCCGCAGTCACCGCGAGAATCGTGGGAATAATCCGGTGAGCTCTGCAGGTAGCTCAGAACTGAGCCCGCACTCCATGCCGAAATCCGGCAGTGAAGGACTGGCAACCGAACCCTAGGCCTGAGTCCTTACTCAGGATCCAGTCCTGGTTCCATTTGAGCCAAAAACCACCGGCAAAGGTGCTGATGCAGCTGACGCTGCCGCCGCCTCGTTCGTGGTGGTGGAAACAGCCTAATGTGCCGTGTGGGTATGGAAATATATAAATTGGAATGTGATATTTCAGTGTGTCTGAGAAAGGGGTATGCCCCCAAAATGCTAATTTAAATCATCCATCTTTTCCACAGCAACGGTTAAATTTAACTAGCGGGTATAATTGTGAACATGTTGGGTTTTGCCAGCAGTCACAAGGTGGTGTCAATATCTGAATCGACTCTGTTGCTGAAAACCCTTGCAAATTTGTTGCAAATTCGAACATGACGGTGAAAATCCGCATATATAAAAAATAGAAACTCGTAAATAGCTGGAGTTGCTTGTATATTTTGAAGTCGGAAGAAAGAGCGCATGAAGGATCCAGAAATACCAAGCAGCAGTCGTTCTTCTAAACGTCGAGCACCACTGACAATCACCTGAGGCGAGTGGGGAATACAACGATTCGTACATGTGGGGGTGGGTCAAGACTATTCTGGTTGGTGGTTGACCTACCCTTCTGAAAAATATGAAAGTCAGTTGGGATGATGACATTCCCAATATATGGAGAAATACAGATTCAGATCATGTTCCAAACCACCAAACAGTATTCTTCACTATGACCACTAAGATGAGAAATTGCCTGCTATATGAAGAAACCAATCACGGCAGGTTTAAAGATAATTCAAAAACAAAACATGCATGTTTTGGGGAATAGGGGATGAGCCCCAAAACTAATTTTGAATATACCGAAGTCACTTTGCTTTGGGCAGCAACGAGAAAGACTGGAACAGTATCTGATGATACATACAGACGTATACAACTACCGTATATATACACAATATCATATACTATGTGCTAGTCACACTAGTACATATAATATGTATATGGCTGGTGAGAAAAACACACGCATTTTCCTGCTTCACCTGGCTTGTGAGCAAGTTGGGTTGAAAAGCCAACGCATGAGAAGGGACATGCTGGTGCCAAGGGCATAGCGATTGTGTACCTGTAATGTGGTATGCCCAATGTCACAATACATGGGTGGTTGTCCAGTGGGTCAATGCCACAGTATCATCCGCATAGACCATGTTAAATCATGTTCGATTTGAACATTCCCACATGCAGTCTGCTGAGTACATCAGGTTGGGACTAGGACAGCATGGTGGGTGTGCCTCCCCTGAAAAACGATCCCATTTCCAATACATGTGACCACCACTCCTGGTTGCATTGCCCTTCACACCTTGGCCGATTTTAGGTCGTTTCAAAGGATTGAACCCCCGAAAGGCAACGACGTTTTGACGCCTTTTTTTCTCTCACATAATGTGATGAACCCAATGGCATATACCCTACCATTTAGGAATAACAACGTTGCCACCCATTTATGGTAAGCTTTCCAGGCCCTTCCTCGACTCCCAAAACCATCCCCAAACACGCTGCATCCACGGTGCCACGTTGATGGCATCCGGCGCCACATTGAGGGAACTGCTCAGGGTGCTACGGACAGCTTGTTCCACCTGGACAGCCTCACGTGATGCTGAAATGGCCATTTGGGGTGGTACCCCGTACCCCCAAGTCATCCAAATTAGATCATTTTATTGAAACCCATGGTGACTTGGGGTACCGTCATTTTAGAATACCTCCATTTAGCTTTGCCACCCAAAAAAAACAATGGATTCTTCACCTTGGGAGGGTATACCGGTATACCCCACGTGCAGACCCATTTAAACAGGATTGGAATCATCAGCTGGTTTCATCATGTCCCGTTCTGGGATGATAAACCAATGGACACAAAAAGATTTCGTATTGACCCAAAAAAAAATAGGGATTATCATTATAGTTATTGGGGCAATACAATCTTTTATAGGGATTAATTAAGTTATCAATACTTGGATTTATTGGGTCAATAACTAGGGGCAATAACTTATTTCAATAAAAATAGGGATTAAGTTATAGGGGCCGGGTGATTTTTGGGTTTACCGTTTTAGCACCTTTTGGACGTCTGTATGTTGTTTAGCAAGTTAGAAACATCCACTTTACACAAATGGTTTTTAGCGCACATACTTCCCACAAAAAATGGGAGCCTGGCTTCTGAAATCTACAGGGAAGTTGGCTGGAGAGTAGACCCAGGGGGATGTGGAAGTAACATGTAGTAACTGCTGGGTTTGTCTTGGGTAGTTGGGTACTGTAGTCAATTAGTTGGGTTGTTTGTTGGGTTGTTGGTTGGTTATTTGGTTGCTTTCTTGGGGTTTGAGCCACCCATCCGGGCAGGATGAAAAATATCAGGTGAAAGCCACGACAAATCACCAACCCGTTGACCACGGTGGGGGATATATACTACAGAATACAAATGTATCTGAGTATATAATAGAGATGTTCACACACATGAAGTGAGACCATTTGGGTGACGTCGCCGTGAGGTCGTAGCCCTCTATCACTTGACCCATGCCCAGCATGATGGGAGCATGATATGATCTCAGATATAGATGGAGTCTATCACTGCCTACACCCCTCTGTATTTAATTACCTGGGTTTGAAGTTTATTGGCATAGAACTGTGGTCCATTTCCTACTGGTTCAATGTCCATTCTTCTTTGATCCGAAGTGGTATGTTGCTTACTACAATCTAGACTTATTCTTGGTTGAACCCCACGAACAATTGTTGGTCTCCCCACTTTCATGGCGGAATCCTATGATTTTACACCCAAATCCCCATGTTCCCATTTTTGGTTGCTGAAATACCTCGATGGCCAAATCCCAAGCGCGTTTCAGACATCCCCAAAATGTCACCCAAAATTTGGTGCAGTTGGTCCCACTTTTTCGATGGCCAAGGAACAGAGGCTCCATCCAATTGGAAGGACATGGAGCCAGAGATCACCGCAACGAGCTCCTGGCGGAGCTGAAGGAGCTGGTTCTGTGGATTAAAACAGAACAGGTTTTTTGTTGGGCAATGGTGGGGATATATGGGTATGTTAATGTTTATAATTATATATATATATTATATAGATATATACATATATATATATATGTATATAGATGGGGGTTCTTAAAATGGGGGATCCCCAAAACCATGGCTTTCAATACTAAAACGGACGAATTCTGGATGTTTTTGGGTACCACCCATTTTTGGAAACCTTCATATAGGCTTCATAAAAGGTCTTTATAGGGTCAACATAGGGATAGGGATTAGACCATCAAAGACAACAATCTATGGTAGTTTCAAGTAGGAAAAAGTGTGTTTAAAACATATTAAAACCTGTCTCACCAACCAATTCACCAACCAAAAGGGTGAATTTGAGCAAGAGAGGTGGAGGATTTCTATCATGCAAACGGCAACTCAGCAAACAAACGGTAAGATTGGGTATATATCATTATATATCATAGAAATTCATAGAATATTTAGTTCTTACAATAGGCATGTCCCTTAGTAAACTTCGGTGTACCCCATGCTGAGAAACCCACCGCAGGAACCCAAGGAACTTGCCAGACAAATGATGACAAATGGGTTCATCTGAAAAATCGGCTATCCCCAGGCCCTATATCCAGTGGTTAGTCGCCATGGTTTTAGTGCAATTTTATAGGTACCCTCTGGTAAACTAATATAACTATGGAAAATCACCATTTTTTATGGGAATATCAACTATAAATGGTCATTTTCAATAGCTATGTTAGTTTACCAGAGGGTATACGGTATACCACAATTTGGATACGCCCAAATGTGGTCACCTAATCAACAAGACAAACCATGCGCGGGCAGCAGTGAGACTGGTGAGTTTCAGACAAATATAACGCCGGGCTCATGAAATCCCCAGAAGTGGTAAACATCAGGTATGGTATGGTTGTGACTTAACGGTGGGCTTGCCATATACCCATAGGATCCATCTATGCTATATATATATATATATATATGGTAACATTTACCATCAATATACCCCAAATGTTAGCATATATATATACCATACATGGATCCTATGAGATATAACTCACAGTAGTTTGAAGCGCCACAAATCCCCACAACTGGGACAAGGCACGGTGTCATTGGTCACGTTCACCAGGTAAGTGCTGACACCTCAAATCCCCAGCTTTTGTGCTGAAAAAAGGGTGGCGCATCTTGCGATAAAGTGATTGAAAAGGTAATTCCTTCAGTTGAGCTCTGGGAATTCTACACGTGTCTTTTTAGTAGGCAAAAATGACATGGCAAAATTAACATCAAACTCACATGACTGTCTTATTGTCTTCTCATGTTCTGACCTGAAATCATGCTCATTCCTACAACATGTTTTTGTTCAGGAAATCATCAACTCGAAAACCGATCGTGATTTTCCCAAGCTGGCAACTGTGACAAGGGGCATGCGGCTGGGTCTTCCAAGGGCTTTGCAAAGTACACCATGTAGTGAGTCACCTGTGGCCCACAGCCCAGGCTAGGTCACCCCCAGCCATGTGGATGACCACCATGACCGTTTGCTCCAAGGAAACCACAGAAGCGACTTATTCCAAAACTTGATGGTTTAGCATTATGATAAACTATGTACACATATTACAATTGAGGGATAGTGGTTGTAAATGGCTAAATCATGCTAAATCATCTAGTTGCGTATTGTGTCATTCAAATGATCATAGAGGTATCATTTACACACCACGTGCGTCATGTTTTTAAATCGCAAGCAGCCAGAAATCTTCAGCCATCCCCAGCCTGGGACATGTCCACAGGCGCCAGCCATTCTAACAGACCCCCGAGGTCTAACAGATCCAAATCCTCATCGGGAAAGCTCACGTTTTGCACCTTAGATTCGATGCCGTGGGGTGAATGATGTTAAGCAGTTGGCCGTTCAATACTCGAAATAGCGGTCAAAATCCTGCCTGTTGATCTAGTTATGCTTATCAACTCAGGTTTTGGGGGACGCAAATTCCATTGCTCAGTGGTTAAATCCCAGTTTTGGATGGTTTTGGATGGGACTTGCCCAATCCCCTGGTGCCCAGTCCCCCGTGTCCCCCGTGTCCCACCAAGCAACGCTCGAGGCCGCGTCGCTCAGAAGGAACGCATCAGGTGTCGTTTGCTCGACCAGCGACGACTCCGTGTAGACCAAGACGTGCCTGGGCACCGGCCATGTTTTTCCCTGCCGTGGATTCGCGTGGAATCCAACCACTCATCAACGAACTTCCAAAGATTGGGGGGGCCAGAGTCAAAACGTGATGAAGCTGCTGGAGCCTGGTAGTAATTGTAGTATCCCTCAAGCAAACATCAATGAACCAGGTCGCGAGTAGGACTCCAAGGCGGTGTCAGGCGGAATGTCCAGGAAGTCTACTCCTGACACGCAGTCATGGATCTGTTTAGATACCGCAAGCACATACAAGCACTAACCATTACCAAATCCGCACAATGGTCAGTTGTAGTTGGTTACAACAGATCACTCAGTGAAAATCAATGACCAACCAGTTATATACCCTGGATTCAAATCCATATGGGACTCCTGCCACATTGCCACGTTGGGAACGGTTCAAGCCATCCATGCTTTGCGCCAGGTAGATGTTGTAGTTGGTCACCTGAGACGGACGCTAACCCCTGGGACCTGTTTTTTTCCACTAAGAATACATCAACTTTGACCCAAACACCATCCATCACAAATATGTTGAAGATAAGCTCAGCAACACCAGTTTTTTTCTTAGCACCCCACAGTTGAAGCCATTTCCCAGTTACAACTGGTTAAACAAAAAGGCGTTTCATGTATGTTTTGGTTCCATAAATGGGGTTATAACATGTTATAACTTATAACTGACTTATAAGTGGCCACAACTGGCCACAACTGGTGATCCTCAACCACCGCTAAAACCAACGTCTCTCCGCCGGGGCGCCCGGGACACATCGCTGGGGTACTGCCAGTTGATTCGGCCGCCCAATTCCAAGGCATCCAAGTCCTGTCAGGTCTATCCGTCCCCTGAAAAATGGCATGGGTGGTGTGGGAAGTGTGCGAGACCCAGGAAGTGTAAGTGGAAGGTACAGTAAAAAGGTACAATATTCTTGTGAAATATCCAAATACTGCAAGTACCTAATCTTTTTTTCCGTTGTTGGTGAATAAAACCACTTATGAAATGGATTGGACATGGGAAGTACTTGGGTGGCACGCATCCCAGCTGGAAACTGATTCACAGACATCTGTACTAATGTCCAAGTCAAAGCAGCCACAAAGAATGATGAATCCAAGCACTTCAAACGATACTTATTGTTGGGTTCACATACTGTATCAGTTTCAGCCCTCATCTACCATATTGCCGATCATCTTATCCCATTAAATTCCCATTATCCCAAATTAGAATGCTTAAAGGTTAGATCCCTCTATCTCCCAAGATATCCCCAATAATACCACCATTAAATCCCGTGCTTTTATGGTTACATCCCATGTCAAATATGGCTTACCGTTTGGTTATTTAACGTAGCTATGGAACATCACCATTTTGGATAGGTAAATCATCATAAACCCTCTATAAATGAACCATTTTCCATAGCTATGTGGTAAATCCCATCCCCATCGCCATCTGCCACCGTGCCTTATCCACGAAGAAGGTGCCCATCACCGTGGCGTAGGCGTCCACGATCTCCAGTATCGCCGGTGTGCTTTGCTCCACCAACGTGGACAACGTGTAGATGCCCACGTGGGTGGTCTCTGATAACCCGCCATAGCCTGGGAGATGGATGGTGTGGATCAATGGACTGGAGATCGATATTTCATGGTTCCACGTGTTGCATGGCGCTGGAATATTTTGTATAGCTACATTTAGGTGTTTTTCGCGGCAAATGTTGATAAGTTGATAAATATTGAATACATGGAGCGTATGACCCATTCGATATGAGCTAGAAAAATGAACATTGTAACATGATGTACCCTCTGGTAAATTAACATAGACCCTGGCAGATAGGGGTTGGAAGATTAGTGTCCATTAAAACTATAGTTATTTTCAGGGTCTATGTTAATTTACCAGAGGGTATTCCGAATGATGGCAATGGAAGCTGAGCCCTGAAAATGGATGCATCTTGTACCCCCCGGTCGCCTCTCAATGTCGTCTCAGGTGGCACTGGCAACGTATCAACACCCACAGAGACGTTGGCGAAATAGGCACCTGGACCCATTTTTTGGCCGCTTTTTAGGGGGGGATCTGGAGAATTAGCAACTGGGTTTGGCTGATTTTTGTTTGCGGGAAAAACATCAGCAAAACTTGATGGTGAATTATGATAGTCTAGATATCTTTAACATTACTTTTCCTCATGTTTTGATGGCAATTTTATGAAGTATCCACCATTTTTAGACAGGAACATGTTTCCGTTCCACAGCAGATTTTCAGTCAAATAGCCTTTTGTAGAGACCCCGACGTGGTGCCAAGTCGCGAGTGTCTGATTCATTGGTGTTGTTGGCGTTCATGAAGTAGATCATGTAGTGAGTGACCTGCTGCACGGAATATTCTTGGCTTTGCTTCAGAAACCACCAAAATTGGAACATCTTCTGCATAGTTCCCCCGGGCCCCCGGTGCAGTTCCCATTGAGAAAATTCAGCAACTCATCTACTCAGCGAATCCAGGTATAACCCTCAGGTATACCAGAGTGCGACGGTTCTGGAATGTCTACCCAAGAACTGAGCAACAGATCACATAGGACACTGACTTTCATGACTTTTGAAACATGCTGTCGTTGGATTCCGGCGCCCAGGTGACATGTCGGTGACATTCGATGACATGTCCGAAATGTCACAAACTCTTCCGATACATGAAGTCTGCTGAAACAAGAACCCACAGATTCACCCACAGATCTGGGTAAATTATAATAATTCACTAACCTGAATACTTCGGCCATTTGGGGATGATTCCCCTAAAATAAAAACCATGATTTCCAGTGAGGGAGAACAGTGAGGTCGTTATTTGCTTTACCCAGACAGATTCACCCAAAAAACACATCAAAACCACCACAAAAAAAAAGGCCTTGGCAGTCTCCAAGGGTTCATCCCATTCCTGAGATGAAGGGAAGCGATGAAAAAATGCCATGGGAAAGACATGGGACTTGAAACTAGTGGTGACCTATGGATTCCTATAGATTCCTCTAGATTTAGATGTTTATTACCTATTATAAATGATAAATGTTTACTAACTATTAGATGATCTATAGATGTTTTGACATCGTCCATAGCTGTTCAATAACGCCATCTATATAGCTACAGAACTAACGAATGGAATTAAGAACAGCAACCATATGTGGTATTGTGTTGCTATAATTACTCATGGGCATGCGCGATCACCGCTTCGCTTCCCGGACATAAAACCCAATAAAGGCATCAGCAATCTGTCCAAAATCTGATCAGTCACGATGTTTTTGTGATCACAAAAACACGCAAAACGCAAAACGAAAATCACCGGTCGCTTCCTCAAAAAAATCTGCTCCAAGGCACTAAGGTGCCTCCCAGATCGGTTTCATCCAAATCCAGATCCACCAAAGACCTGATCCGGCCCAGCTGCACATGGCCAGTTGCAGTTGTTTATTCACGTCTCCATAGACTATTCTGTAAAATCTTCCATAGATCCATTTTTTTTCGAGAAAAATCCAAAGAATTTCCAATAGCAGTAGCATAGCTTTATATAACTATAACCATAATTCAATCATATTCCATAATATTAAACCATTTCCAACCAATTCGGGTACTTCTCACCCACCCGGAGAACATGTTTCGTCTCTGCGGCGCCCAACAGGTTGGCCACGATGGCAAAGGCGTCTGACAGCAAAAAGGACACAGGAGTGCTCTGCTCGGCTAAGGACGACGAGGTGTAGATCACCAGATGGCTGAAACTCCTTGGTTTCCAATGGATCCATAGTCACCATTTTTTTTTTAGTGGTGAAACTGGTGATTACTAGTAGTGATTGATCGTGTAGTGATAGATAGTGGTTAATGGATTGAAACTGACCAAAGAAATGGGTTGCAAAGGGCAACTAAAGCATCTATTTATATATATATATGTAGTATTATGTAGTATTTACAGAATATTGATTGGAATGGCTCAAATTTATTTTGAAGATCTATTGTATCTGTAGCATTCTACAGTTGATTGGGTAGGTAGGTGTTCTTTGGTGTTACAGTGTCTTCTCCGAGGTCTCTGTCAACATAAAGGGCATTTTTGTCGACGCTTCAGCATGGAACCGGGTAGATATCCCTGATCATCAGCTGCCTACATCTACAAATCAAATCAGTTTTCTCGTGTTTTGCTCGAAAAAAAATCATTCCCTAGAAATCCCATCATATGGTGGTGACCAAAAATGGGGGTACCCCTAGTTATCATCCATGTTTAGATTGGGATTTTCCCTTATAAACCATCCAGCTATTGGGGTTACCACCATTTCCGGAAACCTCCATATTCAGAGTATAGTGTTTGAAGGCCAATACCAGGCTGAGGTTCGGCTTTTCAAACCTCCAATAGTTCTCAGTCGCAGCGGGATTGGATCCCTATAAAGGGGGGGATAATTTGGTTCCCAAACACTTGGGCAGCAACCCAGGTGAGAAGTGTGGGTAACCCCCGAAACAAATCAAGCAATAGCCTGGTTAAAATCCAGATTTGTACTGCTTGGTCGATGGTAAACCATTCAAATATATACACCCTATAGGACAAACACATATATTAATCATTTCATATAATTATTCACATTATATCTCCATATTTGCTGTTTAATACATTATCTGGTTGATGGTTGACCTACCCCTCTGAAAAATATTAGTCAAGTCAGTTGGGATCATGACATTCCCAATATATGGAAAAATCAAATTCATGTTCCAAAAAACCAACCAGATACCTATTCCATCCTATTCCCATATGCTCCATGTATGGACTATTATGGCATGTTCATCAACTTTATGGACTATTATGGAATATATCTAATACATAGTCCAATAATAGTTGGAATACATTATGGACTATTTGGACTATCATGGAATACATTACAAATAGTAATGTTGTAATACCATATTTGCTGTTTAAATACCATAGTACTGTTTAATATTGTAATACCATAATCAATTTGCTGTTTAATACATGACATAACCATCTGTTGCTGGATGGTTGGTCGGTTGATCATCCGAGCAAAAATCCTCCAGATGATCCCCTCCCATCGTCCCCATCGTCCCCATCGCCACCGAATCTCCCGAGGGCCGTCTCCGGCGGAACATCGGCTCCAGGCTTCGTGCTGGACAGCAGGAATTGCCTCTGCGTAGCGTGATGAATTGGTTCCTATCAGGTGGTGCCAGCGTCAAAAATGTTAAGGAAAACGATCTACCTCTAGATATATCCACCATAGCCCTATGGTTAGGCCTAGTTGTAGACCAATTTACCTATGGTTAGTCCTAGTTGTAGACCAATTTACCTATGGTTAGTCCTAGTTGTAGACCAATTTAGCTGAGTAGAGGGCACCATGAGCACCATGAACCAAGTCAGTGCTCAAAACTAGTCCAATTGCCGCTGGAAGCACAATTCGCTGAAAACCAAATGCGAAAGTCTGATCGAGTATATATATATATAGTCAATAGTTGTTCCATGTTGTTCCTCTGATGGCTACTCGATTTCTACTGCGTATATAAGTGTCCAAGTCCTGTTACTTCTGTGGTAAAATATATCTGTGGGTGAGGGTGAGGTTTTTGCCAGATGAGGAAACCTGCCAAAGATGAATAGAATCCATTGTGTACTTCCATGCGGTTGATACAGATCCTCCATCCTCATCTCACTTCGAAACTTCATCTTCCAACTGTTTTTTCTTGATCAAGGGTGGGAAACATTGGAACAGCCTGGAACTGCCGCACCCACAACACGTACAACAAGATGCGTTTTCCAAGGGCTAAACCGGCTAAACACAATGGTATTACCCTGAAAACAAGCCACCTGTTGCTACCGAAGTAGTCGGTGGCCAGGTAGATGTTGTACATGGCGATGGCGGCAACATCATAGACCGGCACCCAACCTCCAGGTGGAGTAACTCCGGCTGATGTCCAAACATATCCCCATCAGCGGGTTTCTATAGATATCATATTTTATCACATTTATATGTATATATATATATATATATTAATTATATATATATATGGTTTAAGCAGTAGCGATCCTAGACTTGGGGGGTTCCATAGTCATGGAGGTACCCATTTATCGCTGGATGGTTTATGTCATGGAAAATCGAATCTCCACTGGACTCGCCATCAACCAGTCACTGCCACCATTAAAGCTAAGGAGATCGCAGCATAAATTGCCCAGCTTCATGTTTGATGGATAAATCTTGGTTCCTGTATAATTGTATACCCTAGGGGATAGTCTACTTCTATGATTGATTTTCCACATCTATGTGATCGTTTACAATATAGGGATCCCTATTATAATTATATTTATATATATATATATGTATATATATATATGTATATATATATATATATATATGTATATATATATATATATATGTATATGTAGGACCATGTAGGGGGCATCCACATCCCAGCGAAAAACAGCATCATTTCATTCCCAGCAGCTCAGAGGGCCACCCAACTCCCCAGGATCCAGGTCCAAGTCCTCGAACTGCAAACTCGAGACCTCAGCGCCATGGTGGGTAAACCATGGTGAATTGGGTGAGTTTTGCAGCATCCAACACCTGGAAAACTCGGAGTTCAGTCCATAGCCGAAATATTTCGAACGAAATCTTAGGTCATCCCAAAAAAAAAACTCTGTCGACATGCCGGAAAAATACAAGTTGATTCAACGTGGATCAATCACAAAATTTTGTGATCCCAATATGTGACATGTTTTCCAATCTGCTACATGTTTTTTTTGGTTTAACCAATAGCTATCCAGCCATGATGAAGCATCATGATAATATCCTCATTGACAGCTGGATCCCACATCATCCATGTGGATCCCATTGGCCCATTGTTCCTTCATCCCTGTATTCTCTCCCCATTATTCTCAAAGAAAAAAAACAACTAAAAAAATCCCTAATGGAAATGGTGACTCATCCATACTGTGGATGGTTGCGAAATCCTGCACCACCTTTGGTTGAACCCCTATAAATAATGGGATAAGACACCTATCAACTGGTGATTCGGATTTCGCTGGCCCATCCACAGTATGTTTTCCACATTTTACTATCTGATTGACTGTTCACCCTCTTGATATTCCCATCATATCACTGATTGGTGATTTCACAGTTTCACATGTCAAGGGCTGGAAGTAAAACATGTAGCTGAGACCGCCAACCAGCGAGTTCATGCCTTCATACTCCATGATATCCCCATTAGATCCCGATAAACATCCGCATAAACACTCATAAAGTCCCACATCAAAACATCGTTAATACCAAACATATCCTAATATACAACACATTAAACCCCATATTGGTTTTATTTTTTACTGCTCAAGTCACCATTTTTGACGCTTACGTCTTACGTCACCCCATGACATTCTCATCAAATCACCAGTTTTTCATGTCATCATCTCTAGTTTCCATTAGAATCACCCTGATCAATGGGAATTCCAGGATCCGAACAGATGGAGGTACGTTAGTATCATATTTCTGGTCATATTTTGGGGGTATATCATGGTATATCCGTATATCCCCTTACATAGACCTGATGTCCCCAGCGATGCTGAAATCCACAAGAAATCCCCACCCAGCTGCGCTGGCGTGGCGGTCGTTGATGCTGAGCCATGCAGGTGTGCTCTGCTCCGCCAGCGCGGATGAGGCGTAGACCAAGAAGTGGGTGAAGCCGCCTGCGAGGCAGCAGGGGTTGGCCCCGGAAACAACTGGAAGAAGCCAGGTGAAAACTAGAAAATACCGAGAAAATCTTGGAAACCTATAGGAGAAATTTGAGAAAAACTGTGGGAAATTCAGAGGTGAAAGTAGGACAATTTGATACGGATTCCCGGAGAAATAATTGGGAGTATAGTGATTGAGTATAGCCCCCTTGCTTATAATCAATCAACCAGGGTTTTGGTCAATGCTCACGTGTAAATGGGGAAATTGAAAGTTGAACATAGCTAATTAGATGTTATAAGATATATTTAAGCCATTTTCTTGGAAAGAAACCACGAAAATCGTTTGAACCCCAAACATAATTGCAGGATAACAGGATAAAATGTTGTTACCCAACCTGGCAACCAAAAAAAAGGCAGTTGAAGATCTCCATATTGAAAAGGACGATGACTTTCCCAGCGAACTCAACCTCTTGAGGCCAACGCCGCCAACGCCCGTTGGTTTTTTGTACCCGAAAATGGTCATTGAACATAGAAAATGGTCACATGGAAAAGCGTCCATAACAAATACCCCATTTATGTACTGAACATATAACTATAGAAAATTCATTACAAATGGTCATATGATGTCATATGTATAATTTAATACCCTTGAGGGGAAGATCACCATTTTTAATGGCTAAATCAACTATTTCGACTGGGTCATTTTCCCCTCAAGGTCCCCTGGAGAAAGGCCCTGGACCCCCAGCGACCGCGCCTGTGGAAGTTTCTGCTGGCACCTCCACGGCTGTTTCTCCCGCCACGGCGCCAGCCCAGAAGGTGCGACGACAGAAGCGGATGCGATACCTGCGACGGGTTGCGGAACTGTGGAGAACTTCGGAACCCACTTCCGGCGATAAAAAGGTGAAAATAACGGTGTAAGAATGGCAAAATTCATGGTGGTTTTGGTGGTTTTACCAGGTCTGAAGATAAAGATTGGGATTTCAGTTGGGTACGTGGAGTAGATTTTGTTTGCCAAGCCACTGATGATGGAATTTGATTAACTGGACCTCCAATTCACAACGATATGTGAGATATGTGACTATTCCATGCACCAACCAAACCTGAGACCATTGCTCCCCAAATATCCCCAAAGAGAAATGGGACAGGTATGAAACATAATCAAAGCTATCTATCTAACATTAGATTTCTCTTTACAACTGATTTCCTTGAGGATATTGAGGTAAACTAACGTAATGGATATCAACATACCACAGTGAACAACATGGAAAACATACAAATTCGTTCTAGATAAATCATCTATAAATCACCCATTTGGTTCGTGGAATTTACCATATAATCCCATCCCCCTAATATTAAACACCACCTAAATAGTCCCAATTATGTGGAGAATCCCTGCTGAAGCATGCTTTCTAAGGTGGTGTTTAATATTAGGGGGAAGGGATTATAGATGTCCATTCCTGGACCCTCCTGAGTGCCCATTTTTAAATGGGCAAGAAGTACTCGCTTTATGGAGTCAAATGCAAATTCTTATATGCACGTGGAGGGTCTAGGTTCATAGAAGATTAATTATCAGTTTTTGATTAGATGATTCATCTAATAAATTACACAAATTACCAATTTAGTAATATGTATAGGTATATATATATATAATTATGGGGTTTCCTAAAATAGGGCTACCCCCAGTTATCATCCATTTTATGTAGGATTTCCCTTATAACCCATCCATTTTAAGGGTACCCCATTTATAGAACCCCCCCCATCCACTCATCGAAAACCGAGGCTCTGCACAGATGCCAGTCGACGCGGAAACGATGCTCCTGACATGCCAATCGCTGGAAAACCCACCGAGGTGCTAAATCCAATGATGATTGAAGAATGAGCATTATAATTAGAATATTTCACCAACCTGAATTAATGCCATTTGGGGATGATTTCCCTTATTAACCATGATCCAAGTGAGGTCGCAGTGAGGTCGTTATAATTTACCCAGATCATATAGTGGATCCAGTTGGATCACTAGTCACTATAAAATATGATCCAATACTGGATGACATAATCATAAACATCATACTATATTGGATCACTATACTATACTATACATAATCATGACATAATCATCTGATATTGGATCTTAGCACATGGGCGATCCAATTGCATCAATTGTGCTTCACGATTTCACCATAAGCTGATTGATGACTCTGGACCTGGGATTGCCTCTAGATTCACTATGATCAACGAGGTGATGTGGCAAGGGTCGGTCACGATTATTATAGTTTGCTCAAGCATTGAATATTGCCAAAGCATCAAAAAACAGATTGATTCACCATTTTGCTTGGTTACATCTTGATGTCCCTTTGAAAAAAAAACATGCTATAGCCATAGCCAAGAATTAATGGCCATAAATTATTTGAAGGTCAATCCATTATATTGCCAAGCATGCCACCCTGCCAGCTTCTCAAACGGTGGCCTTCATCCAACAATCGACGTGCCCTTGGCGGTTGAGTTCACATGGCTGGAACACATCCATCCAGGAAACTTAACACCAACAAGGTTTTCGGGGTGCAAACCATCCAGTTTATGGGGAATATAGTTGGAATATACAAGACACACATATCTTAGCACTACTTGGTGTGTCTGAAAGTGGTATGCCCCCCCGAAATGACCGTGTCCTTAACCGTTTTAAAGGCAACATGATCATAAACCATTGGATAACGTTTGCTCGAAATTGGGGGACCCACCAAGATGAATGGCATGTCTGCTGACGTACAGCAGGAACTACACCTACACAAAGGTGTAATCATATTTTGTTTGGTAGATCTTGGGAGATTCCATATTGCCAAATACCATCAATTATCACCAGTTTTAATAGAGTTTGATAACATCCACATGGATCATCATAAATCCATCTTTCATATCTTAACATAGTTTATACATCCAGTTTCACATTGCGGATATTGCATCGCTTGGTCCAACCTGAACTGAGGTCTCGTTGGCGAGCTCAGCCAATGTTGGGCTGTATGTTGCTGTAACTTTCCAATGACACAACTAGGGCGGATGGAAATAGGAATCTGATATAATTTGATCATGATCTACTAAGTTTTGCATATATCATATGAATGTTCCTTGATGTTCTCTGTCACTATTGTGCGCAACCACTTTAGAATCTGGGGGAACCAAATCCACTGTAGAATTCTGATGAGAAAAGAAAAATCACATGCAGGGTCTAGTTAGCTGCATGTAGCACAAAGCACACTGACCACCATGCCATGCAAACAAAAGGCCCCGGTGATGTGGATGTCGAGGTGGAACTGCTACTTGTTGAAGAAGTTGATGATGTTGTAGTGGTTGTACTGCTGGTAGATGACGTGCTACTCGTGGTGGCAGATGTTGATGTCATTGTCGCACTGGTACTGGATGTTGATGTAGAGGTGGAACTGCTGGTAGATGACGTGCTACTCGTGGTGGCAGATGTTGATGTCGTTGTCGCACTGGTACTGGATGTTGATGTAGAGGTGGAACTGCTACTTGTTGAAGAAGTTGATGATGTTGTAGTGGTTGTACTGCTGGTAGATGACGTGCTACTCGTGGTGGCAGATGTTGATGTCATTGTCGCACTGGTACTGGATGTTGATGTAGAGGTGGAACTGCTACTTGTTGAAGAAGTTGATGATGCTGTAGTGGTTGTACTGCTGGTAGATGACGTGCTACTCGTGGTGGCAGGTGTTGATGTCGTTGTCGCACTGGTACTGGATGTTGATGTAGAGGTGGAACTGCTACTTGTTGAAGAAGTTGATGATATTGTAGTGGTTGTACTGCTGGTAGATGACGTGCTACTCGTGGTGGCAGATGTTGATGTCGTTGTCGCACTGGTACTGGATGTTGATGTAGAGGTGGAACTGCTACTTGTTGAAGAAGTTGATGATGCTGTAGTGGTTGTGCTGCTGGTAGATGACGTGCTACTCGTGGTGGCAGATGTTGATGTCATTGTCGCACTGGTACTGGATGTTGATGTAGAGGTGGAACTGCTACTTGTTGAAGAAGTTGATGATATTGTAGTGGTTGTACTGCTGGTAGATGACGTGCTACTCGTGGTGGCAGATGTTGATGTCGTTGTCGCACTGGTACTGGATGTTGATGTAGAGGTGGAACTGCTACTTGTTGACGACGTTGATGATGCTGTAGTGGTTGTACTGCTGGTAGAACCTTCAGCGGCCATAGGGACATGCTCACGAATGTGGATTTGTCAACATGGGATGGGATACAAAACAACTACAACGGTCCCCAACTTTCATTTCCTAACCGCTGGTCCCCGCAAGTATGGCTATTTACCATCTGGTTATTTAACATAGCCATGGAAACATCCACAATTTTTAATAGGTATGTAAACCATCTATAAATGGGCCATTTTCCATGGCTATGTTACATAACCAGAGGGTAAACAATATGGATATTAATGATGATGACAATCCATGGGTTACCCTATTCTCAAACGAACAAATGTAGTCTCTCACTGTTGCACTCAAAGGTTGATTTTTAAAAGAGAAATTGCCATGCACCATACGCATGCCAAAGCGTTTATGGCAAAAACATGTTCTATGAACTGTTCACATCAACTATCAGGATATAACATGACATATATATAGATTATATTGTTACTGTTTCTACATGGTCTCATAATATATTATATATTACAGTATGCAATGCAGTGAGCCTTTAGTGACAATTTGTCTCGATGATAACTTGCCGTATCAAGCAATGGGAGATTTGACCATCGAACCCGAAGAACCGGCTCATGCAGTTTATGGTTGTATATCCAGACTCTAGAATTGTTTTAAGGGAAGTCTACAGGAAACACCAAAATCTTGGAGATATGTGCAGTAAAGAACAACGATGTGTTCCCTCATTTTCTTGCCTAGACTCTTCATGTTACTGCTCACGTTTTTCCTGCTCAATCCCTCGATTGCTGCAGCTATGATTCACCGATAGGGTGAAGCAACCCTGAATAAGGGACCCCAACATAAATAGATCAAATACCAAACCCTGGGTTTCCATAGGATGCCTTGATATTAGGACATTAGGGGTACATTATGGTGTGTTTTTTCCTGCAATTACCTTCGTTACTTTTCGTTGCGAATGGAACTCCTCATTTGTAGTAGTTCATTTCCTCAGAATGCAAGACAAATCACACAGAACTCACATACGGTAATAAACATCCAACCCTCCCTGGAATTGTTCTTCAAGAATACCACGGTGTGGCTTACCCTATGGCAAGACTCAGTTTTTGGCCATGAAACAGTCCTCCAACCGGTTCAACCAATATGTATCCAAATGTCTCCATGTGGGTTTCAAACATTGGGTACCCAGATTGGTTGGCTAAAAAAAAAAGGACACACATCGATTTTTCCGGATTTAAAATCTATGTTAATATTAGCAACTGCAGCCCTTTCCTGTGTCTTGTTGCTTTGTGAAACTTGATTTATGACCAAACAAATCAAACATTTGGCGTCTGAAAATTGGGTACTACGGAATTCGATGCTAAAATCCACCCATTGACAAACCCACATGCCAAATATCAAGTTGGTTATTCATCCCAATATATTCCAATAAAACATCACAATTTTTGATGGGTTAAATCATGTTAAATCTCTATATACGTTCCAAAATAAAGATATCCCGATTACAGTAACATCCCAGCACATACCATGTGTTCATAGGTGAAATCCTTATAACTCACCCAGCGACTTGAGCTGCTGCTGGTCATTGTGATGCTGCTGGTCGAGCTGCTGGTGGAACTCTCCTGGTGAAACTTCCGTTTTTCCGTGGCAACCGGAGGGGAAGCATCGGTTGCAGGTGACTCAGCCGACAACCGAGTGGTGGTGAAAAACCATCAGAAATGATGATTTTTCACTGTATTTCACAAGCAAAATTTAGTGGATTGAACAAGAAAAACGATGGGATGTACCCTCTGGTAAACTAACGTAACTATGGAAAGATCCACCATTTTCAATGGGAAAACTCACTATAAATGACCATTTTCAATAGCTATGTTAAATTACCAGAGGGTAAACCAGCAAAAAATGTTTTTTTTTTTTTTTGAGTCGATTTGGATGAGGAAGTTAGGTTCATTTCACTGGGTCATTATGAGCAACAAGTTCCTAAGTGGGATAGCCATCGGGGAATGGCGAATGATAGAAGCCATAAATGGCCCTGTCTAAAATGGCACATGCCCCAGAGTTGTCAGCTAAAAAAAGGAAACCTTATGTTCAAAGTGACACAAAGTGGCTAAATTCTGGTGTACTTTGTTTTGGACAAACCCAAACGAAAGGTTAGCAATGCAATTATGGTAAAGCAAGACAAACACAGTAACACCTTCGGAAAATCCAGAGCTGGGTTGTTTCTTTTATTCAAGTCTTTTAACATTGTTCAACTTTCTGTTTTTTAATGTTGGAAACTGAGGTCATCTCATGCTCTCAAAACCATAGCCAGCTGGGAAATCCCTGGAAACAAAAAAAATGTGTGAGATGGTTTCAATGGGAACATACGTATATCTTTAAATTGTTTATTATTGTGATTTAACCATCAAAAATGGTGAAATTATGGTTATTATTGTGATTTAACCATCAAACATGGTGAAATTATGGTTATTATTGTGATTTAACCATCAAACATGGTGAAATTATGGTTATTATTGTGATTTAACCATCAAAAATGGTGAAATTATGGTTATTATTGTGATTTTGGTTATTATTGTGATTTAACCATCAAACATGGTGAAATTATGGTTATTATTGTGATTTAACCATCAAACATGGTGAAATTATGGTTATTATTGGGATTTAACCATCAAAAATGGTGAAATTATGGTTATCATTGTGATTTAACCATCAAACATGGTGAAATTATGGTTATTATCGTGATTTAACCATCAAACATGGTGAAATTATTGTTATTATTGTGATTTAACCATCAAAAATGGTGAAATTATGGTTATCATTGTGATTTAACCATGAAAAATGGTGGTGGCTCATTATGGTGTGTTCATGGGAAAAATCATCGAACTCACTAGGAGAAATGTCCAGCTAGCCATGTTTGACACTGGAGAGTTAGCTGTGCCAATTGAGCCATCAACAAATCCCCTTATCCCATGAAATACTGGTCGATCCATAGATATCCCTATTTTGGGTTGTAGGTATTCCATGGTATTCCCAATAAACCATGTAGTACAAAGAATCTGTGATAACCCATCATTTGTCAATTTTATGCAATGAAAACGACCACGTATTCACCATCCACATGCCATTGACCTATTGAAAACCTTCACCATCCCACGTTGCTGCGCCAATGACTCTCTGAGTCTCCGTTGTGCTGGACGTGCTACTGGAAGAACTGCTGCTGGAAGAAGTACTGCTGGATGATGTGCTAGTGCTACTTGTGCTGCTGCTGGTTGAAGTGGTACCTGTTGGAAACAGCGCTGTGGCAACTGCCATGGTGACAATGGAGCTCCCAAGTTGCATGGTCAAAATGAGGTGTTCTCATGGGAGTTGAGGCAACAAAAATCGGGTGTGATCAACAAAAATATGAGGCTTGGAGCCGACAATCATGGGAATCTAACATTGTTTTTTTGGTGGGCCCTTGGTCATCTACCATCCCGCACCATTTTGACCACTGCCCCAACCAGCTCGGTTGAGTTGGTTGGATACAGCTTAACTGGGCATGTTTCACCCCAATATAAGACCAAACTATAGTTGCTTTTTTTAATTAGCTCTGGTTTTCTGGGCCCAAGTTCAGTGACAATAATATTATTAGTATTAACAAGGCCAAAAGATGACAATTTGACGGAGTTAGTTTGCGACATGCTGCTGTTATCAATAGGAAGGCAATCTGACAGAGTGAAAGTGTCATGTACTCAGATCATATCGGCCAAGACCAGGGATTTTCTCCGTGTCCATCATTTTCACTGTTCACATAGGTTGACACATCGATAAATCACGACTGATCTCAGAAATATCTTGCAACAACTTCCCTTTTCAGCTGATCAATCTACCAACTTATTTCCCAATCAAAATGGTGATTTTCCCATTAAAAATGATGATTTTCCCATTAAAAATGGTGATTTCCCAATCAAAATTGGCTAAGAAAACCCAATCAACACGAAGCTTCACCCTCCCGTGGCATCTCCCACCATCCTTTGGACAGCCAAGACACTGCTGGAGGTGGTGCTGGTGGTGGTGGTCGCCACCACTTCCACCACCGCAGGGATGAACGCAGTGAGCGCCACTTTGTTCACTTCACCTCGAAGAGATAAAGCCGCCACTTGGGGGTTGAACCCACAGGATCATCCCACCAGATCATTGCTATATGGAGGGATCATCCCATGGGTTAATAATGGTTAATAATGGTTAATAATGGTTAATAATAACCTGGTTGGTGGGGGCTACCTACCCCTCTGAAAAATATGAATATGAGTTCGCCAGCTGGGGTTACTATTCCCAATATATGGAAAAACAAAAAATGTTCCAAACCACCAACCAGATTGACTCTTGGGAGCAGATTTGTTTTTTTGGGGAAAGGCGATGACCTCCCAAAAACATCCAAAAACAATGTAATTCTGTTGTTTTGAGGGGGGTTGACCCGCAGAGATAGGGGTCTGATAACCTACAAAAATTGTCAACTATGCTTTTGTGGTTGTAGCCAACCAAATTGATATGGTAAAACACATGTGGGCTAACATTGGGATATTATTCATTTTTGTGTTGGTTAAACACAAGTGTTTCGCCCACGAAACAAACAAAAGAACATATGACCACCAAACGTGGACCCACACACCATGTCAGAAAACTGGTTCAAGGGAAATTTTACGATTGAACCCGCTGTATTTGAGGTTACTATGGTCTCCTGCAGATTCTGCCTTGAATAGTCAGTTGATATACTTTTTGGTGGGATGGCAATTAGCCAGTTGGCGGGGGCTTAATCTCGAACCAAAATAGCAAATAGGTCCGCTTGATCGTTTCAACGCCCCATGAAAAATATTGGACATTTCTATGGTAAAAAACAACAACAACACATATTCGGAAAGAACCAACCAGAGATCTTCATTTTACACTTGGTCTATCTTGGTCTTAAAATGCTGAGATTATCTCAGGGCATAGCTTTGGGCTTTGGAACCCCTTTCAGTGGCATGTCCACCCACTATTCAGCTTCTCTACCTCTTTAAGTCTTTGTCTACCCCCAAATCGAAATATGAACCTATGAAATCCTATGAAACCCCCATTTTTGTTTGGTTTTCCACCTGGAACACGACCTTCCAAAGCTTCAAATGTTGGGCTTCAAATGTTACCCTAGGGCCACGGTGCCTGGGGGGACCCCGGTGACCACCAGCTCCGTCTTCATGCGTTCGCTGAAGGCCGTTTGATCCGCGGACACCGCTTCCACCACCTGCTCCACCTGGGTGGACTGAATCTTGGAGATGACATCAGATTACATCATTTGAGTATAGATATGTATATGACTGTATATGATATAGATTGACAGACAGACAAACAGATTAGATTAGATAAGATTAGATTAGATTAGATAAGATAAGATAAGATTAAGATTAGATTAGATTGGATTAGATTAAGATTAGATTGGATTAGATTAAGATAGATTAGAATAGATTAGATTAGATTAAGATTAGATTAGATTAGATTAACATTAGATTAGATTAGATTAGATTGGATTAGATTAGATTAGATTAAGATTAGATTAGATTAGATTAGATTGGATTAGATTAAGATTAGATTAGATTAGATTAGAATAGATTAGATTAGATTAGATTAAGATTTAGATTAGATTAAGATTAAGATTAGACTAGATTAGATTAGATTAAGATTAGATTAGATTAGAATAGATTATAGATTAGATTAGATTAGATTAAGATTAAGATTAGATTAGATTAGATTAGATCGATGGATAGATAGATAGATGGATGGATGGATAGATAGATGCAATCTGCAATTTGCAATGTAACCTCTAATGTTGAAAGTCTCATGTTTCACAGCACTTGTGGTTTATTTTGTGTTCAAAATTGTGGTCACTGGTCACTCTTACACTGTTACTGTGTCGGGGCTGTGTCCAAGATATCCTATCCATTTAAAAATGGTTGGCCGGTTTGTCTGGTTTAGATTAGTTTACCATTTATCATTGTACACATGCTGCCGCAAAAAAAATGAATGTGTGGATTGATATCAGGTTGGGATTAACATCCCTGTGGACTTTTGAATCAGACGGGTACCACAACTTATTCAATTCGTAGCAAATTATCACTATCGGGGGGAAAGCGTGATCCCCACTCAAGCCGGGTGAGCAAAACTCCAGGGTTGACATTGCCCATTTTCACATACACAGTGCCAATTGCAAGGGCCGTCCGACCAACAATGTGGAAATCAGCTGGTTAACGTCAAAAGGCAGCCCCCGGGTTTATTCAAACAGATTGAACAGCAATCCCTCTAGAATAGTGGTGAGTTTCACCTCGTCTATCTTTTATCGGGTTGCAGTACTTTTGTACCAGAAACCCGCAACGGTGTTTTTTCAGCTCCATGGCAAGCTGGGAAATCCCCAGCTAAACTATCTCAAATGGAGTACAAGCTTCATGGAACCCATTTTAACAGGATTTTCCATTATATACCATCCATTAATAATGGTTAATAATGGTTAATAGATGGTTCTTATATGGTTAATAATGGTTAATAATAATCTGGTTGATGGTTGACCTACCCCTCTGAAAAATCATGGAGTTCGTCAGTTGGGATTATAAAATTACCAATATATGGAAAAACAACAGAATTTTCCAAACCACCAACCAGTAACTCCCTCTTGGGAAACTCATCTATAAGCACCCATAAATTCCCTACGGGGACACTCATTGAACCAACTCCCCGAACGAATCAACTCTGATTCAAGCTGCATCGGAAGCCAACTCGACATCCACCACAGCGGTGTAGGAGACCTGCACCGTGGCTTCAAAGGTTTCACCCCCCCAATGTACGGGCAAGTGCAGAGTCAATAAGCTTCATATATTGATACTCCTCAAAACTAACAACAAAGATCAAACACGTCTATAGTTCATCAACATACGTAGTAATCAAACAATTACAATTATTACCACATAAATGAAAAAAACACCCCCCTGGCACCTTCCAGTGTGTTGCCAGCAATCGCCGTGTTTCCACCTGCCAGCAATCGTGACTGTCTGGATAGACTGCTTCTAGTCGCCCAAGCTTGATATCATATTGGGGTTAGATCCAAATCCAGAACACACATCAATCATAAATTCACAATGTCCCTTACTTTCATAATTCAAAGCGAAGCGTTTTTTTTGGCTGTCATATGGTTGGGAAACTCGGTTTTTAGCTCCTTGGTTTCTCATCTATTTTGTGAAATATGGATACAACAGCCATAGCTCCGCAGAGGTCTCTCCACCAATAGTTGGGATTATAGAGTCACCCATAGTTACACACTCACTAGTGAAACAGCGTAGATACTCCCAGTCCCATTAGTCCCAATTCCGACCATAGATTAACAAGCCATTCAGGATTGCTCCAACCTATTTTAGGTAAATGATGGGCAGTTTGGGGATTTGTTTTTGATTTTACCTCTATCTTCAGACAAGTTTCACCCAAAGGTATCTGTAGTGTTGAAAGCATCCCTGATAATCATAATAAAAGTCAATTATATTCCATGGCACCACCATTTGATGATTGTTAAACCCCGTTAAAACCCCATCAAATTCAAAACACGAGTCTATCCCTGTTTAACTTTGGGATTTGTTGGCTAGATGTCCCAAACATTTTCCCGTTAATCACCAATTAAACCCTCAAGTTTGGATGATAAACCCTTAAGATGGGGATTAAATATCATTAAACTACTTGGGATTTCAACTTATATATATCCACATTAAACCCATTAATCCCCTTTAAACTCACTATGACAAAGCCCCAATCCCTGCCTCTTCCATGCGCCGCGCCGCGCTGACGGTCACAATGATCTGACCTTTGGAGATTGGCACTTTTGCACTGACTGGGACTGATCAACCAATGATTGACAATGGTCAATGTTCATAGTGACTATCCATCAACCATTAATCAGTGACTATCCATCCACCATTGGCATGGTCTGGGTTGATGTTCATAGTGATTGACAATGGTCAATGATGGATAGTCATGGTCAACAACGACAACAACAACGACAGGAGTTCACCCAGCAAAATGGGGGATTTTTAGCATCTGGGACCCTGCAGTCGAGACACTAGGATCCAGATTCAATGAACCTCAGTGGATGAGGGCTGACCATTGAATACCGACCGACAGGGGGAACTGTTGTCCCAAATCTAAGACGGCTTTAAGGGATACTGACAGGGATAATCATAACTGCAATATCAAATAGTCCATTCAATCCCACATCAATCCTGTATAAATATTTTACAATACCCATAGATTACCAAATCCACAGATATTACCAATAAAAACATGTGGAGATTCAGTAAATATTCATTAATCCTAATGTTGCTTCACATCATTCCTAATGCTCGTCCACCCATCAATTGGTAAATATAAATCATCCATCAATCATCCATTGAATCCCATGCCCATCCAATACCCGTAGAATATCCAATTCCAATCCTATTATTTCTATGGCACTGGGTTTTAACCAAATAGAACATGTTCATGCATGTTTCTTGTCGTAGATAGACCATACTATAACATATCACATGTTTCTTGCATACAATTATCGTTTAGTTTATGATCCATAATATACTTAGTCAATCTAATCCAAGAGAAACCATACTATAGGTATCACTAACGTAATTCAGTATATAACATTTCTGGATTTATACTGTATAGACCATAACATGTCATTACTATCATATCAGCAAGGATATGTTATTTATAATAATGATATTTAATAAACCATACTATGTATAACTATACTTGTTTATGATTAACTATCATAATGGTTTATTATACTATAGTTTATTCATTGTCATTCGTATACTATAGTTATAACATAGTTGGAGTTGGACAATGAATTATCATTGGCATTATCATATCAATTGACATTATATATATATATATGTAATAGTTAAGATATTGGATGATGTTATCCAACTATATGTTATATACTATAGTTAACATATAGTTAATCATAGATAATTGTCATGTAAACATTGGATAATTAACCATATTAACCATATTAATGTATATGAAAACATCTATGGCTAACCATAGATAACCATCTATATTAACCATAATTAACCATAATTAACATCAACTTGAAACCAGAAATAGATAACCATATAGATAATTAACCATAATTAACAATAGATTAACCATCATCAACCATAATTAACCATAATTAACCATCATTAACCGTGATCATATGAGATAATTAACCATAATTAAACATCATTAACCATCTATATTGACCATCTACATTAACCATAGATAATTCCTCAACTTGAAACTTCACCAAGGCACTGGCCAGCGCCAAGGTGGCCGCCTCCGTGACCTGCTCCTCCGAGGCACCGTCCAGGTCCATCTCGAAGCTGCCTGGGCGCAACGCGGCGCCCTGGGGACCCCGGGGACCCCGGGGGAGTTCCCCCGGGCAAAACGGTGGAAAAATGGCAAAGACATGGAAAAAAACGAGAAAAAACATGGGAATTTCATGGGATTGATGTAGATTGATGTAGAAAAACTGGAGAATTTCTGGGATTTAAAATGATGTTGTGGAAAACAAGAGCTTTCAGCAGGAAAAACCATGGTGTTTTTCGTGGAGAATATTGGAGAAATGGTGATTTTTTAGTGGAAGGATTGAGAACTGGTCAAGCAAAAAGTGACACAAAGCCAATGACACAACCCACTTGTGGGTCTGTATTCCTAAGGTCAGCCAGGACATGGAAGAAATCCACCTTGAAATTTGAACCAAGAATTGATGATGGACGTAAGCAATCTGATATGATATGCGATGCGCATAAACTATTCCACCAAAAAATACCAAGACGTGTACCGAAAAAAAATGCTGCTGAAACCCTCCTTTGTTCTGATGGAAAATCACCAGTTTTACTGGCGAAATCTACATTAGCTCTTATGCAACACCATTTATTGGTGTTCAAAACCCGATTTTGGTCGGTCAGATCCCCCATTTTCCAAATGTCCATTAATTGGTTTTCCATATTTTTTGCCAGGTGTTTCCAGTTGTGTGAACATGTTTTTCAAGATTTCCCAGTATTTCCCATTGTTTTTCTGTTTCTTCCACGTGTTTTCCGGGTTTTTCAACGTGCTTTTCCAGATTTCCCTACACCCAGGGCTTCCACCCGATCCTCCGCCCCCCATTTTGCGCCTGTAACCAAGGCGACGACGTGGCCGAGCACCACGCAGTCAGTGTCCTCAAAGATGGGATTATGACGGGTGCTGACATATGTCATAAGAAGATGATATTCTGGAATATCATATTCCCAGTGTATATTACATATGGAGATCGAATATCCCAGTCATAAGAAAATGATATTTGTTATAAGTTATAAGTGGGAAAAATGACCAAATACGTTCGTCCCGGGATATAATATGTAGGAATAGAATTAGTGGGAATATCATAAGAACATAGTGGGGATATAATGTGACACATGGGATATTGAAGCAGTTGGTGGTGCCTCAGTTCGTTGGCCAAGTTGGTTTACAACTCCATAACTTGGGGTTATGGTAGATATATCGAACTAGTTAATGGGGATGATAAACCAACTGATAGCCCTTTTATAGCTGGGGGGCAGCACCCTGTAACATATCCCCTATTGGGATCCCACGGTTTCTGAGGGGTGCTGGGGTGTTGAATGTTCGCATCCCGCTGAATCCATGAGTAATCCATTCAATCCCACAGAAACCCCATACAAATCCATAAGACCCATAGAAGACTGTGGATGGTTGCGAAATCCATCAAACCATCTTGAATCCTAGAAAGCCTCTATGAAAAATGGCATGTTTATAACCACCTATCAAACTGCTACTCAATGATCGAGTACAGGATTTCGCAACCACCCACAGTAGCCATCAGTTCCCAACGCCACCAAGACACATTGACACCTAAGGCCTCTGCGAAGTAGACGGCCTTGGGGCGCTTGGTTTTCTACTAAATGGGCATCTAAATGGACATAGTATCACCATGGAAGTCATGTTTGATGACCCACGGGTATTATACGATATTATAGGCAAAGCCATGCAGTATTATGGAATGAATGAAATATTATAACTTACCACTGGACATCGATCTTTTTCCGAACATACCACTTCCTATCAACCTTCACTATCCGCTGGGGTTTCCAGCTCGTAGAAATCTGAGAACCACCAATGTATCAAGGATGGCGTTTTCATGACCCCCAAACAAGTCATCAACCAAGCCTCACTTATATCATGTGTTATCCCAGATATTCCCAGTGTTTGGAATGCAACCTCCATCAAATATATACCATATTATATAAGTGACTTATATCATGTGTTATCCCCATGTTGGGTTGATGCAACCTCCATCAAATAAAATCATTTATAGCACCAAACTGACATATGGAACATCCATGTTGACCTGAACAATGGAAAAAAACACCCCTATCCCATGCCATGAAATTCTGGTTGGTAAATTGCTATCCCGGATTGGTTGTAACAGCTCCCGCCAAAAACCACTATAACTCCCAACCAATCAACCAATCAACAGAAGCAAGTTTAATGGCTCATGGATTATCCAAATGGCCCAATGGTTTAAAATACGTTTCACCAAAACACCTAGTACAATGCATATAATTCATCAATTCCCAACATCAATCAACATCAGCCTATTAGTCCAAAACCTGGTACCCTACCCTACTGATCATAGCTATAGTGGATCTTCATTCCTATAGGTCAGCCCCATCCATAAGCCTTCCGCCCAGGCGCATAGGAAGTGACTTGACTCATATCCTCGGGTTCCTGCCAGGTGAGGTTTCCACCCAACTCTCGCAGGTCCAGGTCCAAATCCTGGCTGGAGCTGGGTCCAAAGGCCTGGAAACCCATGAAGAAATGTGGCTTCTTAGCATCAAAAATGGATAAAAATAACGTGAATTTAATAGAAAAAACTTCGGAGCAGGTCTGATTTCAGGTGATTCCATGTGCTCCCAGCTGTAGACTTCACTTCTACACACAAGACCCAACACTGGAGCGTCCTCGAAGCTCAAGTTGCTGGCACGTGCCACCTGCCACCCAGCAGAAGATTGCCATTCAAAAATAATGGGGTATGATCTGTATGTGTATTGGATACAAACAAAGTGGAGTTGAGTATGATATCTATGATCTTTAAAATCACTCACTATCTGTAAATTATGGCCTTTGAAGCGAAAATGATAGTGAGTGATAGTCTTCCAGTTGGATTTATTGAAGGCCATCTGTGCCATTGCCAATCCCATCATGGCAATCCCATCCTTTAGACCACATAACAATTGGCATATAGCCAATTGTTTAACAAACAACTCATATGTCCAGTAAAAAAACTGAATTACTGTGCCACGATTGATCAACAGCTTGGGTCCGTGCCTCTCTCTTATTTCGTCAAACACAAAATCATGGGTATCCAGGCTGAATGAACCATCAGAAGCATGGCATACAGATTCATCCCAAACCCCAGGGTACGAAAGGAAAAAAACCAAGGGCCTTGATGAGCATACAGCACTTGGCATATTCATCTGTCCATGCTTGCATATGCACACCCTGAACTACTTGATCTGTCTGATCTATCTGATCTATCCGATCTGTCCGATCTGTCTGATTTATCCACGGGTTTGATCTATCTATCTGATCTACTGATCTATCTCAATAGATTTATTTCTTTCTAGCTGTTTTCCATATTTCTATCTGATCTAGCGTCTGTGTTTCTATCTACCAAATCTATATTTTAATTTATCCATGTATGTGTATATATATAATTATATATATATTATAGAATGATAGATGTTAAATAAAACGCATTCAAACTATGTAAAACAAACAGACTCGGGACACCAGCGGTAGACTACAAAGATGTCACACTTTTATATGTCCAGTGGTCAAACACTTTCAAACAGGGTTTATCTGGGTCTGCAGTTGCTCACAATCACAATTGCAATACCTGTCAACACTAATTAAGCGCGGGCAAATGGTAACATGACCAAAGCAAATCTCATATGTTTCACCTTTCCCAGTCACCACCGGACTTGTCCCACGGACACTTCCCCACCGTGTCATCGATCAGCAGCATGGCAGGCGTGGTCTGTTCGGTCAGTGCTGAGACCGTGTAGACGGAGAAGTGACTATAGCCCTAGAGATGCAGTGGCTGAGATCGTGGAATCACTTCATGCCTTTCAGTCATGATCGATGCAATTCAAAAAACTACAAGGCCAAATCTTCCCCAGACACACCACGGCATCAACCGAGGTCTCTGCCTTATACTTTATGATGATCTGCCACATTCTACTGGGGATCGAACAACTCCAACACCAAACATGTTGGCTTTGAGACAACAACAACAACAACAACAACACCGCCATAGCCCATTGGTAGACCAAGTTGTTGGGTCATTTCAGAGGGGTCCCAGCACTAACCAAGCAGCACTCTGTTGGGTCTCTGCTGGAATTGCTACCGTCCCTTGCAAGACTTCCTCAGACATGCGCTGTTTAGCTGAGGCTAAATCCATCACTGGATGTTCATCCATTGCATACCAAGCTGATGATTGTTCGTTGCCACTCATCATACAGTAGGACTCAGACCATCTTCAATATGTTAAAGGAGACTCACGAGCATGTGATACAATAGTAGCTTGAACTCACACGCTGTTGGTGACCGTTGGTGTCTCTGTGTGCGTCACCACAGCATGGGCTGCAACAGGTAAGTGCTTCATCTCTGCTCCAGTTTCCCTACAACCTAGAAATTGTTAAACATCTCACAAGACAATGTTGGAGTTGGTTCTTACTTCTGCCATGTCAGGGTCATGACCAAACATGATCGCAATTACAACCCAAATCTTCTTACATAGCATAGTTTGGGACAGTTACACCCCAACTCCATCGTTCATGCAATAGATATACCAATACCCACCTGCAAGTCAACATGTATATAATTGTATATAGTTTTGATAAAGGTATAGATATGTAGAATATATATATACTATAGAGATCTATAGAGAATATATACATATACATAATAGAGGTATTATACATATAAGTATATAATCATAAATTATAAGTATATAATTATATATAGATATTATAAATATAAAATACTATAATATAATATAACATAATATAATATAATATAATATCAATAATTATCCATATACGTAAAGAACAATCATGGAGCCTGCCAATGATAGAAATATACAATTGCAACCTCCCATTCAACATCGCTAAACGTCCAACAGGACCATTGACCCTGACCCCGTCCAAGCCGTCCAAGATGCGTCCAGGTTTTCTCGTAGCTCTCCGGACTGGAGGTAAATGCCTTAGGGGTTCTAGCTGGACGGGGCTTAGCTATGGTTTATGGTAGATATAACTATAGTTAATGGGGGTTTTATTGGTTTATAAACCAACTGATAACTGGGGGGATCCATCCTGTATTAACCAACGTTTTGATGGTAAAACAATATCAGACACGGTACTTGCAACAAAAGGTCCAGTTTATAAGTGGATACATGTCACCATAGTTTGTTTCAGCATCATATCCCAAACATGGGGGGGCTAAAATATGTTACCATCTGGTTATGACTAACAGTTCCCCATGGAAAAGATCCACCATGTCTAACAGCTAAACCATCTATTTCTATGGGCCATCGTGTTACCATGGCTATGTTGTCATAACCAGGCCGGGTAATTCCCATGGTATGTTCCAGCCATGGCCTTGGGGGTTTTTAATCAGCCATGGCCTGCCAAAGGTTTACCAAAGACGTCGCCGAATCCTTCCAACATCTGAGTTTTCCAACATCATTCCAACATCAAACATCTTTATCATTCCAACATTTTCCAAATCAACCATTAGCTTTGATAAAAACAATATCCATCTCCCAACCCTCTTCATCTCCATAGTGCCAAGATGTGCCTTAAGATGTGCCAAGTGACGATAGGACACCAAGCGCCCATAGTGATTTTGCGGCTCAAACCAGGTCAGATTGCCGCCCAATTCGGCTTCATCCAGGTCCTGTCACTCACGGACTGTCTGGTTGGTGGTTGACCTACCCCTCTGAAAAACGTCAGTTGGGGTTACTATTCCCAAACAAATGGAAAGTATTGGAAAGTCATCAAAGTCATGTTCCAAACCACCAACCAGCTGTCACTAATACGGGTTTTCCGAAACAAGGGGGTGACCACTCTATCCCAAAAAATCAACTCATTGCGGAAGAACATCTAGGAACTCAAGGCATCTGTCATGCTGCCTCCAGCTTGTGGTGTGGTATCACCTCTGCTTGGTGCTTCTGAATATGGGGATTGCCATCAGTCCCCATTGATGGAATGATGAGAAATCAACAGTGTTTGGAACCACCAACCAAATCTGGTTGGTGGTTTCAACCCTCTGAAAAATATGAAAGTCAGTTGGGATCATTATTTCCAATATATGGAAAAATAAAATTCATGTTCCAAACCACCAACCAGAGATGTGTATGTGTCTCAATTACCAGGACCCATGTCTGGGCTGTCACAACTGCTTGTCGGCTAAATCCAATGGAGGATCATCATCCCAAACAGGTGAAGAACTGCATGGATTTCCTGATCGAAGCCCCCTATGTTTGATCATTTATATAGTGCAGGTCAAGCTCTCTTTTTGGGCTTTGTCTGACCTGGTACCTCGAACTCTAAAGCCTTTGGATTCTCATAATTTAAAGCTTGACCTTTCTGGGAGCATATATCCCGTTTTCAGGCACACACAGCTATAGAAATTTTCAGAATTCTACATCCCATCAGCTCCCATGATGTCCCATTCAAAAAAAACAGGATGGTTAGTCAATCCCTCATGGCCAAAAACAGGATGGTTAGTCAATCCCCTTGGATGCTTAAAATCTGGTGGTGAAAGGATGGTTGGGAAATCCGAATCACCACTTGAAAACGGTGTTTTTTCCACATCCCATCATTCATAGGCTTGAACTACTGTGGATGGTTGCGAAATCCTGCACCAGTTGAAAACTGTGGTGAACATCCCATTTTTTTTATAGGCTTCAAAAATACCATCCTTTTCATGGTGCATTTCGCTGGCCTATCCACAGCAGTCACCAGATTTTGACCTAACCATGGCGCCAGCCGCCAGCCCGTTCTCCTCGTCGGTGAAGTTCAGGTGTGAAGCGCTGGCAGATACGTCCAGGATGGCCAGGCCTTGGGGGAGGTGGCCATGGCATGCCATGGCACTTTTGACATCGCTGAAACGTTGGGCGATTTTGGGGGCTAGCCAACAATTACCCCCTCGTAAATTAACATAGACCCTGAAAATCACATTTTTTTAATGGAAACTAGTCTTCCACCCCCTTTCTGGAGGGTCTATGTTAATTTACCAGAGGGTATCAAGGATACAAAGCGAACAGAAGTCTGATAGTCTCTTTGTTTTTCTTGTTAGGTTTGAAATATGTTATAATATGTTCTAGCCTTTGAAATAGCCATCAATCTGATCAAACCATGCAGCATACCCAGCTATGGTCAATGAGAACTGGGTTACTTCTCACAGTAGTTTCAACGCTTACAACTCAGAAGCACAACTGTGTTTTGACTCCTTGAAGATTTGCGCATATGATTGGTCTTGGACAGCACTGATTCCACAGCAGTTCAGTGATTTGAAACAATGCAAGAACCATCCACTAATTTGATGTTTCATTCCACACGTCATTGGCTTTTTTAGGTCGAAATGCGAGCAGAACCACTAAACCTTTGACGACCAAATCCTCACAAGTGGATACATGGTTTAGTGCTGTTTGTTGCCACCATCTATATATGGTAACTACATTTAAATATACGGATTTTAAAGTATACGAACAGGTAATTTTAGATTACCTCCGGGAAGGTTTTCCTTGGCCCGCCCGGCCATGTAAACATACGGAGTCCAATTTATTTAAACATGCGGTAACTACATTTAAATATACGAACTTGTATTTTATACCTCCTGGGCCTCGCGGTCTGGCCCGCCCTCCACATATTTAAATGTCGTTACCGTAGATAGTATTTTATTATATGTTTTCTTAAGTTTTCAAATTGTCAAAAAAATAGGCTCCCAGATATCTCTACATTTAAAAATTCACTGAGGCAATACAACTCCCCAAGATCTCCCAGCCGAACACGTTCGTTGCTTCGCCGAGGAACTGGCTGGTGTGGTCTGTTCTGCCAATGGCGATGACGCGTAGACCAGCAGATGGGTGAAGTTCGACAGAGCCGTTTCAGGTGGAATCACAAACTCCTCAACCAAGACATGGATAGAAATGGTAGGATCGACCCCCACATTTCCAGGAGATTGATCGAAATACAAACATATAAAAACCATGTTTTGGAACATTGATCTATCAAAAATAATTACCCTCTGGTAAACAGCCACATAACTATGGAAAGTCAGCATTTTTCATGGGAAAACTCATGAAATCAATGGCAATTTATAACTTTACGAACTTTCCAAAATCCCACGGCCACCGGCGGGTTAAAACATTTAAACACCGCCAGGGGTCCGTGAGCGCTCCAGAAAGCACCGTCCCCAGGAAGCGACGCTCCACAAAGGTCAGAGCCTTTGAAGGGAAAAAGTGCTTCAAAATGGAGGGTAAAGAACATCTGATGAAACCTAAACTGGTTGGTGGTTGAGCCTACCCCTCTGAAAAATATGAAAGTCAGTTGGGGTGATTATTCCCAATATATGGAAAAATAAAACATGTTCCAAACCACAAACCAATAAATGTATGATAATCTATGAACATTGAGGTAACCCTGATCTGTTTTTTCATGAATGGGTGGTCTTGACTGAACTTTGGGTATTGAACCCGATATCAAGACAAAAGGGAGACTCCAAACCCGCTGAGTTTCAACAAACATCATGATGCTTCCATGATCAATGAATCCTTTAGCCCAACAATCAACATAGCTGGACACTTGCCCATGTAGCTCGATGATTTACCCACCAAAAATGGTTATGTTCCATAGCTATCCACAGTGAAATACACGACGCCGAGCTGCAGCATCGGAGGAGTTCGAATCATCTTCCACCACTGCAAAGTAGACCTGTGGAGCCAGGAGATTCGCGCTGCAAGCGGTTTCTTCTACCGATGGAGCTCTTCCGGTTCCACTTGTGAAGTCGGAAAGTCGAAGGAGTGAAGATTATCTTGACCTTCTCTTTATGTTTCTTGGGGGATCAACATCAAAAACATCAGAAAACTGGATGTGCCATGACCCATGACGGATCCATGGTGCTGCTATATATGGTAACATTGATCCCATCAATATACCCCCTTTATGTTAGCATTAATATACCAGCACCATGGATCCGTCATGGGTGATGAACCTTCCCCAGTTCCATGGATGCCATGGTTCACCATCCCTCCGCCTGGTAGGAGTCCACCAAGTCCAGCTCTTCAGGTGGATCCCAGCTGAGATTTCCACCCAATTCCCTGGCGTCCAGATCGAAATCCGGGAAGCCTCACCGCGGCTGGAGATGGCATGGTACCCGGCCTGGTAAACCTACAAAAACGATGGAAAGATCCACCATTTTTAATGGGTAAATCAACTATAAATGGCAGTTTTCAATAGCTATGTTAGTTTACCAGAGGGTAATGTATGGAATGAGGCTTTAAAAAAGGTCAGCTTTCAATGAGACCAAGGAAACAACCCATATCCCTGCTCTACTCGTATCCCTGCTAGTCTGGTTTCCTGAGTAATTGAGTGGCAAAGCCGTCTTCACGACTGAAACCGATGAGTACTCCCTTCTCACCCCATCAAAATCTCGGGTCCTCAGTGGCCACCAAAAAATGGATGGTTTGAAACCCAAAAACCAATGGCTTTGGTTCCATTCGTACTTCCTTTTTTGAACCTTCTATGAGGGGTACCTGGTGCCAGGAGACTCAAATTGCTGGCAGACACGCCAAGGTCCGAAATCGCCACACCCACCGGGGTGGTCCTGAAGGGAGGTGTACAAAAGACTCTGAGTCCCCGCAATCATGGTATTCTCATGGTATATCATGACATGTTTTTTGATCACACACTTTTTGATGAATCCTTCCGGTAACTGTCAGTTCTGGGCAGTTGGAAGTTGGACCCCCATCTCCAGCCAAGACAGTAGCCAAGATGCTGTTCCACCAACGCTGACTCCGTGTAGACCAATCTGGAGAACGCAACGAAGTGCCGTGGTGTCGAAGTTACTAGTTACTAAGTATTGCACATCCTGAAGTTATGTCATAACCATCCATAAATCGATTTAAATCGCTCAAATCCACATTTTTTGTTTTGGAAAATTTGGGATAAATAGATCTATGAAAAATCAATGTAATTCCATATCCATTTGTATCAATCCATGTATATATAATATGTGTGTTTCCTATGGATTTCTACAGGTTTTTCTATGTGTACTGGAGGGTTACATGCCCATGTCTGTTGCTTAAATCCATATTAACCACAATAATAAATCCAATGAACAAAAAACATGAAAGTCACATGTTGGGTTTGATTAATGCCATTCTATCCCATAAAATAATAAGAATAAACTACCGTTTATCCCGGTAAATCCCACTAAACATCCATTTATCCCAGAAAATTCCTGAAAAAACTGCCATGCGTCCCTTAAGATCCCATCCAATTCCCTTAAACAAACATAGTTATAGTCTATAACATCTTAGAAAATCCCATTCAATATGCATGAACTTCCCGTTAAATCCCACTAAATCCCAGCCACAAATGGCTGAACTCCAGCTTCGCCGTGTCCGCGTGGAGCGTCAGCGCTTTGCTCCTGGGACCCTGTGGACCACCGAGCTGGGAGCGGCTGGATCCGGAAAAGCCTCGATGGAGCGGAAAACAGCGCAGGTGGGACTTGTATGGACTAAAATCCATTATATGGTCAATATATGGTTATTATATGGTTATTATATGGTTATTATATGGATAATAATGGTTAATAATAATCTGGTTGATGGTTGACCTACCCCTCTGAAAAATATGAAAGTCAAATGGGAGTATGACATTCCCAATATATGGGCAAATAAAATTCATGTTCCAAACCACCAACCAGAGTGTTTCTATGAGGTTTTGTGGTGATCAACAGGGACTTAACCAGTAGCCATGGAAAATCACCATTTTATAGCTAGGTAAACCATCTATAAATGGTACATTTTCCATGGCAACTTACCCTCTGGTTATTTGTTACATAGCTATGGTATAGATGGCCCATAGAAATAGATGATTTTCCCAGCTAGAAACCTCCATTTATAAGGGATTTTCCATGGCTATGTTAGTCATAACCAGATGGTAGTGTTTCTATGATGTTTTGTGGTTTTGTTTAATGGATTTAACCATCAAATACAGGGGATTTCAGCATCAAAAATATGTTTTTTTCATATGGTTTAATTAATCAGGTTTAATCATGAAACATGGAGGGTTAACCATTGAGCATCAGCGTAACTAAAAGACCTGCAAAAGACTGTGTGGGGCTTCCAGGAAACGTTGGCATGTGTTAGTTGTGTGTTAAGTTGATTTCAAGATATTTCAATATCATGTTCATGTCCGTTTTTGTGTAGAGACTGGCTTGATCACCACAAGACTTGTGTTTTCGTTGTGTTTTCTTTGGTAAACAAAGTTCCGTTTAGAACCAGCCAGTGACACTTTTTCGGTTGTGACTGGATCGCAGCCCAAGGTGCTCGTGGCAAAATAGACGCTGTAAGAATCCACCAACCTGTGACAGGTAAGTTGACCAGGTCTCTTTTTGGAAATCAGTGAATTGGTTTGGCTAAATTCTTAACCAGGAAGCTGGGAAACCATTTTTTCTTGACCCACATGGCCCACGGGTTTTCTTGCAAATGCTTTCCCTTCTGGCCCAAGTCTGGCAGTAAACCAATCATCCTGGCTTTTAGCTTGATAATCAATTCACCAACCTGACATGTTTGGTACCTTTTGGGAGGTTCCCCTTATACTAAACATGATCTGAAGCAGTCAGTTGGGTATGGCCACCCGAACTGTACACTGGTGGTCACTTGATTGATGTTACGGGAAAAACTACCGGAAACAATGGTAGAACAATGGTTTTTAACTCCAAGATACAAGGGTGTCATGATGTGTCATGTAATTTGTCCCATCAATTCTGAGAGTCGATGTATGGAGAGGAAAAACATTGTGTCAAGATTTGAAGCCAACCTCAGGCCATGGCTTGTCTCAGAGCTTCTTTCAGCTCTCAAGTCCGTTTCCCCTTGAAAATAGCAAAATAGATCGCCCACTGATCGTTATGATTCGCATGTTCGTTGACCTCAAATCATCGAAAGCCGCACCTCTCTTAATCTGTGCGCCAATTTTTCTCTTGGGTCCACATTCATTATACACTTAACTAACTTAGCAATTCCTCATGGGAAATCTCACCAACAAACACACACTTTCTGACGTCGCCCCAAGTGGTCCGAGAGGCTCAAGGTCGTTGGTCGGCAAGTTCCACACCTCACAGCGGAGCTGGGAAGGATGGGATGCTCATCACTACCGAAAAAAAGATCCCAGTGTTTGCAGGACTCTGTACTTCATTGGTTAATTACATAATATATGGTTATATCATGTTTATTGGTTCAATGGCATATGCTGCATAAGTACAATCCAATGTTTATCCTGCTCAAGTTCCTATTGTTCTTGGTCACATACCCATGTTTGCTCCCGAAAAATTGCCGCTTCACGAAATACCGGCAAAATGAATCTCCCCATGTCATTCAAGTTCATGGAAATTTGAAGGTATATTTGGGCATGGGTCAAAAAACCCTATCCTTCTGTTCCTTAAAATCTTCAGAAATGGACCATTCCACCGAATGGTGACTCGATCCAAGGCGCCAGTGTTCCTCCTAGGTCTCCAGAATCCAGGTCCAAATCCGTAAAGTTCACCTCTGACACCTAAGAAAAAATGGTGACTCAAAAGCTGAGAAAAACATGGGAAAAACATGGGATTTATATGGGACTTATGGATTTCTGAATGGGATTTCTGGATAAACATAAACAACCATAAAAAACCATGTGTTTTTCCTGATGAAAATAGAGATTTTTTACCAGCACAACATAAACATTGAATTCAAGAAGCTTTGAATGCTCCGGGTGCGCTAGTGGAACGGGTTCTTACGACAAGGCCCAAACTGCTCAGAAAAAAATATCATGGAATGGAATCAAGGCATGAATGAAAATGGGGTCTACCTCCAATTATAGCCATTTAGTAGGGATAATGATCAGCAAAACCATTGGGTGTAGGGGTACACTATTTTCAGACAAACCCGAATCGACACTAAAGTGAAGCGATCCACCACATTGGTGCAGCCGGAGAAACGCTGGCCACGCTGTCGACAATGGGAAGGCTCATGGGTGTGGTCTGTTCCACCAAAGAAGATCGGGCGAAGACCGTCCTGGAGTAGATGCACAATTGGACCAAATTGAAATGGGTTCTGTGTACGATGTTCTGTTTGAAAAATCCGATACTTCATATCTGTTCTGTATCTGTTTGTTGGTTGCGACCCAGGCTGAAAAATACATCTTGTCAGACGATGAGAGCAATCGAGTCAGAAAATCAAGTCAGAAAAGAAGCGCGAGGTTCTTGATTACATTTTTGTTGGTTGTATCAACAATGTCTTTGAGAATATGTCCGCACTGCGGTGTTGATAGCTTAAAACGAGCTATGACTGGGTGGAAACATTGCGGTAGATATATGAGTTGAACACCCAGATGGTCTCGTGACTATCACCCACCAAGGTGGGTATCCCATATCCAGCTATTGATCACAATCATGATTATATGCCATATACTCACATTATTTCTCCCCACCACTGATGTTTGATTGTGTTTGAATGGCTGTAACTACATCTCACCGAACTTGTTAGAATCAATCCGCACATACATCTGGGAAAATTTCAATCATTTCCACATTGTGAGCCCGGAAATGGGGTGGGTTTCCACCGGCTCCCCTATTAACCTTCATCTATGGTGAGGTCGGCCAAACAAAAAATCACATTTCGTGGCTGATCTTCCATCAACCATGATATCACCAACCAACTCCTTAATCCATTGATATCCCCTTATATTCTCATAAAATCCCCATGAAATTCCATGAATTATTATATAATTCATATTAATTCCACATAAAACCCCACATGATCTGCCATCCACTAATGGCTGCCCCCTGCACCAAGCGTCAAGTGCGTGAATGACGCCAGAGGAGTCTCCGCTGGGATGAAAACGTCGTGGACTCCCACAGGAACGACATCCACCAGCGACCTACTGGCGACCCCAAACCGCTAGATGCGGTGAACATTCCCATAGGATCCATGGTGCTGGTATATATGCTAACATTGGGGGTATATTGATGGGATCCATGTTACCATATATAGCATACATGGATCCGTCATGGGATTGGGAGTTTGACTCGCAATGAGGAGTTCAACCCCCAAAAAAATGTCAAAGAACCAACAGAAGCAACAAATGTTTGGTTGTTACCAAGAGACAGGACATGGCAGCTTGAAGGAAATGCGAACTTAGGGATAGTCTCCACAAAACATGGACTGTAGATGTGACACCCAGTCAATGGAACGTCCAAATTCCTTGAGTTTTCATATGTTTCCATGTTGCAAATATGTTCAAATGGCCGTGCTTTACAAGATTCCGATGTTCCATTTCAGAGGCATGACACAAACAACAAACACTATATTATATTATTTTGCATTACATTATATATTATATCATATCATATTATACTATAGTATATTATATTATATTATATTGTCTTATATTATCCACCCCTTTGTAAGGTGCACCCATTTTCACAGCCAAGCCACCGATTGCTTCCCTGAGCATCTTCCGCCAGGTAGATCAAATAGTCCTGAGTTTTCCAGTGATCAAATGGTTTTGGCCAGTTCACTGAAACAAATGAATCTGCCTTGAGGTCAATTTTCACCTGGTTTTGCTCCAAATGGGATAACCCCCCCAAAAATGCAATTTGAATGCACGGAATGAGAATCTATTTGGACTTCTTGGTATCTATTTCGACCTCTATTGTGGATTATTTAGAGATCTATTGTGTGGTACACTTGAAAATCTATTGTGGATCTCAAGTTTAGTACCAGAAACAAGGGTTGACCTCATTGGACCAATCCTATTCCTCGCTTCATAGCATGATAATTGCGATATTTGTCGACCGCTTGGGATGAGAAGCGATGTCCTTTTGGCAGAAAAAAAACATGGGCTGGTGTGCATACCACTTACCCTCTGGTAATCAAACGTGGCAATGTCCCCTTATTAACCCATAGGATCCATGTATGGTATATGCTAACATTGGGGGTATAGTGATGGTAAATGTTGCCATATATAGCATACATGGATCCTATGGGTAATAGAGTTTTTTCATGGAACATGTATCTATAGATGGAAAATGTTTAAAATGGCCATGTTACCACTGGGTATCATCTTCGACCTAGGTTGTTAATGAAGCTGAGCTCAAAAAACCAACATCAACCAACTAGGGGGATGTTGGAACATCGATGACAAGGGGCCCCAGAAAATTGGCCGTTTGGAGGAAGTTGATATTTATACATAATGAAACACTAATGATACATAAAGTTGATAATGATCAACACTAAATCTCATCATGTATCATTATGTATCATTCTGTGCTGAACATGCTACGATATCACATGGGAGTCATCCCCGGCTTAGTTTTGCCTCTGGGATTCACCATTGGAGAGACATGTCCATGTGTTGTACTGGATTCGACACTGCGCTTCCGGATGCTGGACTTTTCACACTTCCAAAAGCCGATCAATAACACTGTGGGATTCTGCAGTGAAGGGCGCCTTTGCACCAACATGGTTACACAATGTCACACATATGCAAACTGGGCTTTGACTGCTGAGCTGTCGCCACCACCGGCCGGATCCCCCCAAGTCACGACTGACCCAGCAGCCAGGATCGCAGCAAATGCCTCACGTGTAGCTTGAACCTGCTGGACACCTTTGAGCTGATCTTGGACTTCAGAGCTGTCACCGCCAGAGTCTGGATCGCCCCAAGTCACGACTGACCCATCAGCCAGGATCGCAGCAAATGCATAGGTCGTTGCTTGAACCTGCTGGACACCTTTGAGCTGATCTTGGACTTCAGAGCTGTCACCACCATAGCCTGGGTCGCCCCAAGTCACGACCGACCCATCAGCCAGGATCGCAGCAAATGCCCGCTCAGTTGCTTGAAGCTGCTGGACACCTTTGGGCTGATCTTGGACTTCAGAGCTGTCACCACCAGAGCCTGGACTGCCCCAAGTCACGACTGACCCATCAGCCAGGATCGCAGCAAATGCCTCACTTGTAGCTTGAACCTGCTGGACACCTTTGAGCTGATCTTGGACTTCAGAGCTGTCACCACCATAGTCTGGGTCGCCCCAAGTCACAACTGACCCATCAGCCAGGATCGCAGCAAATGCCTCACTTGTAGCTTGAACCTGCTGGACACCCTTCAGCTGATCTTGGACTTCAGAGCTGTCACCACCAAAGTCTGGTGTGCCCCAGGTCACGACTGACCCATCAGCCAGGATCGCAGCAAATGCCCGCTCAGTTGCTTGAAGCTGCTGGACACCTTTGGGCTGATCTTGGACTTTAGAGCTGTCACCGCCAAAGTCTGGTTTTCCCCAGGTCACGACTGACTCATCAGCCAGGATCGCAGCAAATGCCCGCACCGTTGCTTGAAGCTGCTGGACACCTTTGAGCTGATCTTGGACTTTAGAGCTGTCACCACCATAGTCTGGGTCGCCCCAAGTCACGACTGACCCATCAGCCAGGATCGCAGCAAATGCCCGCCTTGTGGCTTGAACCTGCTGGACACCTTTGAGCTGATCTTGGACTTTAGAGCTGTCACCACCATAGTCTGGGTCGCCCCAAGTCACGACTGACCCATCAGCCAGGATCGCAGCAAATGCCCACCTTGTTGCTTGAACCTGCTGGACACCTTTGAGCTGATCTTGGACTTCAGGGCTGTCACCACCAAAGTCTGGTTTGCCCCATGTGACAACTCGGTCACCTCCAGGGCAAAACAATGCAACAGCTTCTGCTGTTGCCGCCAGCTTTGCCTCCAGGACAATAGCCGTCAAATAGTCTCCGTCTTCAAGTCCCGCAGATTGCAGAGTCAGTGTAGGATCCAATGCGCGATGGTCTGCAGCCACAAGCCTCAAGAAACCACGTTGAAAGGAGTTCTGTGCCAGAACACGCAAGTCCCCTACTTTGGAGGACTGCGGAATCGAGAACTTCTCACTGCAACCGCTTGGCAAAGCTACAGTGACCTGAAGGGGCCTAGCCTCACTTGCGCCCATCAAAACGACTCACTTGCGCCCACCTTGACTTGAAGCATGTGTCAAGAAACCAGTGTAACGCACAGACCAGTTTCTACAATTGATTGATCTTGAGCCAAACTGCGGAACAAACTCCCAAAACCAGCTCGGAATTCCAAACCCCTTGCTGGAATGATGAGGAGGTGACTGTCCAAGGGCCGTGACAGGCAAAGCTCTATGAGTTGTCTGAAGCATTCTGAAGCCCTATGCTTTGGTTCTTGGCCCTGCCTGCATCCCCAGCGGTGTGTGTAAAACCACCCCTTACTGGATGTGCATCTTGGCTGAGTAGTAGCAGTAGTAGCAGTAGCCGACAAAAAACATCTTCCGAGCAGATTCCACTGTCCACTGTTTAAATTCATTCCTCATTTTTTCACTGGTTGGTGGTTTCAACCCCTCTGAAAAATCATGGAGTTCGTCAGTTGGGATTATGATTCCCAAAAAAAGGAGAAAAATGTTCCAAACCACCAACCAGTTCATGGTAGATCGATGTAAATCCATCGCAAGATCCGCGACCGACTTCACCAGCCCAGCGTCTGTGACCTCACTGGCGTCTTCCGGTGGCTCCCAGCTGAGATTTCCGCCGATTTCCAAGGCGTCCTTGGGACGGTTTTTCTTTCCGCGGGAAGCAACCGGAGTTTCGGATGCAGAATTTGGGATTCAACGCGATTCAACCGAAATTAATGATTGAATGATGGATGGGTAAGTTGGTTTATAAAGCAGGCAAAGTCTTGGGGTTCCTTTTGGGATACATCGAATGGGTTGAATGGGTTATATAACACCAACATAAACCTTGTAGCTTGCGGAGGGCGATTTGCACCACAGATATCAGCTCTTGTAGGCAGACCTTTCTGGCTTTTGTGGTTCGGGGCAAGGCCCATAGCTTTCTGGTTGACGTGTACCAGTACCGTTTACCCAATGACTTGACCCAAACCCCAATGAGACAAACCAGGTAAAGTGGAACCAAGTACTATGGGCAAAAAAAAATAGCTATATCAATAACTATGAATAATTTACACTATAAATAACTATAACATATTACAACTATATCAATAACACATATGCCATGGTCATTTGACCATAGGTTTTTTCCGTCCCGCCATGGACATCTGGCATCATCTGGCCATGAATTCGTGTGTTTGATGGTGGTATCAACATCCACAACCGGTTCAAACTCATGTTCCCAGGTTCCAAATGGGTTCCAAAATCCAAATCTCCCAGTCGAACTTGGATTCTGGATGGTCAAGATTTTCCCACTCTTGGTGTCAAACTTGCCAACAAAACCCTTGCACTGATTGGCTCATGGTTCTTGGAAACAGCATTAATCTTGCTCGATTCTCCATTAGGGACGAATAGTTGACACAAGGTACATAATTTCTTGGAAAAGGAAAAACAACCTTTTACAACCTATCCACCAATTTCTCTATGAAACAATGGTCCCTTCCATTCAACAATTGGGGACGGACATCTCCAAGGATCCAAATCTAAATCGGTGAAACTCATGTTGGACGCCATGGCGAACCTTACTGTGATCCAGCTGGCAGTGCTGAGGGCTTGAATGAGGATTTCTAAGAACAGATGTTAACACACTGTCTGTGTTGTCTTTCTTGGAGGGAGGGTTGCAAAATTATGTGTATATATATATATATATATATATATGGTAACTACATTTAAATATACAGATTTTGAAATATACGAATAGGTATTCTTTACTACCTACTACCTCCTAGGCCTCGCTGCCTGGCCCGCCCTCCGCATATATATATATATTTAAATGTCGTTACCATATCTTGGTGATTCACCTAGTCACCGCCAGGTCAGAAATCACCAGTGAACCACTCGCTGAGGATTGCCCACAGATTCACTTCGGGACTTAATTTATCAACAAGTTCGGGACATGTTATCAACTGTTGTTCAACAAATTCGTGGGAGTTGTGAATAATTTGTGGCTCATCAGCCATCTTATGATATCTTATGGGTATCTTGGCACCAAACAATGTGCACATCAGGAACACCCACTGCATACCATGGCTATTTCTGGCTGCGACAGACTGCGACAGACAAGGCACTCATCGAAGAAGGCCAAAGAGGCCGGGGTGGTCTGCTCCTTAGCTGCCAGCGAGATAACCCGGTAGCCATGCCATGAGAGTAGTAGATTTAGAATCATCCTGAAGCAGGACGTATACACATATATATATATATATACAGTATATATCAATGTTCAAACATGTTCCCTATTGTGTTTTCCATATTCTATCTTCGACTAAGGATGACTTTATACATGTCATACCTACACGATTCAAGATGACCGTAATAATTACCCATCAATGTCCCAAATATGGATGACAAAAAGACATGGTATGACATGGCCACTTACCCCAAATTGAAATGCCACGAACTACTTTTGGAATTTAGCAAGGCCTCAGGATAGCACAACACTTCGGTTGCATCACTGGTGGCCTGCTGAAGGACAAGGATCATCTTGGATCCCAAGGGATAGTGAATGAAACAAACGGCGTCCTTTCCAATTCATTGATTTGACCGGACCAAAGACACATTATTAAGTCCCTTTTTTCAGATATATTAAGTCCCATTAACCCATATGAAAAGTCCCGTTTGTTGATGGTTTAATATCCATGGGCCATTACCCTCTGGTAAACAGCCACATAACTATGGAAAGATCCACCATTTTCAATGGGAAAATCCACTATTTCTATGGTGATTTTCAATAGCTATGTTAAATTACCAGAGGGTAACCCAAAGAAACATCAATCCCAGTGATATCATCCCATCCGCACCGAGCAGCTGCTAAGGTCGACTTCGCATAGACCGTGAAGTGATTGAAGGAGAGCCGCAGAGTATCTGCTGGCACCTGCACGTTGGAATGATGAGAAATCATTGGAACTGAATGTACCTGGACCCTGAAAAATTGAACCATACAAAAAAAATGGTATTTTTGCACATCGTTTTAATATGTTTTAATCTATGTTTATCAATGTTGATGGGCTTGCTGAGGGTCAAGTTATATTGCTCTGTGAAAAAAAAACATGGGACAACACCGCAATGAACTTGTTAATCAAACATATCCGTATCCTAATATCCCAACAAAAACCAATGCCATTATAGGAAATTGTAACACATTGCAACCTAGTTACCAATCATTTATGAACTCAAGGGATCATTCTGTGTAATTGTCAGGTATCATTCACCCGAAAATTGAATCATTAACAATTGGAGGAAGTATATTAGAGTAACTTCATATACAGTATTCCATATCATCAGCGTATATTATGGGTTTGTCTAAAAAATTAGGGTATGGTACTCTAAATTCTTATGGTCTATATTGGTCTATCATCATATCCCCCTCGAAATCAATTTCTTTTCTTGCTATAACCACTTTTCTCCAACGTGTTCCCAGATTTCAACCCAAGATTCTCCAATGTTTACCGAAATCACCATGTTTCATGGGGATTAATAATGGTTCATAATAGTGATTAATGGTGACTACTGGTTGGATATTAATGGTTAGTACTGTTGATAATGGTTATTAATGGTTAGTTGGTTTTTGAGGATTAATATATAGTTAGTTAAGCCATGGCAGTGCTTAGTAGTTTTGAGAAATTGATAGAAATTGGTTGATACTGTGGATGGGCCAGCGAAATCCTGCATCGCCAAAAGGATGGTATTTCAAGCCTATCAACAATGGGATAAACCACCTATCGCAGGATTTCTTCCATCCACTGTATTCATGGTAAGCAAGCAGCACCTCCTGGAAGCGTCGCTGGGACGGCAGCTCAGCACCCAGCTGTGAGCGCTGAAGGCCGTAGGCGCTTTCGGCCAGGTAGACCAGGTACCTTTGGAAGGTGAGGTCCGGAAGAGGTGGCTTGATATGTTTGTATGTATATATATATATATATATGTATATATATGTATATATATATATATAATATGTAAATGAGTCGATTAGGAATAACAACATGTATACAATATAATTTCGATGTATATATGTATTTCTATATACATGTAAATGAGTCGATTAGGAATAACAACATGTACATAATATAATTTTGATGTATATATATATATATGTATATATGTATATATGTATATATGTATATATATATATATAATATATGTAAATTAGTCGATTAGGAATAACAACATGTATACAATATAATTTCGATGTATATATATGTATTTCTATATACATGTAAATGAGTCAATTAGGAATAACAACATGTACATAATATAATTTTGATGTATATATATATATAGGTATATGTATTTGCATGTGAGCGCTCATGTATAGAGACACATAGTAAGTTTGCTGGAGAAATGGATAGATAGAGATACACACAGATACATATGCATGTGCATGTATTAATCTGATTTAATCTGTGTATATATATATATATAATAACAATAATAACACATAACAACAATGATAGTCATCTTATCCAAAACAGTTACAGTAGGGGGCCATCTCTGGAACAAATTCAGGAGCGAAGCAAGAAACATAGGGGAATCACCACAAGAATCAAGGGAAATTGGGCAGTTCATGCTACCAACCCGAAAAAAGAAGTCTATTATGTAGGGGGGCTTCTCAAACTTGGTGCAGCACTCATCACCATCGGTTTCTCCATTCAAAAAGAATCTTGGATGATAATTTGGGGGTCCTCGGTCCCCCACGGCTCAAAAGACTAGTATCCTTTGCTCCAAAACCACTGCAACATCATCATTTTCTGGTTGGTGGTGCAATAACCATCTTGAAAAATATGAAAGTCAGTCAATGGGAAGGATTATCCATATTATCCCATATATTATGGAAAAAAAACATGTTCCAAACCACCAACCAGATTTCGCATCTTGCCTCTCTCAACATGGTCATCAATTGAAGCCCATCTCATTGTACTGGTTGGTTGATAGCTATCCGTATCAATCGGGTTTCACGTGGTTTCACAATAACTAAACCAGATATAAATAGATATCACCCATATATATATATATATATATCATATATAATACACATATTATGTCATAATATAGTTCGGTAATCATGACCCACTATCAAGTTGATGATAACTCACTAAATATCACCCAGTTCAGTCTCCTCAGTTGATATCCCAGGCACGAAGAGACATAGCGCAGATCCTCTGGAAGTTGCCACGTGAGATTTCCACCCAAATGTTCAGCGTCCAAGTCCTGCTCCAAGGGACCCACATTTATCATTTTTGAGGATCTGGAACTATCCATTTTTTTGGGGGGGTAGTCAACACGGCGGGGTTTACCCCAGGCAGATGTCTTGTTATGTCTGTTGGTTTATAACCATAGTAAGTATATGTAAGTATGTCAATATTAATATATCTACCATAAACCATAGTGAAATTGGAGCCATAGTAAATTGGAGTTATTATAGATATATCTACCATAAACATCCATAAACCATGTAGTTCTTGCAGTTATTTGCACCAACAAAACGCGAACTCTGGGCATCACCTTGAATCTTTTCCAAGGGTCCGCAAGCCCCTGTGAACACAAACTCACTACCGCCATTCCAGGTCAGCAGTTGAACAACCCAAAAATATCTGGGACATATCTGTGAAAATGAAAACATGATAAATCCACTCAACCATTTCCAACAACCCCAACATATCTTGTTGGAGAAAAAATCTGGGGAACCCCTGGTTGAGGTGGTCATTTGGCCTATCTCTTGCCCATGCGCCTTGCCCTGAAACTGCAAAGAGGACACGCTGCTGCTGGTGTCGGAGACCTGCCATGGATGATGCTTTCATAGACTGAAGTAGAGCTTAGCATGTATATATATAATATAATATTATAATATTATAAATTATATTATATTATATTAAATTATACTATATTAAATTATATTGTGTGTATTATGTGTAATTATATATATACAGTTAGCTGCAACTGTATAGTCACTATAGTCATTGCAATGTCTTGTATCACTTGGTATCGCTTAGTATTTCAAGTACATGTCCACTTGATATTGCTTTAAAAACCCGAAAATTTAGCTGCGGACCTGACTTACTTGCACATGTCCACAAGAGGAAGCTTCCTATACATTCATCAGCCGATGGTCCCACAGGTAGCCCCATAACAATACAAAAGGAAAAGGATTTCTGAGTCATCTGTTAAGATCTTCCCATTATTTTGTTCAGATCCATTCTTGTTAGGCAAATTTCAATGGAGCTATGACATGCTATGCCTTAAAAAGGCACATTTTCTTTTTTTATCCGTGGCATCGACTTAGAATCAACCACTGACAGCAGGTGATTCAGCTGGTAAAGCTATGAATGTCCATAGGAAGAGATAAGGTGACAAGAGCCGCATAATTTGACGCAAGTTGTTTGCTGGAATATCCCCAGTTCGTTAGAATCACTATATTCGATGGTTATCGCCATGTCCAACACAGCTAAGCTTTTCAGGGCAATTCAACTTTGGCCAATTTCTTCTTTGACCATTTTAATGGCAAATTGATCTTTGAATATTTATAATAAGCATTCAATATATCAATAACCATTCAACCACTTCATGGTAAATTGATCTTATATAAACCAACTTTTTAGATTTTAACCCCAATGTCTGGCAGCGATTGAACGCCAGAGCCAATCCGCGATTAGCTGGGATCTCCCAGGCCGAATGCCCTCTGGCTATGACTAACAGTTCGCCATGGTTGACATGGCCCATAGAAATAGAGGTTTACCTAGCTATAAAATGGTGGATCTGTCCATGGCTATGTTAGATAACCAGATGGTATATCAAATATTGCGCCTCTACCGAATACAATGATTAGAATGTTTCTGTTGTTTTTTTCCTATGAAACAACCAATAGGCCACGAACAAAAACCCTCTCCCATCCCATAGAACTGATCAAGAGAGGTATCCCTAGTCCTAAAAATAATTTATAACTACCATATAACTACCATATAACCTATACATATCCAATCAACATAGGTGTTTTCGATGACTCATTTCTCTTCATAGAGATGACTTTCCATGGCCTGCAAGAAGGCTGGCGTGCTTTGCTCTTCCAGCGGAGAGGTTGCATAGACCACCAAGTGACCTTCCAGCGATTTGGATCAAGATGGTCAAGGAAAGCCGTTCTTCGGGCAGCAAAACACGATCATAAGATATACCGTGGATGCGAAATCCTGCATCACCTATATATATATATGTAAATATTGATAATATTTTATAATGGGATAAACCACCTATTATAAAACTGGTGCAGGATTTCTTCCATCCACCATAGTATAAGTGGACCAGGGATGGATTTGTTTTTCCTCTTCAGCATCTACAAGTTCTTGAGCGCTGAGATAAAATCGGAACATTTCCACAAATAGGACTCATGTGGTAAACCCAACAATAAACCTAAGAATTGAAATCCATTTGATCATTTGGGGAAAGGGATTTTTTTAACTTTACTCCGACTTGTGCTCACGTCCACTAAGATGCAGCAATCATTGCTGAAATCTAAAACTTGAGACCTGCACGTCGAAGGAATCATCCCAAAATCCAGGTGTCACAACACCCTAGTGAAAATGGCCATTGAAATAGTGGATTTACCCATGAAAAATGGTGATTTTCCATAGTTATGTAAACGTTTACCAGAGGGTAACCTTGGACTTCAAAATAGTCATCCTAGACGTCCTAAAAAATGGTGTGGTGGGATATTCACATGTTCTCCCTGCAGAACTAGCAACCCGAAACTGTGACACCCGGCTGTAAGGTGACAGCTGCAGATCTTTTGGAATTTCGAAGCTGCTGTTTCCTCCCAAGCCATCCCAAGTCGCCGGGATCCAAGTGATGGATAAAAACAACAGCAATGCAAATTGAGGTGCTGAAAGAAATGCGCCTATATGATCCTATATGTTGTTTGTTTGCAGCACTCAATATATCTCACTATGCTATGTTTCTACACTTGTAGAAACCCTCATGTTTTGATGTGTGTTTCTGTGAATAACTTCGCACAAACATACCATTTTCAGTCATTTTCATCAGCCCCATGAAATCGCACAAAGAGCTTCACCGTCCTGCGTAGACTGTACCCATCAGTGGACCGCGACACCAGGCCTTGATACCAACGAAGGCTCGGAAGCAGATGATCAATGGATGGCTTTACGCTTTCGGGAAGATCTTAAAGGGAAATCATGTTTTTACCATTGTGTTTTGGGTTTTGACCATATTTTTTATCATCCTCCAAGTTTCGGAAATACCAAGTGACATTTGGTTTGCTTTTTTATATGTGTATATGTGCGTGTATATATATATAAATATAAATAATATATATATATATATACTTGCTATGTACTCTGAATGGATACAAACATCTATGATCATATAAGTATTGATACAATTAGATACTAGGGTATGATATTCCTCTTTTAATAGGCCGGAAAAAAAGCACTCCGTCACCACCAAGATGTTCCCGGAATTGTCTCATGAGCAGCTCAAAATTGGGGCAGTACCTCCTCCCCATCAGCAGATTTGAGACCAAGAGAAGTCACGTCATGAGTATCTTCAGGCCAGTCACAACTTCAGTGTAGTTCGCCTTGTTGTGCAACAAGCCAAGCTTCTTGATGCCAAGAGTGTTGCAAATGCGATTTGTGCGGAAGCAGCCGGCGAAGCGGCCAGGTCAGCGTTCAGGGCGATCTCGTTGAAGACACAAGGCTCGCCACCGCTTCCATCGACGATGATAGGCTTCATCCTTTTTCAAGCGTGCAGAACTTGCTCTTGCTAGTACTAGCAGCTTCAGCACAATATAAATATCACAGACAGAGATTCTCAGAGTTTGCTTTTTCAAGAGATCCCAGACTGTATCACCAATTTTGGCATTGGAATAGCCATGAATTCAGAATCCTGAAACTCTAAATAGCCATCATGTTCACATCAAATAGCCACTTACCCCCTTGATGATAAGTCTGTTCATGTTTTGAGACAACCCATCCGCCGGTAACTTAACATATCACTATGATTTGCCTGTTTGAAAAATTATGATGTTGCATGTCGCAAACCACTTTGTATCCCATATGAGGTGGCTAAATTCCAATTAAATTCACATTATCCCCATTACATCATCAATAAGTTGATGGTTACATGCGCATTAACCCATGAATTTGCCATCAAATCCCATCAAATCACCATTTTTGATGGTTAACTTCAGTTAAATCCAATTTCTTGGCGAAATATTCCCAAAGACTGGTTGGTTTTACCCCAGAACACCAGGTACCCGGTGGCCTCGATTGGGGTTTTATCGGATCTCAATGGGGTGAATAACATGAAATTGCCATGGGACCTTGAGTGGATATTTGGATATCCAAATAATCGGAATATTCAGTGATGGAATGTCAATGGATATTCAGTGTTTGGAATATCCTGTTCATGGGATATTCAGTGGATATTAATGGGATATTAATTGGATATTAATTGAATATCAATGGGATATCAATGGGATATCAATGGGATATTAATGGAATATCAATGGGATATGAATTGGATATGAATATAATGGGATATATTGGGGATAGCTTGGGATATGTATTGATTTTCCAATGGCAATACAAATATTATTGGATACATAACTAACTTGACATGATATGAATGGATGTCTCTGAAAACGTAGCACCCCCCAACAAGGTCCATATTTGATGGTGAAACATTATGTTAAACTTCCTTATCTGGGCAATTGTGATCATCTCACTCTGATAACATGGTTTCATACCAAGTGAATGAAGACATTCTGGTGCCATTGATTGATAGATATTGATAGATATTGCTAGATATTGATAGATATTGATAGATATTGATAGATATTTATAGATATTGATAGATATTGATAGATATTGATAGATATTGATAGATATTGATAGATATTGATTGATATTGATAGATATGTTAACCTGGCGTCCCTTTCAAACAACCTGGAGTGATTATTTTCGCAGCTAATAATGAATCCAGTAAGCATGTCACCCAACCTGACTGACTGGGGTAACCCAGTAAGTGCCATTATTGGTCTACATCATTGGTCTACATTAGCCTGTCGTCTGAAGAAAACCCTACAAAAATGTATATATATATATAGAAAACCTACAAAGGTATATATATATATATATACTCGGGTTGTATATGTATATATCTCTGTTGGTTTTATTTAAAAAAAAACAAAAAACTCTCATTCTACCTTTGTTCTTCAAGCCCACAACATC